TAAAAAAGATATGCAGCTGTTACCAACTTTAACTGATTTTAGCCAAGAAAACTGTTGGAGAGGAATGGCTGCTTAGGCATTGGTGCTGATGGTCAGGCCTTCCCACAGGGCATGTGTGACGAAGTGGGAATGTTCTTAATGTTTTCTCTGAATACCGTGTGGGTGCCTCAGTTTCCCCTAGGCATTTCTTAAGTATCTAGGTGGGGGGATAAGGGGGTGTGATTGTGGCAGAGCCCTAGAGGGCCTGTGTGATGGTGTCTGCACAGAGAATGGCAACTCACCCTGTCTCCTGGCAACTGATGGCCTGGCGCCCTCCCCTGCAAGGTGCCACCTGAAGGTGTTGGAGAACAAAGAGATCAGGTGGCCTCCTGGCCCGGAAGAGAGACAAAGGCCAGAAGAGGGGCTGGAGGGAGTTTCAGTTTGGAGCTGGCTGGGAAGACGGGGTGGGGGAGGCCCAGAACTGGGGTCTGGGCTCCCTGCCCCCCAAGATGGACCTGACTGAGGGGTCCTGTTCTCTGCACCTACAAGCTCTGTGTTAGACCATGTCCCTGTTGTCTAATAAACCTTCCGTTCCGCTGGCTGGCGGAGAGTCCCGGTGAATCGCAGGAAGTGGGGGTGCAGGGCCCCGACACCCCCTCACTCCCTGGCAGCATGTTGCTCTACTTGTTTTATTATCCACATCCCTTTTATGAGGAAAGGAGTTGGAGGGCTACTGTGATGGAGTGGGGATGTGCCACTCAGAGCATCCAGACCAAGGTCTGCCAAAAGCCAGACGTGTACTCATCGTCGTAGGAATAGCCCAATTCCTGTAGCAATAGTTAGCAAAAGCACAAATCTGCCTATTGTAGACGGAACCTCAACCTCAAACCTGATTGCAGTGTGCAGGGCTGGCTTTCTGACTTGGAGCTTCTGGAGTGGCTAGGATCTGCTCTACCAGAGGAGAAATTGATGTCTGGAGCTGCACTCTACCTAGCTTAAAAAACAAGTGTTTGGGCCACTTCTCTGACATTCTTAGGGCTACGAATCGCTGTTTCTGTTTCAGCAGAACCACAATTGGAGGGTGGCTTCCTGTCTGTCCTCTATGCAGGTTCCATTCCAATATCTTTACTGGAAGATACTGAACTTCTGAGCTCTGAACTTCTCCGTTTCCTGTACAGAGCTTTTGTGTGGCAGCACAGTAGTAGGCACGTGAAATGGAAATGAGATTCTTCCTTCTGGTAAATCAGCAGCAGATGAGCCTTCAGCTAAGTAGCGAAGACCCTGACCTTAGCAAGCAGAAGGAAGAAGTTCAAATTCTGGGGGATACAGCAAGAGTTGGGGGTGCAGCTGCTCTGGGGCAGTGGGACAGGCAGGATGGGCCATAAGGAGACTCCACACCATTGATCCAGTTCAAATTGTATTTGTCTCCCCCTTGGCCTTGGAGTTGATGCTTTGTGCTTTCTATTGTCTTTTTCTTCTTTGGCCTGCAATGCCTCCTTTTAAGACCTCCCGAATACAAGGGTTTTAGGCACATCCTTGCACCATTTGGACACCTTTAGTCCCCACAAGACTAAACCTAAAAGAGCAAATTGCTCCCTGGTGCAAGTGTTTTGGACATCAGAGTTCACAGCCATGAGGAGTCTGGCCCAGAATCTTCCTTGTCCATGTCACAGGTGGACTTGGAGAATCCATAGACATGCAGCCCCATTTTCCCTAGGAGCCTGCGAAGTCCTTGTGGCCACGTTGCTGTCATTCTGCTCCAGGCTTGTCCCTTCCGTTAGCCCTGGCCGGTGCTGAAGATGGCAGTGGCCTGGACAGAATTGCACTACTGGGCCACCACAACTACACCACAACAGCTGCTGTGTAGTTAGCTCCTCACTGCCTAGAGGCTTCCAAGAAGAAGGCTGAAAAACCTGCTGTACAGGGAGACTTCAAAGCTCTACCTATTCAGCTTACCAAAGAGAGGATTTGAGGTGACCTGATCATTCTGGAAGTACCTACGTGGGAAAGAGGCATCTGATACTAGAGGGCTCTTCAGGCTAGCAGATAAAAGCACAAGATGCAATTATTTGGAAGTTGAAGCTAGCCAAATTTGGGTTCAAAATAAGATGCAAATTTTTAAGTGGGGGTGATTAACCATTAGCCCAACTTCCCAAGCATTCGGGTGGTTGCTGTGACTCCAGATTTGAATCTGTTTCCCCCCTCTCCCCCCCCATGGCAGGCTGTACAATCTCATTGTGGGTCTGCAGAGGCTATAGAACAAATGATTTTGGCAGAAGACTGTTCTTTACAGTCGCCCCTTGTTCTAGAGCCCCTGGCACATTCCTGTCTGCCTCCAAGCAGTCTCTTCTCTTCCCTCTGCCTCCAAAACCTTGGTGTGCCATTAGTCTCACTGCCCGGACGTCTCCTGCAGCTGGAATCATCTCACCTCGACGTGAACCTGGCCTTACTTAGCGACACCAGAGCACTCCTCTGTGTGTTCCCTGGTAACACCCCTGCTGCACTTCATCACTGCCTCGCTCTCCCCTGCCTTACTGACCTCACGCTCAGATCCATCCTGGCTCCTCACCCTCGGCTCTTCTCTCACTAGCTGGTACCCGGCTCTCCCTTCTGTGCATTCATGCTGGGACTTGTCTCATCCATCTCCACCCTGGCTTCTTCTCAAACTCAGCCCCTCCAGAATAGATCTCCTCACCTTTCTGCCCAGCCCCTGCTCCTTTTGCCCGGCTCTATTGGCAACTCTCAATCCTTCCCATAATCCTGCTGTCATTTCACATGTCCCCTCTCCCCACAGCCAATTGCAAAGTCCTCTTGCTGCTTTGTCTAGCTCTAATTCACCGTTCCTTCTCCTGCCTGCAGTGCACCCTAGCTACTGTCACCTTCCTGGGTCTGGCCTCCCTGCCTCGGATTGCCCCTTATGCCCTCCAAAGGGACAGCTGGTGTCCCCTTCCTCACCTCTTCTCTGAATTCCCATTGCTATCCTGCCTCTTGCTACAGCCTTGTCCTCACTCAGATGCCAGCCCTCACCTGCAGTCCCACTCTCATTTCCCCTACTCCCCCTTGCTTCCTGTGTCCTTCCCAATCCTCTCCCCTCTTCTGGTTCTCAGCATTGTACTGTCCTCATCTGCCCAACGTCCTCTCTTCCTTCAGATCCCTGCTCCTTTCTCTCAAGGAGATCGAAGAGGGGAGGGGGAGAGTACCTCTGAACTGTGGCTCTGGGTATAAGGAGCTCCTTGGGGCTAGGGAATGGGATGTCCTTGTTATGGGTTTTCAAAGCACCATGTAAGTGTAGGCTTGGGGGAGCAAACTGGCTTCTTTACATTTGTCTCCTAAACCTTGTGCTTCAGTGACGCCCACCTGCCACAGCAGGGAATTCTTCCCTTTAGCAAATGTCACTCCGAACCGGGCTTTCATGTTTCGACCTGTGACATCTGAGTTCCAGTGCTCTCCGGAAGCATCGGAGCGGGCTCTGCTCTTACCACCAACAGCTCTTACTGCTTGGATTCATGCCCTCTTTCCTGGGAACCAGGAGATCCTTCTTCCAACCTTGAAATAGTATCTTCATTCTCCAGAGAGGGTGTCCCCATAAGCGCTTATCTGCTCGGACAGGAGTCCTCGCCAGGGGGAGAGCAGCAGAATCCCTGGAAGATCAATGAACTGGAGAGTGTGGCGACAGGGTGGCCTTGGGTCTGAGTTCTATACATCTCTCAGCACAGGCACCCAGGTAAAAGGCACGTGATAAGCTTTAACAGCCAACCCCCATTCTGGGAGAAGCCTGTGCTAATTCTGAGCCATATTAAGAAACCAGAGGTTGTCGCATTGAGAACCCAGCAAGTGTCTCTGATATAGGTGTAATGGCTTTTAACAGCTGGAGACACACTATTCTCTGCATGTACTGGTGACCTTTAAGAATCTGGATGGTTACTGCTGGTCAAATGCAAACTCCAGCCTTTGGCAATGCCCACAGCTGCCCGAGCTCCAGGCTATGATGGCATTCTAATAGCCCAGGGATTTTTCTTCAATTCCTCCTTAGGTTGCTACTGTAAAATCAGCAAGTAAATGGCAATACCAGTTTTCTCTCCAGCTTCTCTTCCCCCCCCCCCCCCGCACCCACCAATCATGCTGTCAAACTCGGAACCACCTTCCAGGTTGCTGAGAACTCTGTGTCGTGGGCCATGTGTCTACACTGCCATGTTGCAGGGCCCAATGACCTTAGGCACTCCCGGGCGTCTGCTTGTGGAGATTGTCAGAGGAACTCCTCCAGTTCACTCATGTTTCCCTTTCTGGTAGGAGGCTGCATGCATTGAGTACATCCTCTTTCCTGGGCTCCTTTTCCTGTCCTTGGGGCCTTTTGCCTAACTGCCTGCTCCTGCAGCATACTGCTCCTGATGAGTGAATACAAAGCATCTTCATAGGTCTTCAGTTCTGGGCTCGCTGGGCACTGGTGTGGCTGCTCTACCTGTTCCCCCAAGATCAGGTGTGTTCCCTCAGGGACTCGCATTCCACTGACTGCAGAAGCAGGGCTCTCGAGGACTTTCCCAAACAGTCTCCAGGACATGAAGGCACCAGACAAGCCACATTTGTATTCTCGAAGTCCCCGCAGTTGCATTTGGATGTGTTAACAGCAGAAGTGGGCTGTGGAGGGATGCCCTTTGTTGGGCAGTGTCCATTTTTCTGGTTCTGGGGTCAGGACGTGCTGTTGCATCTTGCTGGTGGGTTTCCCGGTTCTTGCATGATCCTCTGTTCCTTGCTAGCTTTGCTCTACCAGCTCACAAATGAATCTACTGCTTTCTCGGTCACAACCAGCTTGGCTTCTCCTTTTGCTTTTGGAAGGAAGGTTTGCCTTGTGCTATGTGCCAGAATCACTTGTCATCGCACCCTCACATCCAGCATCAGAACGTGCTGGCACAAATGTTGGCAGTCAACCCCACCGTGCCCACTGGCACAAGAGTTGAGCAGAAAAGCCTATGATTGCATGACTTCACTGACTGCCCCATGTCCCCTCTCTCTTTCTGACCCAGATCAGTGGACCACTCCCTGCCTGGATCCTCCGTTTCTACAGACTTTGGCAGCTGGCAGATGGTAACAGGGTGTGGCAGTATTCAGGAGCATGCAATCCTGAGCACAGACGCCGCTCTCCCTGGCAGCTTCCCGGATGAGCTCCCTAACAGTGGCCTGTAAGTGTGCTGAGCACAGAGGATGGCTCCCTCTGCATAACAGTTGACTGGCTATGAAACTGGGACAAGCCAGAGAGCTGCATTAGCCTCAAGAATCATTTGGGCTACCGAAGTCTCCCCTGCCTTAACGCTTATCAGAAGTGCATTCTGCCACAGAGCACTCTGAGTTAAGCCACGGCATACGCACCACCAGGCTTGCTTAGTGTTACGTGAACTGTGCCCAGCCTTGAGGCAGGGAAAGGAATCCTGGGCTCTTCATTGGAGTCATTGCACCGTTTGGGCACAAGTTGGGAGAGAGGTTGCAGTTCTGCCATATAACACTGAGAGGGAATGGGAGGAATGAGTCAGGCCTGTTTCTTTCCCTGGATCCCACTTAGCCTCTCTGGGTATGTCCACCCAGCAAGGAAGTACCCAGCTGGCTTGGACTCACAGGGCTGTTTCGCTGCTATGTGGATTTCTGGACTCCAGCCCGAGCCTGGAAATCGACACAGCACTGAAACAGCCTGAGTCAGCTGGCACAGGCCAGCCGTGGGTTTTTCTTTGCTGTGTAGAGAGACCCTTTATCTCTACCACGTTTTAGAATCCTAGAACTGGAAGGGACCTTGAGAGGTCATCTAGTCCAGTCCCTGCACTCAAGGATTCCAGACCCTCCAAAACATTTGAGCTGCTGCTTTTTTTCCCCTTCCTTCCTTCCCTCCACCCTCTGCTTGACTTACAGCTGTCCACTTGCTCATGCCATATCGGAGCATGGTTCAGGGCAAGCCACAGTGCCAGATAAACACCTGACATTCGCTTCATAGAACTGAGGCGAAGCAAACGCTTTGCCCCACAGACAGCAAGTTATTTGTGAGGGACCTTCAAAGACATGAAATGCATTTTAATTGCAACTAAAAAATGTCAGCTGCTGTCTCTCCCTCTGAACTGTCAATCCAGTGACTGCACAGTGGCGGATGCAGTGTGTGCACTGAACTGTCAGCTAATCTTTACTGCTCTCGTTCTGCAGACATCTGCGCTGCTCTCTCCTAGCACCCTTTTAATGCCTCCTAAAATGGGGGGAGGTGGAGGGTTGGAAAACACGTTTCTTTTGAGACAAACTCTCCGTGCGACCAGCCCTGTTTGATGAAATGTGACCATCTATTGTCCTGCAGGCCAGAACCACAGCAGCAGCTTCTGTACCTTCCTGCACTGCCGCAAACCCTAAACTAACAGCCAGAAACCCTGGGAGGGATGCTGGGCACGACCTCAGAAAGGCATCTTCAACCACACAAGGTGGTGACAGTCCTCTTTTGCGAGGAGCACTCTGTGTGGCTCTGAGATGTGATTGACAGGCAGGAAGGGGTGGGAGGAGAAATCTTGAAAGACCTAGTGTCAATGAATGACCATTTGAATGTACAGCTTAATTCATGTCTGTCCTTTGGTGAGTCGTCCCCTCTCCTCCCCCCCCCCCCCCCGGGCTAGGGTAGCTGCAGTGTCTGGGAACGGGTAGCACTAAGCAGAGTGAGCCTCAGCTGCAGTCCCACATTAAGTCCTAGGTGGGTCTGGCCTCAAGACAGCTCAATCTCCTGGAAGTGTTGCCTCTGGTTTGGGATTTCAGTGTGAAGAGTCACTAGCTCCACAGCTGTGACTTGTGGGTCCTGGCAGCGTCCCTCTGCTGCAGTGGACAGGTCTGCACCTGGAATCTGGAGCATGTGAAGTGCTCAGTGTAACTTCTGGGCCCAGCCAAGCCAAGGGCAATGGACAAGGGAGAATTGCTTATTTCCTCAGATTTGTATAATTGATTAACCACCGCTACCCCCAAAATACTCACAACTGAAACCGTGGCCCTGATGTCCAGCTGCCTTGGGTTTCCATGGCTTTCAGACCCGTAACCTACTTAACCTGGTGGGGCTAGACTGGCCATCTGGAATGGTCTGCCTCTGGGTCAAGTGGGGTAATCCAGGTGACTTCTCCAAACCTGATCTGGGGTTCAGGTCCTTACCTTCTCTGCTGAGTAGCAGCCTTTGTTGGGAACAGAGTAACAGCCGTGTTAGTCTGTATTCGCAAAAAGAAAAGGAGTACTTGTGGCACCTTAGAGACTAACCAATATATTTGAGCATGAGCTTTCGTGAGCTACAGCTCACAGCTGTAGCTCACGAAAGCTCATGCTCAAGTACTCCTTTTCTTTTTGTTGGGAACAGTTGCAGCTGTCTCTCTTAGTTCAGGATACAAACGAGTTTCCATTTTAATTCCCTCTGGGTATGGAGCTTGCACCTGATGGCTGAGCTTTCGCAGGCTTGCTCTCTGCTGACAGGACATTTTCCACAGAGTCGTTACTCAGACTCTGTTGTGGGCCTCTACCACAAAGTCTCCAGTTTGGAGTTTTGGCCTGGACATAGTCTTGTCTCAGGCCCTGCATCCTCTTGCCCCCTTAGCTGGGGTTTAAACTTCCCGTGAAGCTTTAACATCTCCGCAGTATCCAAGCCTACCCTCTATACGGTGACAAACCTGGGGGTCTGGCTGAAAGCCTGCCTCAGCTCTTTGACTGCTCATCAGTGGCTGTGTACATGACTTAGTCTGCAGCACTAACAAGCATTAGTTGACCTCTCTGTTGAAGGAAACCAGGCCACCTTTTTTTCCTTCAGAAATAAACGGGGAATCTAAATATGAAGCAGTCAGTAAAGCTGCGCAGGTAAGCAGCTGACAGTTGGGAGGTAAATACACGACCAGTCTAGATGCACAACCAAAGATGTGCCCTTGTTTCTGTGCTGCATGAAACAGTCTGATTATCTGAACACTAGGAGACTTTTGTCATATAAATATGTAATTCTTTTTTTTAATTTTAAGAAGTTGCCTTAATATCCTGTGCCGCAGACTTCTACAGGCTAAAGTATTTCCTCTGTATCTGTTAAGTGTGTTGCCTTCCAGCATGCCCTCCTGCTTGGCTTTTAGGAAAGTAACTAGCAGCGTAGTTGGCTGCCTCAGTATCACTTGGTGTTTTTAAGCCTCCCACCAGATCTCCCCTCTTGCTGCTGTTTCCGGACGAATGCTGTTGGCTGGGGGTGGTTAACACTTCCACTCACTAACTGTGCCAGGGGAGAGCTAGCCAGGCGCTAGCAAGAATAAAGGGAAGTCTCTAGAGGAAGGTTTGTGCTCTGCCCTTGGCATAACCTTTGCAGAATGTCTTATTCTCTCCGGGAACCACGGCTCCATTGGTGGAGACACAGCAAGGACTGCTTCAATCCTAAACCCTAGAACAGCTGCCTTTGAACTGTAATCACTCTCATCGGGAATATCCTGTTATCTTCTCTCTCTGCCCCCGACCTGAAACTGTACCTAGAGCAGCTGGAGAGGAGAGCAGGTCCCAGGGGAACCAGGCCCTGCTCTAGGAGAGTGACGCAGACACAGCGCAGGCTTGCAGTGGAACAGATGTGAAAAATCTCTTCACTCTAGTGATTGTGGCTGGAACCCTCGGGGATTTCACCCCCTCACCCACCTCCCAAAATCCAACCTAGCTTATCCCATGCTCAGAGCTGGCTGTATGAGGACAGGAGGTGAGAGGGGCAGAAGAAGTGGGAAATACCCAAAGATCACTAAATGCTATCACTGTAATCGTCAGTCCAGAAGGATCCCAATGCACCCTAACTGCAACTCACTGCAGAGGAAGTGAAGCTTAGTAGTATCCACTTAAACTGCGGGCAGGACCCACTTAGGCTGGAATTTGGCCAGCATCCAGGGTCAAATCTGACCTGTGAACTCAGAAATGAAGTGTACCATTTTCCTCAGAAACTGCTCCTCCGGGCCTTGCAGATGCGGGCAGGAGGAGCAAAAAGTGAGGTATTGGCAAGGGACAAAATGTAGCTGGGTGAGACTTGGAGCTACACCCAGGTTCTGCCAGACGCCGGGAGCTGCAGGCCCAGCTCTTGGCCCATCCGCAGCAAAGCCAACCGCTCAGGCCAGCGTGGACCAAGGGAGACAGTTTGTGATACTGTCTGCTGGGAGGTCTGGGACTGTTGTAAAAACGAGGGATGTGATGGAGGGGGGTTGGGTGGGGGAGGGAAGCAGAGAGAAGGGCTGGTTCTGCTGCCTTCATAGGGGGGAGAACGCAGCACTGTGGCCCAGGTGCTGGAGAGCTGGGGCTTGGAACCTTGAGACGAGGCTGGCATGGGGCCAGGACACCAGCCCGGATCCCCTACTCTAGCACCAGCTGCCAGGGACTGGTTAGTAACAGGTTCTACCCTGGAGAACTATTCTGCGGCTAACTCCCTGGCTTGGAGCTGTGTGGTGTTAGCTGGCAGGTTGCAGCCAGACTTGGTCGGGGGCTGTGGAGTTCCTGCCTTGCTGGGGGAAGGGCTGATGTGTACCCACGGTGGGGTACGGCTGGGGGTAGCTAGCTAGCTCCAGGGAAGGCTGCTGCTGACCCCTCCCCCTTCTGTCTTGCAGGCTGGTGCCAGTGGCAGGCCGAGAGTCCCGGCTGGAGGAAGTGCGCTCTGCTTTCCTAGCCACCTACAGCAGCACCATTGGCCTGAAGGCTGTGCCATCCAGCCCCGCCGGAGCCCTTGGGGGCCTGCTGGAGCAGTTTGCACGGGGCGTTGGACTGAGAGGAAGCAGTAGCACCCTCTGAACATGTTGTACACTTGGACTGGCTCCTAGGTGTGTCCAGCAGCAGAAGGAACCTGAAAGACATGCAAGTGGCAGAGCTGCCCCTTGGGCCTGTCCTGCCGCCTGCACCAGGGGCTCTGCCCCGGCCAGCCCTGACTGGTTGTGACAGCCCTTTTCAGTAAAGGCATCTGCACCCCTGCCTTTGCCCTGCCTCTGGTTTTAGGCCGTGGCAGCAGTCGGGGAGAGGGGGGGCCTTGGGGGCTGGGTGCTTCTGTTTGCTTAGCATCCCATGTTGTCTGAGTGGGACCTGAGCCTGGTGGCTGGCTGGCAGATGATCTTTGCCTGAGTCCGCTTAGGCTATCTTGGCCACTAGGCTGAGCTCAGGCCGGATCCTGGCAGTGGGGCTGTGTGCCATGGAGCATATGGACGTGGGCAGGGCTGCAAATGGGTGTGTGGGGTAAGTAGCCCCTGGCTCGATCTGGCTGGCACGGTGGGGCTAGGGGGTGCGTCCCGTGCAACACCACTCACTGCCCTTGGGCCTGGCTGCCCCTCCATCCCGCCAGGAGCGCTGGGGTTCTGCTCCTACCCGCGGCTTCCCCAGCAGCCAAGGCCTGGGCCTGCCCCTCCCCTCGTGCCCGGTGCGGGGGCCCGGCCCTTTGCCCCCCCACCAGCGGCCGACGCCGGAGCTGCCTGTGCCCGGTGCGGGGATGTTAGTGGGCAGCCCTGCCCGGGGCCGGTTCTGGGCCGCCTGGGGTCGGGGTGGGGTCCTTGGGGGGCGCCTCGGTGGAGCTTTCACTAGGCGCGGGCGCTGCGGAGCGCGGCGGGCTCCCCGGGGCCGGTCCCTGCGCCGGGCGGGGAGGGGGCCGCGGCCAGACGCGCTGCGCCGGGCGAGCGGAGCGGACGCAGGCGGGGGCGGAGGCAGGGCGCCCGCGGGAGGCTCCGGCTCGGCGCACGGACCTGCCCGGGGCCGCCGCCGCTTCCCCGCCCGTGGAGCCCGCCCCGCGCCTGCCTTAGCGCGGCGCGCCCGGAGCGCAGCGAGCCGGCAGCGGGGATGGCGTCTCCGGGAGCCCTGGAGCCGGCGCCCGCCAGCGTCCCGGCCACCAAGCTGGAGCTCACCGTCTCCTGCAGGTGCGGGGCCGCGGGCAGCGCCGGGCGCGGGCGGGAGCCTCCGGCAGCCGGGGCCGAGCCACACCTTCCCTCCTCGGCACAGCGCGGGTCCGTCGGGGAAGGGGCGCGGGGCGGGCAGCTTGGAACGGGCTCCTTGGCCAGAGAGACTGTCTGTGAGCGTGCAACGCATGCCCGTTGTGTGTGGGGGATAGTGTGTGAGCGTGCAACGCATGTCCATTGTGGGGGGGACAGTGTCTGATTGTGCAACGCATGCCCATCGTGTGTGTGGGAGACAATGTGTGAGTGTGTCCACTGTGTGCGGGGGATAGTGTGTGAGCGTGCGACGCATGTCCATCATGTGGGGGGCAGCATCTGAGTGTGCAACGCATGCCCATCGTGTGTGTGTGGGACAATGTCTGAGCATGCAACTCATGTCCAGTCATGTGAGCGTGGGACAGCGTGTGAGCGTGCAACACATTCCCATCATGTGTGTGGGGGACAGAGTGTGAGTGTGCAACACATGTCCATCGCATGTGTGTGGGGACAGCATGTGAGCATGCAACGCATGTCAATTGTGTGTGTGACGGTGTTTGAACATACAGTGCATGGTCAACGTATGTGGGGGAGACAGCATGTAAGCGTGCAATGCATTGCCATTGTGTGTGTGGCAGGCAGCATGTGAGTGTGCAACACATGCCCATTGTGTGTGCGTGCATGGCAAGGCATGGGAGCATGCAACACATGTCCATCATGTGTTCACGTGCAACAGCATATGAGCGTGCAAAGCATATTCATCATGTATGTGTGTGATGGCATGTGAGCATGTAATGCCCAGCCACCCAGTGCACATGGGGAGCGTGTGAGTGTGCAATGCATGCATGTATGCCTGCTGTGTGTGCATGTGAGCACATATGCATGTCTACTATGTGTGCATAGAGTGGGTGTATGTGAGCGTGTGTGCCTGGTGTGTGTGCAGGGGATAGTGTGTTTGAGCGAACATGCAGCAAACTTGCTCTTCAGTGATTATTTCCTCTTAACCCCCCAATGGAAATGCAGCTTTCGTGCTGTTTGCTGGTGTGAGCGACACCCTAAGCCCTCAGCCCCGCTCAGTGAGACTTTGTCGGCAGGACCATGGTGCAAGAGCTGCATAAGAGACTGTTCCCTCTGGTCCTGCTCGGGGAAGAGCCTGACCTGCCCAGGATAGGGCTGGCCCATGCCCCGTACGCCCCCCCATCACTCGCTCTCACCCAGTGCCTCTCCCCTGCTCGCTCTCACTCAGCGCTCCCCCCCCAACTCGCTTGCTCTCACCCAGCGCCCCTCCCCTGGCAGGTCTCCGTAGACTCAGGCCCAGGCAAAGACGACAGCTGAGGTTCTTCCCAGTGGCTCCCTAGCTTGCAGCTTGGGATTCCCACCCAGCGGGTCTGTGGCAGGCTGCCCCAGAGCCCCGGGCAGGCCGCAGGTTCCTAGGCGCCTGTGGGGTGGTACCAGGGCAGCGAAGGCGGCTGGGCGGGCAGGTGGAAGCCCTGGCCGTGCCAGAAGAGTGCGCCCAGCAGTGCAGCTGGCAGCTCGCTGGGCACCAGCCGAATGCCAGGCTAACCACGTCCGTGCAGGCTGGGGGCCCCTTGACTGTTCTGCCCTGGGCTCCGGAATTGCTGTCGGCGGGCCTGGCCCCCCGTGCTGTCTCCTGGGAATGAGCTGGGGGAAGGTCCGTGCGGAAGAGCGGGCGGTGTCCCTGGCTGCACATGGCTCCATGGGCAGTGTTTGCTCACGTTCCCGCCACGTCTCCAGAGCACCCCTGGTTCTGACCCCAGCCCAGGGTTTGGATGGGACAGAAGGCGCTTTCAGGGCTGTCTGGCTCCAAAGAGAGGCAGAGTTGGCTGCCGGACACACCCCTTTGCACGGGCAGAGCCGTCGGGTGTCCTGGGGAACACGCCCGCTCTGTGCAGGGGCCAGATGCCCGAGCTCTGGCTCCTGTTCATGTTCGTCGCTGGTTTTCAGCTGGGTCTGTCTGACAGCACCGTGTGCTCACGAGGGCTTTGGTGAGGCAGGGCCAAGGTACGAGGGGGCTGGGAAGCGGCACCGTCTGCCCAGCTCCTCGCCAGGGGAGGCTGAGGGGTTACTGTGCCTGTGTGCACCCCTGGGATCCCAGCGTGACTGGTGCGAGGGGAAGCCCCAAAACAGGGAAATGAACTGAACAATTGCGACCCCTCGAGGCTCTGGTTCGGAGCAGGCCTGCAGGGGTGCTGGTGCCTGGCTGCTGCAGCCTTCGGTGCGTGGACGGGGAGAAGCGCCTCCGCCAGATGGGAAAGTGGGTTTGCTGCTGGCTGCTGGCGAGGCTGCCTGCTCCTCTGCCTCCAGCAGCCGCAGAGCCAGGTCTTGACGGCTCGGAGCAGACGGAGACCCGCAGCCCCTTCCTGCGGGAGCAGGGACTAACTCTGATCTCGAAGGGCAGCGAGGAAGCTTTCGCCCCTGGAGGCGGGGGGCATGGGCCGGATCAGCAGGGATGGATCTCTCACATCGCCCTGTGCTTTGGGGGGGCGAGATGCAGAAATGGCATCCTCTCCCCAAGGGGGGCGTGTCTGCTCTTTACAGCTGTTCTGAGGTCGGCAGTTGTTGCCTCTGGTCAGCCAGGGCAGCTCTCTGGATCAAGAGAGCTCCGCTCCGCACCGAGCACAAGGCTGTCGCCCAAGCTTCTCAGCTTTTCCCGGTCCTCACCAGATCACCTCCCTAAGGAAACGGATCTGCTGGGCCTGGCCCCGGCTTCCAAAGGCTTTGGGCCCTTTCTTCTCTGCATGGCCATGTGGGGTGCTGGAACAGTTTGTACGGGGGGCTGAGAGCCATTGAACCAAACTGCAAAACCTGGATATGATGGAAACCCCTTCAAGCCAAGGGGTCAGGCAGCACCCCGCCCCCACAGCTCCAGCATCTCTGTGGCCATAGCTTGAAGCCTGCTCTCAAATGTCTGCTCTTTCACTGCCATGGGCATGGACATGTCAGACCTATAGGGATTGAGGATGGGGAGCGGGAAGGAGGCCAGGTAACAATCCTTGGAGCTGTCGCTTCTGTGTCTCCTTCCTCATGACCTCCTGTGTAGGGTGTGACCTGAGCTCATCTGGTTGGTCCCTCTTCGTCCTTTGCCACCTCCCTCTGACAGACCCAGCTGCTCCTGGCAAATCCAGGTGACTTGTGCAGAACTCCCCTTTCCCTCACCTGCCCGTCCATCCTCAGACTGATCCGGGACGCGCCCGTTTGGAGGCCCTGTTGCAAACAAATATGAAGGAACAGTGAGAATTTTGGAAGTGTTGCAGGGAGGGGCCTGGGCGTGTCTGTGCTGGGATGGGCCAGGGACCCTTAGTGTTTTACAGCCTCCATGCCTGGCACGGGGCTGGCAGCTGGTCTGAGGGTCTCTAGTGAGCTGGAACCCAGGCCAAAAGGGCTCCTTCTCCAGCCGAACAATTTTCCCTTGTGTGGCTCTGCCCAGCAGAGTGTTAAACACCCTTGGGTCCTGCTCCACTGGCCTGGGCCGTGTTCCCAGCAGAGGTGGGGAAGAGTGGAGGAAACCCTCTGTTCTGGCTGAGTTCCTGGGCAGCCCCAGGAGGGTGGGGGGCTCAGACCCCCTGGGACCCTGGCCTGGAACCAGGCAGGGCAGAGCCCTGCTCTGAATGTGCCACCAGCCTCGGGCTGGGGTGTCTCCCATCCCTGGTGAGAGCAGGTGTCATGGGGCACAGGAAAGAGCTCAGAGGATTTGATGGCAGCCTTTGGTGCTTTTCAGTGTCAAACTCTGCGCAGCCAGGAATGACCAAAGTGCTGCGGCGGCTGCTGTTTCAGGGGGTTGGGGGGAGCAGCCCCTGGCACCCGCTCACTCAGTCAGGCTGCTCAGACCTTGCTAAGTCTCTTTTCTTCTCACTTTGCCTCCCCCGGCCCATCTCTCCATTGCGGACACTCCCGCGCCGGGGTGCAACGGCCGCTCGGCCATCACCAAGTGCGCTAGTAAACGGGCTGCCTGTCATGTTCGATCACCGTCTGGGCCAGAGACGCTGTTTCTTCCTCACCCCATTCAGCTTGCCGACCCTACCTCCCCCCAGAACGCGCTCTGCCAGCGGGAGCCTGCTTCTCGCAGAGCCACGCCAGTGCACCCCTCCCTGCACGGCCCTGCTGCTCTCCAAGCACCTGCTTCCCAGCCCCGGCTCTCGTCCCTGTGGGTCGGCCCCCCGGGCTCACCTGCACACCCCTCAGGATGTGGGTGCAAGGCTTCTCCCTGCTCTGCACCCTCTGCCTTGGCACCCCCCAGGGATCCCGGGGGTAGAGTGACCATACGTCTCGTTTTGGCCAGGACAGTCCCTTTTTTAAGCCCTGTCCCAACTTTTTTGGCAAAAGTGGGCGTTTGTCCCGTTTGTTCTTGCCGACTAGATCAGTTTGCAAGAGCAAATGGGACAAATGTCCACTTTTGTCAAAAATGTGGGGTGCGGTGCAAAGGAACATGGGGGGGGGCGAGCAGCAACCCCAACCCAGTGCAGGGGGCAGGCAGGGCTGGAGTGAGCGGAGACCCCAGCCCAGTGCAGGGGGGCAGCCAGGGCTGGAGTGAGCGGAGACCCCAGCCCAGTGCAGGGGGGCAGGCAGGGCTGGAGTGAGCGGAGACCCCACCCCATGCAGGGGGGCAGCCAGGGCTGGAGTGAGCGGAGACCCCAACCCAGTGCAGGGGGCAGGCAGGGCTGGAGTGAGCGGAGACCCCAGCCCAGTGCAGGGGGGCAGGCAGGGCTGGAGTGAGCGGAGACCCCACCCCATGCAGGGGGGCAGCCAGGGCTGGAGTGAGCGGAGACCCCACCCCGTGCAGGGGGGCAGCCAGGGCTGGAGTGAGCGGAGACCCCAGCCTCGCTTGAGGAGGAGGGCTTGGGCAAGTGGGGAGGCCAGCCCTGTGGGGCAGGGGGGGGGGTGCAGTGTCCTGTTTTCCTTTTGGGGAGATATGGTCACCCGACCCGGGAGCATCCCTGGCACTGCACCCATGGGGGCTGTTCCCACTCAGCTGCTCATGCCTGTTACCGGGTAGAGTCCCCAATCCCCAGCCAGAGTCAGCGCGGCCCGCAGGACTCCCGGCCTGGCCGGAGAGAGCATCCCTCAGCAGAGCCGCCTGTGTCCTGCGAGCTGCGTCTGGCCGAGTTGTGCTGCCCGCAGGGGCTGAGCAATCAAACCACTCCAGCCCCCTGGCACCAGCACCCGCCCCCTGCACACAGGTGGGTCCTAGACTCCTCCCATCCCCACGGGCTCTGGCCTGGGGGCTGCGGCCTGGGGGCCGGCACCTGCCAGGGGTGAAGCTCTGATGCCTTATGTTTATGTTGAAGGCATAAAAAAGGGAGCCCAAAGGGACTTGTTCGTTGGCTGTGGCAGGTAACGTGGGTCCCTTGCGGCTCTGCAGCTGCCTGGTGTGGGCTTGCTGGGAAAGAATGAAACCCCGGGGCTGGGGAAGCCGGGAGCTCCCCCCCACAGCCAGTGCCCTGCCCCGCCCCCACAGCGCCCCCTGCTGGGAGCCCCCCCAGAGCTTTCCCCTGCCCCCCCACAGCGTCTCCTGCTGGGAGCTTCCCCCCAGCCAGCACCCTGCCCCGTCCCCATGGCACCCCCTGCTGGGAGCCCCCCAGAGCCACCCCCTGCCCTGCCCCCCCACAGTCCCCGCTGCTGGGAGCTCCCCCCCCAGCCAGCACCTTGCCCTGCCCCCACAGCACCCCCTGCTGGGAGCCCCCCAGAGCCACCCCCTGCCCTGCCCCCCACAGCGCCCCCTGCTAGGAGCTCCCCCCCAGCCAGCACCTTGCCCCACCCCACAGCCAGTGCCCTGCCCCGCCCCACAGCGCCCCCTGCTGGGAGTGCACCGTGGCCACAGCCATGCTGGTTTCTTGCCATGGTTTATAACGTGTGGATGATTCTGTTTGTTTGAAGAGCTGCCTCGGAGGGTGGTGGCTGACGGGGAGCTGAGGGCTGGGCTCCCTGCCCCTGGGCACATCTGGAGCCCTCCGGGCACAGGGAACAGCTGCGTTTCCTCCCCGCACTGCACAGAGCAGACGCTTCACCCAGAGGCCCCAAGAGGAGATACAAGCAGAGACAGGACCCCAGGGCAAGTACAGGAGCCTAAATAGCCAGCGCTGGGGCTGCAGGGTCAGGGCAGCCCCAGCTAGTAACCGTCCCCTGGCTGCCTGTGATTTTGCCTGCCCCACTGAGTCCCCTCTGTGCCCCACACCGCCCAGGGGTGCTCCAGCCCCTTGCCGGGCTGGACTCCCCAGTGGACGTGTCCAGGAGGGTGGGGGCTGCAGGGACCAGCTGTTAACAGAAGTATTAATTTTAGTTACTGTTTGTGCCACTGCAAAGCTGCCATGGCAACCAGGAGAGGTTATACTGAGGGGCAGGGTGGGTCCCCCACCACACACAGACACTGGCCTCCTCTCCCAGCCCCCAACGCCCTCCCCCACAGCCCAGGGACCCCGTGTCTGAGCTCCAGAGAGGCTGCCTGTTCCTGGGTGCAGATTCCACTGACCTGTCCTGTTCTCGCTGGCGGGTTTGATGCGGATGGACTCCAGCGGCTCTGGAGGGGAGGGAAGGCCTGGCCTGGCCTGGGAGTGGGGAGGGCGGCTGGGCTGGGGCCCAATGCTCGGGGGCTGCAGGTTCTGCAGTAGTTCGTAGAGCCCGATTCCCCCACTTCTCCCATTGCTGGACGAGTTTCCTGCCTGGCTCATGTCCATCTGTCTGTCTCCCCAGGAACTTGCTGGACGTGGACACCTTCTCCAAGTCTGACCCTGGTACGTGTGGGGAGTGGAGCTAGCTAGGGGACCGGCCTCAGGGCGAAGTCCCTGGCAGGGCAGGCGGGGAATGTGCCCTGAGGGGGCAGCAAGGCCTGGGCAGCTGGTTCCTACAGGCTGTGCCTGGCGCTGCGCGGTGGCAGGGGTGTGTGATTGCGTTAAGCTGCACAGCCGGGACCGAGACAAACCTGTCCGGGGCAAGGCAGCGGGGGTGCGGGCAGCTGCGCAGCCCGGCGGGGCCCGTCAGCGGAGACGAGCACTAGGCCTCATGGCAGAAGCTGATTGTGAGAAGGAGACTGGGGATGGAGCGCACCGTGTGCGTGCAGTGCAGGGGGGGCGCTTGGTGTGCTGCACAAGGGACACGCACAGTGTGTGCAGGGGGGATGGGCGGGCGGGCGTGCAGGGGGGATGCTTGGTGTGCTGCACAAGGGACACGCACAGTGTGTGCAGGGGCACGGGGAGAGTGCAGTGTTGGGGTGAGCCAGGTTAACATGTATAAGTGTGAGGCACAAAGTATGTCTGTGGGTGCATGTAGCGTGATGTGCAAGGTATGTGCGTGCAGTGCGGGGTGTGCACATGTGCAGTGTGGGTGGTGATGTCACGGCCTGAGGGGGAGTCAGGGCCCGGCACCCCCACTTCCTGCCATCCACCGTGACTCTCAGCCAGCCAGTAGAAGAGCAGGTTTATTAGAGACGACAGGAACACAGTCCAGACCAGAGCTTGTGGGCACAAACAGGACCCCTTAGTCAGGCCCTTCTGGGGGGCAAGGAGCTTAGACCCCGTCTCTGCAGCTCTCTCCTCTTCCCCAGCCCACTCCAAAAACTGAAACCCCCTCCAGCCGACTCCCCCAGCCTCCTCCCCTGCTCCTCCTCCAGCCTTTGTCCAGATTCCCAGGCAGAAGGTGTCACCTGGACCCAACCCCCCTCCAAGCTCAGGTTACAGGCTCAGGTATCTTCCCAGGCAGTAAAGTCACCTCCTGCCATCCCATCACCAATGCAGACAGTCCCAGGAAACTCCCCTGCTACATTCCTAGGTCAGTCCACCCCCCTCCCTGCTGCATCACATCTCTCCCCCCTTCGAGACTGAACTGAGCGGGGTCACTGAGACCAGTGACCTGTGGAAGTTCGGGGCCCCCTCTCCGGGACAGCGCATCCGCTATCAGGTTGGCACTCCCCTTCACGTGGACCACGTCCATGTCGTAATCCTGCAGGAGCAGGCTCCATCTCAGGAGTTTGGCGTTGGCTCCTTTCATCTGGTGCAGCCAGGTCAGGGGAGAGTGGTCGGTGTAGACGGTGAAGTGTCGCCCGAAGAGATAGGGCTGGAGTTTCTTAAGGGCCCACACCATGGCCAGGCACTCCTTCTCGATGGCCGCGTAGTGTTGCTCCCGGGGTAGCAACTTCTTGCTCAGGTACACGATGGGGTGTCTCTCCCCCTTTTCATCCTCCTGCATTAACACCGCCCCAGTCCCGTGTCTGAGGCGTCGGGGAACACCATAAAGGGCTTGTCAAAGTCTGGGTTTGCCAGAACTGGGCCACTGACCAGAGCCTCCTTCAGCGCCCGGAAAGCCTCCTGGCACTGCTCGGTCCAGACCACCTTGTCTGGCTTCCCCTTCTTGCATAGCTCCGTGATGGGGGTGGCTATGGCGCTTATGTGGGGCACAAATCTCTGGTAGTATCCTGCCAACCCAATAAAGGCTTGGACCTGCTTTTTGGTGTGGGGAGCGGGCCAGTCTCTGATCACCTCCACCTTGGCTGGTTCCGGCTTTAGGCGGCCGCTCCCCACCCGATGGCCCAGGTAAGATACTTCCGCCATCCCCACCTTGCACTTCTCCGCTTTTACAGTCAGCCCAGCCTCCTGGAGTCGGTCCAGCACTTGTCTAACCTGGGACACGTGGTCCTCCCACATCTGGCTAAAGACACAGATGTCATCAATATACGCCACGGCAAAACTCTCCATCCCCCTCAGGAGCTGGTCCACTAGGCGCTGGAAGGTGGCCGGCGCTCCCTTGAGGCCGAAAGGCAGGGTCAGGAACTCATAGAGCCCCAGAGGGGTGATAAAGGCCGATTTCAGCCGGGCATCTGCATCCAGCGGCACTTGCCAGTAGCCCTTTGTAAGGTCCATGGTGGTGAGGTACCGAGCTCCTCCCAGCTTGTCTAGGAGCTCATCAGGCCTGGGCATGGGGTAGGCATCCCATACAGTGATGGCATTGAGCTTCTGATAGTCCACACAGAACCGGACCGACCCATCCTTTTTGGGGACCAGCACCACCGGCGAGGCCCAAGGGCTGGCCGATAGCTGGATCACCCCTAAAGCCAGCATGTCCCGGACCTCTCTTTCCAGGTCCTGAGCAGTTTTCCCTGTGACTCGGAAGGGGGAGCATCTTATCGGCGGGTGCGACCCTCTCTGCACCCGGTGGACAGTCAGATTAGTGCGTCCAGGCTGGTTGGAAAACAGCTGTCGGTACGGATGCAGCACCTCCCCGACCTCAGCTTGCTGGGCAGGGGTTAGCTGATCCGAGAGGGGAATTGTTTCCAGGGGGGAACCAGCTCTGGTCCCAGGGAATAGATCTACTAAAGGGTCATCTCCCTGCTCCTCCCGCTGTCCACACACGGACAACACCACATTCCCCCTGGCATAATATGGCTTCATCATATTCACATGGTACACCCGGCGGTGGTGCGCCCGGTTCGACAGCTCCACCACATAGTTTACCTCATTGAGCTGCTTGACAACCTTGAAAGGGCCCTCCCAGGCGGCCTGTAGTTTGTTCTTTCTCACTGGGATGAGAACCATCACCGGATCCCCGGTGGCGTAGGCACGGGCCTGCGCTGTGCGGTCATACCAGACCTTCTGCTTCTTCTGGGCTCTGGCCAGATTCTCCCTGGCCAGGCCCATGAGTTCAGCCAGTCTCTCTCGGAAGATCAGGACATACTCCACCACTGACTTTCCATCGGGAGTGGCCTTCCCCTCCCATTCGTCTCTCATCAGGTCCAGGGGGCCCCTCACCCTCCTTCCATATAACAGTTTGAAAGGTGAAAACTCGGTAGACTCCTGGGGCACCTCCCTGTACGCGAACAGCAGGTGAGGTAAGTACTTGTCCCAATCCTGCGGGTGCCGGTTCATAAAGGTTTTCAGCATCATCTTTAGCGTCCCATTGAACCTCTCCACCAGCCCATTGGACCTGTTGTGCTGGACCCCACATTTCTCCCACAAGCCCCGGAGCAGGGCAGACATGAAATTGGAGCCTTGGTCTGACAAAACTTCCTTGGGGAACCCCACTCGGCTGAAAATGGTCAGGAGCGCATCTGCCACGGTGTCTGCTTCAATGGAAGCTAAGGGCACTGCCTCGGGGTAGCGGGTGGCGAAATCTACCATCCCCAGAATGTATTTCTTCCCCGACCGGGTCGTCTTGCTGAGAGGCCCCACTATGTCCATGGCCACCTTCTGGAAAGGTTCCTTTATGATGGGCAAAGGTCTCAAAGCTGCTTTCCCCTTGTCCCGGGCCTTCCCCACCCTCTGACAGGGGTCATAGAATCACAGACTATCAGGGTTGGAAGGGACCTCAGGAAGTCATCTAGTCCAATCCCCTGCTCAAAGCAGGACCAATCCCAACTAAATCATCCCAGCCAGGGCTTTGTCAAGCCTGACCTTAAAAACTTCTAAGGAAGGAGATTCCACCACCTCCCTAGGTAACGCATTCCAGTGTTTCACCACCCTCCTAGTGAAAAAGTTTTTCCTAATATCCAACCTAAACCTCCCCCACTGCAACTTGAGACCGTTACTTCTCGTTCTGTCATCTGCTACCACTGAGAACAGTCTAGAGCCATCCTCTTTGGAACCCCCTTTCAGGTAGTTGAAAGCAGCTATCAAATCCCCCCTCATTCTTCTCTTCCGCAGACTAAACAATCCCAGTTCCCTCAGCCTCTCCTCATAAGTCATGTGTTCCAGTCCCCTAATCATTTGTGTTGCCCTCCGCTTTCCAATTTTTCCACATCCTTCTTGTAGTGTGGGGCCCAAAACTGGACATAGTACTCCAGATGAGGCCTCACCAATGTCAAATAGAGGGGAATGATCACGTCCCTCGATCTGCTGGCAATGCTCCTACTTATACAGCCCAAAATGCCATTGGCCTTCTTGGCAACAACGGCACACTGTTGACTCACATCCGGCTTCTCGTCCACTGTAACCCCTAGGTCCTTCTCTGCAGAACTGCTGCCGAGCCATTCGGTTCCTAGTCTGTAGCGGTGCATGGGATTCTTCCGTCCTAAGTGCAGGACTCTGCACTTGTCCTTGCTGAACCTCATCAGATTTCTTTTGGCCCAATCCTCCAATTTGTCTAGGTCCCTCTGTATCCTATCCCTACCCTCCAGCATATCTACTTTTCCTCCCAGTTTAGTGTCATCTGCAAACTTGCTGAGGGTGCAATCCACGCCATTCTCCAGATCATTAATGAAGATTTTGAACAAAACCGGCCCCAGGACCGACCCTTGGGGCACTCCACTTGATACTGGCTGCCAACTAGCCATGGAGCCATTGATCGCTACCCGTTGAGCCCGACAATCTAGCCAGCTTTCTATCCACCTTATAGTGCATTCATCCAGCCTATACTTCTTTAACTTGCTGGCAAGAATACTGTGGGAGACCGTGTCAAAAGCTTTGCTACAGTCAAGGAACAAGATCGCAGGATCGGCAATACTGCTGGTCCGTGGTGAAGACCCCGGGCCAGTAAAAGTTCTGTAGCAACCTCTGCCGGGTGCGCCGGATTCCCTGGTGCCCTGCGAGGGGGATGTCATGGGCCAGGTACAGGAGCTTGCGGCGATACTTCTGGGGGACCACCAGCTGCCTCCTGATCCCACAGGACTCCACTTCCCTTGTGGGAGCCCATTCTCGGTACAGGAACCCCTTCTCCCACAGGAACCTCTCCTGGCAGCCTCTCTTCATGGTCCGTACCACACCAAGGTCGGCCAGGTCCCTGAGCTTCCGCAAGGAGGGATCTTTCCTCAACTCGGCCTGGAACTCAGCGGCTGGGGAAGGGATGGGGACTGGTTCCCTCTCACTGGCCGGGTCTGAGGCCACAGCCTCTCTGAGCCGTGCCCCTTGGCGCGCCCTCCCCACCAAGGTAGGGTCCTGCGCCTCCGGTGTGGTACCCTCCCCACGGTCAGGGCGCAGTGCTCCTCGCCGGCTCTGGATATGGGTCACGACCAGGGTATTCTGGGGGTTGCTTGGCCAGTCCTCTAGGTCTCCCCCCATCAAAACTTCAGCGGGCAAATGGTGGTGTACCCCCACATCCTTGAGGCCCTCCTTGGCCCCCCATTTCAGGTGTACCCTTGCCACGGGCACCTTAAATGGGGTCCCGCCCACCCCCGTCAGGGTCAGGTAGGTGTTGGGCACCACCCGATCTGGGGCCACCACCACGGGCCGGGCCAGCGTCACCTCCGCGCCCGTATCCCAGTATCCATTGACCTTCCTCCCATCCACCTCCAGGGGAACAAGGCACTCGCTCCGGAGGGACAGCCCCGCGCCCACCCTGTAAACTGAGAACCTTGAGTCTGGGGCATCCAGCCCCCCAGAGGAGCTGGTCTGGGGCACTCCTCCCTCCTGAGCAGTTGGTAAGCTGCCAGCCTCCCTTGCCTGGGAAGCCTGCTCCTCGTCCAGCTGGGTCCCTACCCAGTTAACCCTGTGTGGGTTTGGTCTGCTCAGACTGCCCCTGAGCTTGGGGCACTGGGTCTGTATGTGGCCTTTCCGGCCACAGTGATAGCAGCTCAGGTCCCATTGGTCCCCTCAAGTGGGTCGGTTGGTCCTGATGCCGGATGTTCCCCTTGGGATGGGGTGCTCTACATTCCCCCTTTGGGAGGTCCCATGGTGACTCTCTCTCTCTGCATCGTGGGGGGCCTCTTCATTTGGGACTCCTCCCTGCCACTCCCCGACCGACTGTTCACAAACTCGTCGGCCAGCTGCCCTGCGTGCTGGGGGTTCTCTGGCTTTTTGTCCACCAGCCACACACAGCCTCAGGTCGGAAGGGTACTGTTCATACAGTTGCTCCAGAACAATTAGGTCGAGCAGGTCCTCCTTCGTCCGGGCCCCATCTGCCCACTTGCAGGCATATCCCTGCATCTGGAGGGCCAGTTGTAGATATGTGCCCTCAGGCATTTTATGCTGACTCCAGAGCCTTCTCTGGTACATGTCGGGAGTCAGCCCAAACTCGCAGAGCAGGGCCTGTTTGAACAGTTCATAGTCCCCTACCTCCGCCCCTTTCATTCGGCTGTACACCTCCACGGCTTTGGGGTCCAGTAAGGGGGTGAGAAACTGGAGCCTGTCTGCTGGGTCAACCCTGTGAATCTCACAGGCGTTCTCAAAGGCCGTCAGGAAGCTATCGATGTCCTCCTCTCCTTACGCTGGGCCAGGACGCACTTATCAAATCTCCATGCAGTCCTGGGTCCCCCATCACTCACCAAAGCCGGGGCCTCGCTGCTCCTCAGCCTTGCCAACTCCAGCTCATGCTGATGCTGCTTTTCCCATTCCTCCAGCTCATGCTGACGCTGCCTTTCGCGACCCTCTCACACTTTTTCGCGATCTTCCAACTCTCTCAATTTTATCTCCCTCTCCCATTCCAGCCGCCTCAGCTCCAGGGATGGAGAACTCCGCCGGAGGATCCCCTGCTGGCTGCTGGGTCAGGGTGCCTTTGGTATTCTCTGGGCTCCTCCCAGCCCCTCCCCTAGGCATAGGTAGGGGGATCTCGGGATGCCCTTGGCTGCAATCTGACCCCTCCCAGCCGGGTCAGGCACCAGGGCCCATGTTGCATCTGCTAGGCTGCTTCCCTCAGAGGCAGGGATCGGTGCATCCAAGCGATCCTCCTCCTCCAGCTGGGCAATCAGGTGTTCTTTGGTGAGCCTTCCAATGTGCAGCCCCCTCTGCCTGCTCAGCTCCACCAGGTTGCTCTTAAGGCGCTTAGCGTACATCTCCCTGATGGCCACGAACAGGCCAGGGTGCTCGAGCTGCAGTGTCCAGGAGGAACCCCTACTGTGCCAACCCTTCTCCAGGTCACCACCCCTCTTCCAAGGTCAAGCCACAGACTCCTCCACCCCTGAGACTGCTCACTGCAGTGTCCAAGGGGACCCCATTATTGCAACAGTCCTTCTTGCTGGTCACACACTCCCAGGGGTTAAGCATAGCTCCTTCGCCCCCCAAACCCACTCCTCTCTGACTCTTCAGCACGCCTGGTTCCTGTCAATCCCCCTTCGTTTTACTGCAGGAAGCACCATCCACGGGGTGCAGTAGATCCCACCTCTGACAGCAGCTGTCATGGAGATTGGGGAGGTCAGGGCCCTGCACCCCCACTTACTGTGATTCACCGTGACTCTCAGCCAGCCAGTAGAACAGAAGGTTTATTAGAGATGACAGGAAAACAGTCCAGACCAGAGCTTGCAGGCATAAACAGGACCCCTTAGTCAGGCCCTTCTGGGGGGTAGAGCGCTTAGACCCCCACTCTGCGACTCTTTCCTCTTCCCCAGCCCACTCCAAAAACTGAAACCCCCTCCAGCCAACTCCCCCAGCCTCCCCCCAGTTCCTCCTTCAGCCTTTGTCCAGTTTCCCCAGGTGGAAGGTGTCACCTGGACCCAACCCCCCTCCCAACTCAGGTTACAGACTCAGGTATCATCCCAGGCAGTGAAGTCACTCCCTGCTATCTCATCACCGATCAGACAGTCCCAGTAAACTCCCCTGCCACATTCCTAGTTCAATCTGCCCCACTCAGTCCCTGCTGCATCATAGGTGGGATGGGATGTGCATGTGCAGTGGGATGGTGTCCATGAGGTGTGCATGTGCGAGTGTGTGGTGGTGGAGTGCACATGCAGTGTGTGCACAGAGGAGTGGGGTGTGCAATGTGTAGGGGCGAGGTGTGTATGTGCAGTGAGGTGTGTGTATACTCACTGTGATGTGCAAAGTATGCATGCACAGTGGCAGGTACATGAGGTGTGTGTGCCATGGGGGAGTGTGTGTGAGACATGCAGTTGGATGGAGTGTATCAGGGGTGCAGTGTGTGAGGCATGCAGTGGGATGGGGTGTGTCAGCAGATGCAGTGTGAGAGACACGCAGTGGGATAGGTATGTTGGCGGATGCAGTGTGTGAGGCATGCAGTGGGATGGGGTGTTTCGGGGGTGCAGTGTGAGAGACATGCAGTGGAATGGGTTGTTGGCGGATGCAGTGTGTGAGGCATGCAGTGGGATGGGGTGTTTCAGGGGTGCAGTGTGTGAGGCATGCAGTGGGACGGGGTGTTTCGGGGATGCAGTGTGTGAGGCATGCAGTGGGATGGGGTGTTTCAGGGGTGCAGTGTGTGCGGCATGCAGTGGGACGGGGTGTTTCGGGGGTGCAGTGTGAGAGACATGCAGTGGGATGGCTGTGTTGGCGGATGCAGTGTGAGAGACATGCAGTGGGATGGGGTGGCTTCTGATACAGAGGCAGTCATTAACCCCGCGCTCTCCTCTCTGCAGTAGTGGTTCTGTTCATCCACGGGAGCGGCAGCAAGGAGTGGAGGGAGGTGAGTGAGCGCAGTGGGGCCCGTCCCAGTGCCCGGAGCCAGCACTCTGCTCCCGCTGCAGCAGGGGTCGATGTTTGTCCTGCTCTGGCACAGGCTGGGCATGAGAAGGGCAAAGACCTTCTGCTGCCCTGGGCTCCTTATGGGGGGCTCGGGAGACCCGCTTGCCACCCCAGCTCCACTGCCAATGCGCCCATCTAGCCCTGTACCCCCCACCCCCAAGCAAGTCAGTGGGCTCATCTGCCACGGCTGAGTCTTTGTCAAGGAGCTAGCAGAGCTGAGCACCCACCTCTCGGCCAGCTGGCCACTGACCTGCTGGAAGTCCAGGGTGGGACTTAGCCACCTGACCTTGTCTCCTCCCCCTCCCCTGGAGCCCAGCCCCATGCCCAGTGGCTCTGAGTCGTTTTCAGAGAGGGTTCCTTGTCTCACTCTTTCATAGCCCTGGGCCTGGCTGCTGAGCAGGGCCGCTGGCTCCCCGGTCACCCCGAGGGTGCTGTGTTGGCAGCAGAGCGGGCAGCTCGCAGTGCAGTGAGCAGCCTGGGCCCCCTCCTCTGCACCACTGAGCTGCCCGTCTGGCAGCCTGTTCGCTTCAGGTGGGGGCTAGTTCTCAGCTTTGCCGCAGGGCGTCTCCTTCCCCTGTGCCAGCACCATGCGCCCTGCTGTGTTGGGGCAGGGGCTCCACCAGTGGCCCTGACGGGGGAGGGCAGCCCCAGGCTCCTGCCCTGGGCTCAGGTCACGGGGTGGGGAGGGCTGAGTGGCCAGAAGCAAAGTCTCCTGCTGCTCCCCTCGAGCCGGGGCTGAGCCCTGCAGGCCTGGGGATTTCCAGTCTGTCCTCGGCCCAGCACAGATCAGTCAGAGGTGGGGCCTCGGGGCTGGGCTGCCCAGGGACCGGAATAGACTCTTGCTGGGGGCTGCCCCTGCTCCACTAGCCAGTCTGAGCAGCGCCCACCCATAGCTCCACTCGTCCCTGCACTCCGGGCACCGGCTCAGGAGCAACAGCGTGGCCCCGGCCTGGCCGGGGGTTACCCAGCGCCCCCTTGCTGCAGGGCTGGGCCTGCCCCACTCCGATCCCTGCGGGGGCTCCCAGCCAGGGCCACCTAATCCCCAGCTCTGCTAAACAGGCCCATATGGCCACCTGCTCCCACACTAATGATCTGGCTCTGCCATTGGCCTTAATCCCAGGGAATCTGGATTACAGGCCAGGGAGGCAGCAGAAATTAAACGAGGGGCTCTGGGGGACAGCCCCTTCCTCACATACATGCTGGGACCCCAGGGCCATGGCCACGTGGCCCCAGGTGGCCCCTCTGGGTTGGGTGCTGTCCCCTCACCCCCTTCTCCCCTCAGTTTGGACGCACCGAAGTGATTGACAACACCCTGAACCCCGACTTCGTCCGCAAGTTCGTCCTTGATTATTTCTTTGAGGAGAAGCAGAATCTGCGCTTTGATGTGTGAGTGAAACCTGCTCCCCTCCTCCACCTGATGCCTCTCCCCCACCCTGCCTCGGCTCCCCCCTGCCCAGTTCCCCTGTCCTGTCCCACCTCTGCTTCCCCCTGCCTGCTCCCCTCCCCCACCTGATCCACGTCCCCCTGCTCTTCCTCTGATCCCCACACAAGGTCTCCCTCCCTCACCCTGCCTTGGCTCCTCCTGCCTGGCCCCCCTGCCCTGCCTCAGGTCCCACCTGCCCAGTTCCCCTCCCCAATCCCATCTTGGCTCCCCCCCACACCTGGTCCCCCTCCCCACCCTGCCTCAGCTCTGCTCACTCCCTGCTTTCCCACTTGGCCCTTAGTCGGAGACCAGGTGATTTGTGGTATGGCTGCCAACCGGGCCAAAGTGGAGTCCTGACTGGGGAAACTGGAGGTGGGGTTGCAGAGCTCTGGGGCGGTTGTGGTATGACAGACGTGGTGGCCATCGTGTGATATGGCAGGACAGTTGCAGTGTCCTGGGACATGGCAGGGTGGCTGCAGGGTGGCGTGGCGGAGCGGCTGTGGCGTGGCGGGGTGGTAGTAGCGGTTGCAGTGTGGTGGAGTGGCATGGTGGGGTGGTAGTGGCGGTGGGGGGTGGCGTGGGGGGGTGGCGTGGCAGGGTGGTAGTGGCAGTTGCAGTGTGGTGGGCTGGCGTGGCAGGGTGGTAGTGGTGGTGGAGGGTGGCGTGGCGGGGTGGTAGTGGCGGTTGCAGTGTGGCGGGGTGGCGTGGCGGGGTGGTAGTGGCGGTGGGGGGTGGCGTGGCGGTGGGGGGGTGGCGCGGCGGTGGGGGGTGGCGTGGTGGGGTGGTAGTGGCGGTGGGGGGTGGCGTGGCGGTGGGGGGTGGCGTGGCAGGGTGGTAGTGGCGGTGGGGGGTGGCGTGGCGGGGTGGTAGTGGCGGTTGCAGTGTGGCGGCGTGGCGGGGTGGTAGTGGCGGTGGGGGTGGCGTGGTGGGGGGTGGTAGTGGCGGTGGGGGGTGGCGTGGCGGTGGGGGGTGGCGTGGCGGAGTGGTAGTGGCGGTTGCAGTGTGGTGGGGTGGCGTGGCGGGGTGGTACTGGCGGTGGGGGGTGGCATGGTGGGGTGGTAGTGGCGGTTGCAGTGTGGCGGGGTGGCGTGGCGGGGTGGTAGTGGCGGTGGGGGGTGGCGGTGGGGGGGTGGCGTGGCGGGGTGGTAGTGGCGGTGGGGGGTGGCGTGGCGGTGGGGGGTGGCGGGGTGGTAGTGGTGGTGGGGAGTGGCGTGGCGGGGTGGTAGTGGCGGTGGGGGGTGGCGTGGCGGTGGGGGTGGCGTGGCGGGTGGCGTGGCGGTGGGGGGTGGCGTGGCGGGTGGTAGTGGCGGTGGGGGGTGGCGTGGCGGGTGGTAGTGGCGGTGGGGGGTGGTAGTGGCGGTGGGGGGTGGCGTGGTGGGGTGGTAGTGGCGGTGGGGGGTGGCCTGGCGGGGTGGTAGTGGCGGTGGGGGGTGGTAGTGGCGGTGGGGGGTGGCGTGGTGGGGTGGTAGTGGCGGTGGGGGGTGGCGGGCTGGCTGCAGCAAGGCAGGGCGGTTGCCATGCTGCTCCCAGGGTTCCTGACTCTGCCGTAGGCAGAAACAGAAGCTCTTCGGGCCAGCGTGTAACAGGGGCCGGCCTGAAGTCGTCATGACCCTGGAACTCGGGGTAGGAGCCCAGTGGTGCAAACACCCAGCAGCGCCCGGGGTGGGTGAGAACATGAGCAAATTTGCGGATGATACTAAACTGGGAGGAGTGGTAGATACGCTGGAGGGGAGGGATAGGATACAGAAGGACCTAGACAAATTGGAGGATTGGGCCAAAAGAAATCTGATGAGGTTCAATAAGGATAAGTGCAGGGTCCTGCACTTAGGACGGAAGAACCCAATGCACAGCTACAGACTAGGGACCGAATGGCTAGGCAGCAGTTCTGCGGAAAAGGACCTAGGGGTGACAGTGGACGAGAAGCTGGATATGAGTCAGCAGTGTGCCCTTGTTGCCAAGAAGGCCAATGGCATTTTGGGATGTATAAGTAGGGGCATAGCGAGCAGATCAAGGGACGTGATCGTTCCCCTCTATTCGACATTGGTGAGGCCTCATCTGGAGTACTGTGTCCAGTTTTGGGCCCCACACTTCAAGAAGGATGTGGATAAATTGGAGAGAGTCCAGCGAAGGGCAACAAAAATGATTAGGGGTCTGGAACACATGAGTTATGAGGAGAGGCTGAGGGAGCTGGGATTGTTTAGCCTGCAGAAGAGAAGAATGAGGGGGATTTGATAGCTGCTTTCAACTACCTGAAAGGGGGTTCCAAAGAGGATGGCTCTAGACTGTTCTCAATGGTAGCAGATGACAGAACGAGGAGTAATGGTCTCAAGTTGCAGTGGGGGAGGTTTAGATTGGATATTAGGAAAAACTTTTTCACTAAGAGGGTGGTGAAACACTGGAATGCGTTACCTAGGGAGGTGGTAGAATCTCCTTCCTTAGAGGTTTTTAAGGTCAGGCTTGACAAAGCCCTGGCTGGGATGATTTAACTGGGATTTGGTCCTGCTTCGAGCAGGGGGTTGGACTAGATGACCTTCTGGGGTCCCTTCCAACCCTGATATTCTATGATTCTATGATTCTATGAGACGGGGGGGCTGGAGAACAGCTGTGTCTGGTGCCAGGGGGCACATCTGGGCCTGTCTCTGATCTGTCTGTGCAGTGCCCAGCGCAGCTCGGGAACTCCAGGAGGACCCAGCTTCCAGCGGCCGGAGGACACCGCGGGAGCCGGTGCTTATCCTTGGCCGGAGGGTGCTCCCAGTCGCTGAGCTGCGCAGCCCCAGCTGTGTGTCCGGAGCAGTGGCCTATGAGAAGGGGTCCAGGAGTCTCTCCGGGCTCTCAGGCTTCTCCGGGCACTGCTGGGTGTCAGGGCAGCCACCAGGCGCCAGCCTCCATCACCTGCTGGGCTTGGCTGTGCTCAGGGCCCTGCATGTGGGGCCCTATAGCCCCCATCCCGTGCCAGCAATGCCCCGGACGGAGCTCATTCCTGGGTGGGGAGGGCTGCTGGGCGGGGGGGACGGGACTCTGACTGGCGCAGCACTGTGGGGGTCCCGCACCCATTGCAGGGTTCTCACGGCTCTCCTCTCTTCCCCCCAAGCTACAACGTGGACTCCAAGACCTGCAACATCTCTAAACACGTGAGTATGGACCCGGCTCTGCCCGCAGGCTCAGCCCCTGGTTCCGCCCTCCTCCCGGATTCAGCCCTGCCCTTGGGCTCAGCCCCCAGCTTTGCCCTCCCTCCCCTGGACTCAGCCCCCGGGCTCTGCCTCCTCCCTGGGCTCAGCCCTCCCCCTTGTGCCTTGCAGGTCCCTTGTTTTGCCATGTTGCTGGACCAGTGAGACGCTGCGGCTCTGTGACCTACGGGGTGGGGGGCGGGAGGTGTCAGGGTCTCCCCAGCTGTGAGTGCAGAGGCAGCTTGTCCTTGTTTGTAGGGGGCACCTCACAGCCGCACTGCACAGATGGGAGCTGCGGCCTGGCGAGGCAGGGACTGGCCAGAGACCGCCCAGGGCATGTGTGGCCGAGCAGGGGCTGAGCCCGGTTTCCAGGCAGTGCCCTGGGCGCTGGCCCGGGAGCAGCTGGCCGTCTGGTCCCGGCAGGAGAGCACAGTGCGGGCGCTGTGTGCCCAAGGAGCTGCACTGCGTACCTGGCACAGAGAACATGGGCCTTGTCCCTGGCCGCCGCTTGGCCCCACTCACCCAGGCTCTGACACCAGCTCTCCGGCATCCCCTCCCTGCTGCTCTCCAGAGCCTGCCCCCAGGGTGCCTGGCTGGATCCGGTGCTGCCTGTGGCCCAGAGCGTGGCTCTGTGTGAGCGATGGGGCGACCCACTACCTGCTGCTGGCCCTCGGGGGGGGGGGCAGCCCGGGCTCCATCCTCACCCTGTCTAACCTGCTCTCTCTCTGCTGCCCACCCTGGGACCACAGAAGGTACGTGCCTCTCCTGCCCCCCGTGGCAAACAGGCAAAGCACAGCCGGGAGCAAGAACTGGGCTGGGGGAGCCCCAGGTGGGCAGGGGTCGTTTGTCACCAGGGACTGAACCAGGATGTTGCCAGGATGGGCAAGGAATGGTGTCCCTAGCCTCTGTTTGTCAGAGGGTGGAGATGGATGGCAGGAGAGAGATCACTGATTCACTGAATGTTCGGTTCACTCCCTCTGGGGCACCTGGCACTGGCCACTGTTGGCCGACAGGACACTGGGCTGGATGGACCTTTGGTCTGACCCAGTCTGGCCGTTCTTATGGTAACTCCTGCAGGCAGGGCCCCACACCTCCCCTCCCCTCCCGCCAGAAGGGAGGGCCTGGGGGCCCTGGACAGACCGACTCCTCCAGGGCAGGGAAGCAGTTAGAGCCCTTGCAGCACAGAGGCCTCCCCCACGGGAGGCCTCTCTTCTCCTGGCGGCCGGGGGACATCCCTCCCCCCATCCTCTCCTGGGCCCTGGCCATTGTTTCTGCAGCTCCGGAACACAAAGGGCTGGTGGAGATTGCCAACCAAGACATGGCCCATGCCCCCCCATCGGGGTGCCCCATAGCACCTGCTCCCCACTGCAGCACTGGCCTCATTTCAGCAGCAAGCTCTGACTGGAAGGGTGCAGGCAGGAATCCAGAACCTCAGCAGGGCCGTGCTGGGTCAGACCAGTGGTCCGTCTGGGCCAGTGTCCTGGCTCTGGCATGGCCAGGTGCTGTAGAGGGAATGAACAGAACGGGGCAGTTATCGAATGATCCATCCTGTCGCCCATGCCCAGCTTCTGGCAGTTGGAGGCTTAGGGACACCCAGGGCACGGGCTTGTGTCCCTGCCCATCCTGGCTAACAGCCATTGGTGGACCGTGTAATGAGGCTGGTTCTGGCAGGACCCAACGGAGAGTGCCAATTCAGGACAAACTGCTCAAAGCAGGGCAGTTACAGCCCAGGGCTGGGGTTTCTGTGCCCACCAAGGCAAACCAAACCAGCCAAACAGAGCAGACTTTGGTCTCACCCCACTGGCTAACCCCAAGTCACACGAGCAATTCCCTTAGACACTCCAGTTTCCCAGTATCCCCACCAGGGCCACTCGTTGTGGGGACAGATGGTTGTGAAAACCAATACCCCAGTAAAAGAAAAACAGTTCTCTCGATCCCAAAGGACCAAGCCCCAGACCCCGGTCAATACACAAATCAGATCTTACCCACAGATCACGCTGCTGCCGATCCTTTGGAGTCTAAAATCTAAAGGTTTGTTCATAAACGGAAAAGACAGAGACGAGAGCTAGAACGGGTTCAATGGAATCAATGACGTCCAGTGATGGCCAAGTTCTTGGGTCAGGCTTGCAGCAGCGATGGAATAAACGGCAGGTTCCAATCCAGTCTCTGGAGAACATCCCCAGCTGGGATGGGTCTTTCAGTCCTTGGGTCAAAGCTTCAGGGTCGCCAAGTCCCTCCAGAGGCCAGAAGCAGGACTGAAGACCAGCTGGAGGAGCTGCAGCAGCTTTTGAAAGTCTCTTGCCGTGTGGTCTCTGCTTTCTGTGTCCCAAGGACAAGCTGCCCATCCATGGCCTGGAAACACCTCAGAGTTCGGCCCCTAGGCAGGTCCCTGCACGCCTGGCCGAGTCCCCAGGCGCGTCTGCCTTCTCTCACTGGGTCAGTTGTGTCGCTGATGGTCCTTAATGGGCCGTCCAGCAGGCTAGGCAGAGCTGACCCCAACGTGTCTGGGGTGTCCCCCAGAAGCAGAGCACAGGTTTGAAATACAGACAGGACAGAGCCAATATTCATAACTTTAACTACAAAATGATAGACGCACACAGACAGCATCATCCTAACCAGCAAACCAGCACCTTGTCTGAGACACCTTAGTTGACCCCCTTTATACAAGATTTAGTGCCACTACGGGACCTGGGTTGCAACAATGTTCTATATGGTCCCAGTTCAAGTCAATAACGTCACTGACCCATCCTCCAGAACTGATCTAGTTGGTTTTTTGAACCCAGTTACACTTTTGGCCTTCGCACCCCCTGGCCTGGAGACTGTGGCGCCCTCCGCAGACTGGCTGGGCGGGCGGTGTGCGAAGAAGCACTGCCTTGTGTTTGTTTCAACCTGCTGCCTATAATGTCATTGGGTGACCCCTGGTTGGAGTGTTTTGGGAAGGAGTAAATAACATGTCCTTATTTACCTTCTCCACACCAGTCATGATTTTATAGACCTCGATAATATCCCCCCTTAGTCATCTCTTCCAAGCTGAAAAGTCCCAATCTTGATTAATCTCTCGTCATACGGAAGCTGTTCCATACCCCTAATAATTTTTGTTGCCCTTTTCTGAGCCTTTTCCAATTCCAATATATCTTTTTTGAGATGGGGCGACCACATCTGCATGCAGTATTCAAGATGTGGGCGCACCATGGGTTTATATAGGGGCAATATGATATTTTCTGTCGTATTATCTGTCGCTTTCCTAATGATTCCCAACATTCTGTTCACTTTTTTGACTGCCGCTGCCTAGTGAGTGGATGATTTCAGAGAAGTCTCCACAAGGATTCCGAGGACTCTCAGACTTGACAGAGCCCTGGTTGGGATGATTAGTTGGGGTTGGTCCTGCTTTGAGCAGGGGGTTGGACTAGATGACTGTCATGGAGTCCCTGGGCGATGCTCAGGAACTGTTCCCCACGAAGCCAGGCAGGACTCTGGGGCAGTCTCCTCTCTGGGAGCAGCCTGTCTGCAGGACACGCAGCTCACCCGGCTTCCACCTTCCTGGGTCTGACCTCGGAGCATTCACCCTCCTCTGCCCCTCCGTGCGCTTCCCCCAGCGAGTCCACTCAGGCAGGGTCCTGGGGCAGCCAGAGGGTCCTGCCCCCCAACTCCGCAGTCAGACGTGACTCTCAGCCAACCAGTAAAACAGAGGTTTATTAGACGACAGGAACATGGTCTAAAACAGAGCTTGTAGGTGCAGAGAACAGGACCCCTCAGCTGGGTCCATTTTGGGGGGCAGTGAGCCAGACAACCCCGTCTGCCCTTCACTCCATGTCCCAGCCAGCCCCAAACTGAAACTCCCTCCAGCCCCTCCTCTTCTGGGCTTTGTCCCTTTCCCAGGACAGGAGGTCACCGGATTCCTTTGTTCTCCGACCCTTTAGCTCTCACCTCGCAGGGGGGAAGGGCCCAGGCCATCAGTTGCCAGGAAACAGGGTGTCGGCCATTCTCTGTGTCCAGACCCCTGCACACACCTGCCCTCTAGGGCTCTGCAATGATCATACACCCTTACCCCACCCCCTAGATACTTAAGAACTGCACAGGGGAAACTGAGGCACCCACACACTATTCAGAGGAAACATTAAGAACAGTCCCACTTCGTCACAATGACCTCCTGAGGTCTCTTCCAGCCCTGATATTCTAGGATTCTATGAGATCTCTCTCGCGTGGTCCCAGCTCATTTTGACCCCATCATTTCATATGGGGGTTGCTGGGTTCTGACCTTCCCTGCTGTGGGGGCACCCTGGGATAGGGTGTGGGGGGATCCGAGATGTCCTGCCCTGGAGGCACCCCGGGGTGGGGGCTGGAGGCACGCCATGGGCTGCCTTCCCCACCTGCAGGCAAGAACAGTGCTCTGTGTGCCCTAACTAGCGAGCCTTGTTGGCAGGACTTTCTGGGCCAGGCGTTCGTGGCGCTGGGCGAAGTGATCGGATCCCAGCGGAGCCGCTTGGAGAGACCCCTGACGTGAGCCTCCCTTCACCTGCTCCTGGGGGCTCCATGCGGGGGGAGGGCCTGGGGCTGGAGTTCCTATACCTCCACATACTGCCCCCCAGCCAGCCAGTCCCCCCGTCCCCCACATACTGCCCCCAGCCAGCCAGTCCCCCCGTCCCCCACATACTGCCCCCCAGCCAGCCAGTCCCCCCGTCCCCCACATACTGCCCCCCAGCCAGCAAGTCCCCCTGTCCCCCACATACTGCCCCCAGCCAGCCAGTCCCCCCGTCCCCCACATATTGCCCCCAGCCAGCCAGCCAGTCCTCCCATCCCCCACATACTGCCCCCAGCCAGCCAGCCAGTCCCCCTGTCCCCCACATATTGCCCCCAGCCAGCCAGCCAGTCCTCCCATCCCCCACATACTGCCCCCCAGCCAGCCAGCCAGTCCCCCCGTCCCCCACATACTGCCCCCCAGCCAGCAAGTCCCCCTGTCCCCTACATACTGCCCCCAGCCAGCCAGCCAGTCCCCCCATCCCCCACATACTGCCCCCCAGCCAGCCAGTCCCCCTGTCCCCCACATATTGCCCCCAGCCAGCAAGTCCCCCTGTCCCCCACATACTGCCCCCAGCCAGCCAGCCAGTCCCCCCGTCCCCCACATACTGCCCCCAGCCAGCCAGCCAGTCCTCCCATCCCCCACATACTGCCCCCCAGCCAGCCAGCCAGTCCCCCCGTCCCCCACATACTGCCCCCCAGCCAGCAAGTCCCCCTGTCCCCTACATACTGCCCCCAGCCAGCCAGCCAGTCCCCCCATCCCCCACATACTGCCCCCCAGCCAGCCAGTCCCCCTGTCCCCCACATATTGCCCCCAGCCAGCAAGTCCCCCTGTCCCCCACATACTGCCCCCAGCCAGCCAGCCAGTCCCCCCGTCCCCCACATACTGCCCCCAGCCAGCCAGCCAGTCCTCCCATCCCCCACATACTGCCCCCCAGCCAGCCAGCCAGTTCCCCCGTCCCCCACATACTGCCCCCCAGCCAGCAAGTCCCCCTGTCCCCTACATACTGCCCCCAGCCAGCCAGCCAGTCCCCCCATCCCCCACATACTGCCCCCCAGCCAGCCAGTCCCCCTGTCCCCCACATATTGCCCCCAGCCAGCAAGTCCCCCTGTCCCCCACATACTGCCCCCAGCCAGCCAGCCAGTCCCCCCGTCCCCCACATACTGCCCCCAGCCAGCCAGCCAGTCCTCCCATCCCCCACATACTGCCCCCCAGCCAGCAAGTCCCCCTGTCCCCTACATACTGCCCCCAGCCAGCCAGCCAATCCCCCCGTCCCCTACATACTGCCCCCCAGCCAGCCAGTCCCCCTGTCCCCCACATATTGCCCCCAGCCAGCGAGTCCCCCTGTCCCCTACATACTGCCCCCAGCCAGCCACCCAGTACCCCCGTCCCCCACATACTGCCCCCCAGCCAGCCAGTCTCCCTGTCCCCCACATACTGCCCCCAGCCAGCCAGTCCCCCCGTCCCTCCCATACTGACCCCCAGCCAGCCAGCCAGTTCCCCCGTCCCCCACATACTGCCCCGAGCCAGCCAGTCCCCTCCATCCCCTACATACTGCCCCCAGCCAGCCAGTCCCCCCATCTCCCACATACTGCCCCCCAGCCAGCCAGCCAGTTCCCCCGTCCTCCACATACTGCCCCCAGCCAGCCAGTTCCCCCATCTCCCACATACTGACCCAAGCCAGCCAGTTCCCCCGTCCCCCACATACTGCCCCCAGCCAGCCAGCCAGTGCCCCCATCCCCCACATACTGCCCCCAGCCAGCCAGTCCCTGCCCGCCACATACTTCTCCCCTAGAGCCAGCCAGGCCCTGCCCTGGAGCCAGGTCAGAGCCCGTGTCCCCCAGAGGGGAAAGGCTCCTGAGCCCGCCAGGCCCATGCCAGGGTGCACATGGGGGGCTGGGGCTGGGCAGGCCTTTCATGGAGCCTGGAGCAGCAGGGCCAGCCGCACTCAAGACACAGGTCCGGGAAGGGAGTGAGACAACTTCTTCAGGGGGTAGCTGGGGGAGGCTGGGCTGAGGGGGGGACCCCCAACAACGTCCCGCAGCCCCAGGGACCATCCTGCCCTGCCCCCAAGGCTCCTGGCCCTGCCTGCTGGCAGAAAGGCGGCTTGGAGGGGCAGCCAGTCCCCATGGGCTCAGTTCCCTGTGGGGGTGCAGCTCCCCGAGGGAAGGGGTCCCCGCAGCCGGCAGAGCACGTGCTCTCCCTCCTGAGGGCAGTGGGGATGTGCCAAGCAAACCCGCCCTGAAATCTGCAGGTCCTGGTGCAGGGGGCCGTGACCCGGCTCAGGCTCAGGCCCTGGTGCCCAGGGGAGGGGTGTACAAGCCACACACAATGCAAGGAGCTGCGCAGTCTGGCTCTGCCGAGCCTGGCCGGGGGCGGCCAGCCACACTCCAGCTTCTCCCAGGGACAGTGTGGCTGGGAAGTGCCCAGCGTAGAGGGCCAGGGAGACACCAGCGCCCCCTGCCTGCTGCCCCACATGAGCCATGGCTCCCACTGCAGCCAGCAGCCTGCCTAGCAGTGCGGGCGAGCGACGGCAGGGCCCTGGGCTCCGTGGTCAGCGATTCCTCAGCACCACCAGCGTCCCAGCCAGCCAGCGTCCCACCCGCCACCCACCACACCTGTCGCTGAGTCAGCTCCCCGCCCCCAGCCAGCGCCCTGCCCCGCCCCCACAGCACCCCATGCTGGGAGCCCCCCCACATCCGGTGCCTGCCCTGCCCCCCCCAGCGCCCCCTACTGGGAGCCCCCCACATCTGGTGCCTGCCCTGCACCCCCTGCTGGGAGCCCCCCCACATCCGGTGCCTGCCCTGCCCCCCCAGCACCCCCTGCTGGGAGCTTTCCCTGCCCCGCCATCACTCTGCCCTGCCCCCACAGCGCCCCCTGCTGGGAGAGTGCTCTGCTCTGGCCATTGGCTTGGGCCCTTCAGTGGGCTGAAATGGGGCAGACAGGACGTGGCGGGGAGAGCAGCCAAACCCCTTGCAGCCACGCCCTGGGCTGCCTGCCGTCCACTCCTGCCGGCCTAACGGGGTGTTTCTTGTCCCAGGGGGGTCCCAGGGAAGAAGTGTGGGACCATCCTGCTGTCGGCTGAGGAGCTCAGCAACTGCCGGGTGAGTGCGTCTCCGCTGGCCTGGCCACGCTGCCCACACTCCGGGCTGGCTGCGGGACCCACGGGACGCTGAGGGGTGCTGGTGGCAGGGGAGGGCTGAGGCATGTGTACCTGGGGGGCTGTGCTGGGGGGGCCGAAGGGGTGTGCGTGTGGAGAAGGCATGGGGCTGGGTGGGGTGCCGCTCTCCCCAGGTCAGTGGGCTGGCCCAGGTCCGGTAGGGCCTGCCCTACAGGCTCTGAACGAGCCGCCTGCCCGCGTCGGCAGCTGCCCCTCGCCACCCACCCCCTGCCTGGATCCTGACCCCTGCCTTGACGGAGTCCGTTTCTTTCAGGACATTGTCACCATGCAGCTCTGCGCCAACAAGCTGGACAAGAAGGACTTCTTCGGGAAATCCGACCCCTTCCTTGTCTTCTACCGCAGCAATGAGGACGGCACGTACGTTTGGGGCTGTGTGACGCCCCACTCTGCATGGGCGGGCGCCCAGCGGGGGGCAGCTGGGGTGGGCTCCTGCCTGCTAGTGCCTGCCCTCAGCCCCACTTCTCTGGTGCCGCCTCCAGGTTCACAATTTGCCACAAGACAGAAGTGGTGAAAAACACACTCAACCCGGTGTGGCAGCCATTCTCCATCCCCGTGCGAGCCTTGTGCAACGGGGACTATGACAGGTCAGGAGCTAGACACGTGTCCCGCCATGGGGGGGGGGGGGGCTGCAAGCTCAGAGCCAGAGCGAGCAGATCCCAGACACGCAAACTCCCTGGCCCAGCAGGCCCTGTGGGGAGGGGCAGCTCTCTGAGCCAGTCCTGTGGGGGGCAGGAGGGGCAGCTCTCTGGCATGGCTTGGCCTGGGGGAGGAGGGGAGCAGGGCCAAAGCGGGGGAGGAGATGGGGAAGTGGGGCCCCAGGGGCAGGGATGGGGGGAGTGGGGCCCTGGGGGTGAGGTCAGGGGAGTGGATCCCTGGTGGAGGCAGGGATGGGGGAGCAGGGCCCCAGCAGAGGAGTGGGGGAGGGGATGCAGGAGCGGGGGCCCGGGAGTGCTGACGGGGGAATGGGGGCCCAGTGGGGGCGGGGATGAGGGAGCAGGGCCCCAGCAGGGGAATGGGGGCGGGGATGGGGGAGCGCGGCCCCAGCAAGGGAACGGGGGCGGGGACGGGGGAGCGGGGCCCCAGCAGGGGAACGGGGACGGGGGAGCGGGGCCCCAGCAGGGGGACGGGGACGGGGGAGCGGGGCCCCAGCAGGGGAACGGGGGCGGGGACGGGGGAGCGGGGCCCCAGCAGGGGAACGGGGGTGGGGACGGGGGAGCGGGGCCCCAGCAGGGAAACGGGAGCGGGGACGGGGGAGCGGGGCCCCAGCAGGGGAACGGGGACGGGGATGGGGGAGCGGGGCCCCAGCAGGGGGACGGGGACAGGGGGAGCGGGGCCCCAGCAGGGGAACGGGGGGGGGGGCGGGGGAGCGGGGCCCCAGCAGGGAAACGGGGACGGGGGAGCGGGGCCCCAGCAGGGGAACGGGGGCGGGGACGGGGGAGCGGGGCCCCAGCAGGGGGACGGGGACGGGGACAAGGGGAGCGGGGCCCCAGCAGGGGAACGGGGGTGGGGACGGGGGAGCGGGGCCCCAGCAGGGAAACGGGGACGGGGGAGCGAGGCCCCAGCAAGGGAACGGGGGCGGGGATGGGGGAGCGGGGCCCCAGCAGGGGAACGGGGACGGGGGAGCGGGGCCCCAGCAGGGGAACGGGAGTGGGGACGGGGGAGCGGGGCCCCAGCAGGGGGACGGGGACGGGGGAGCGGGGCCCCAGCAGGCGAACGGGGGCGGGGACGGGGGAGCGGGGCCCCAGCAGGGGAACGGGGACGGGGGAGCGGGGCCCCAGCAGGGGGACGGGGATGGGGGTGGGGGAGCGGGGCCCCAGCAGGGGAACGGGGACGGGGGAGCGGGGCCCCAGCAGGGAAACGGGGGTGGGGATGGGGGAGCGGGGCCCCAGCAGGGAAACGGGGACGGGGGAGCGGGGCCCCAGCAGGGGGACGGGGATGGGGACGGGGGAGCGGGGCCCCAGCAGGGAAACGGGGGCGGGGACGGGGGAGCGGGGCCCCAGCAGGGAAACGGGGGCGGGGACGGGGGAGCGGGGCCCCAGCAGGGGAACGGGGGCGGGGATTGGGGAGCGGGGCCCCAGCAGGGGAACGGGGGCGGGGATGGGGGAGCGTGGAGTGCCAGGCCCCGTGGGGCTCTCCGGGCCCATCCTGGGTGCTTGCTAACCTGCTACCCGCACTTGTATTTCAGGACGGTGAAGATAGACGTGTACGACTGGGACCGGGATGGAAGGTGGGATCAGGCTGCTAGCATGTCCCCAGTGCCCACCCCCACCCCGTCCAGCCACGGCCTGGCCTCAGGCCTGATCCCTGGGCCTGCCCTGGCCAGAACCCCGTCCCCCTCGCTCTCCCTGGGCTCACCCTGGGCTGTATCCATGCCACTGCTCTCCTGGCCACCCTGCAGCCGGCGGATCTCCTCCGCCGGCCTCCATGCTCTGGGGCCCAGGGAGCCAGTCCCTGAGTCTGTCCAGAGCCAGCGGGAGCAGCCCTTGGCCTGGCTGGGTTCCTGCCCCTACCTGCTGGGCCCCACCTCTCCGCCCTGCTGGGGCTGCCTGCTGAAAGGCTCCTGTGTCTGGGCCCCAGGGCTGCCCCTTCTCTCGTCCTCCAGCCACCCCCTTTCTGCCCTGCCTGTGAGGGAGCAAGGGCTAGTGGGCACTGGGCTGGGAGCCAGGACTCCTGGGTTCTATCCCAGTCCTGGGAGTGGAATGGGGTCTAGTGGGTTGGATCAGGGGGGTGGGGCTGGGAGCCAGGACTCCTGGGTTCTCTCCCTGTGAGTGGTGACAAACCCCCGGAGCTAAAGGGATGAGCTGAAAGCTACACAGCCCTTAGCTAAGGCTGGAGCAGACGCATTAATCTCCAAGTGGTCTCGGGGCCACAAGATGGGACAGCACACACCCAGCAGGTGTGTGGGTTCTCCTGGTCCTGGGAGGGGAGTGGGCTCTAGCGGTTAGAGCGGGGGGCTGGGATCCAGGACTCCTGGGTTCTATCTCTGGTTCTGGGAGGGGAGTGGGATGGAGAGGTCGGAGCAGGGGGCTGTCTCGCAGGCTCTGCCCCTGGTGTGCCAGGTTATAGTGGCCGAGGCCCCCCACGCCCTCCCCCTCCACGACAGGCTGAGTGAGCATCTGTGCTGCCCACTGACACCTGCCTTGTGCTCTCTGGCCCACAGCCACGATTTCATCGGGGAGTTTGCCACAAGCTACCGGGAGCTTTCCCGCGCTCAGAGCCAGTTCACTGTCTATGAGGTGAGGCCTGCTGCTGCCCAGCTCTCCTGGTTCCCCCCATGCCTGGCTCAGCCCCACTGGGGCTGGGGGCCTGGGCCAGCTCTGGGGCATGGAGTTGTTCTCCCAGTGGGCAGCTCTGGGCTGGCGGGCGTTTGCCGGTTCGGGTGGCTTTCGCGGGGGCCTCATTCTTGTGGAGTTTGCTGCAGGGTTAGAATCCAGGTGAGATTCTGGGCTCAGGAATTTAACTCACAGAGTATGATGGCCGGGGTGGGGGGGTGCTGGTGGCCAGGGGGGCTGTCAGGAACTACCAGGGGGACTGGCAGCCGGAGGGGGGGCTGTCAGGAACAGCCAGGGGAGGTGCTGATGTTGGGGTTCCTGAACTGTTCCTCTGCTTCCATCAGGTGTTAAATCCAAAGAAGAAATGCAAGAAGAAGAAATACATCAACTCCGGAACGGTGCGTGAAACCTGCCGGGGCCCCTGAGGGAATGTGCCCCCACCCCGCCGCGACCAGGCAGAGCCCCCGGCTCCCTCTTTGCCCCCTGCCCCCTTGGTGATGCACCCCACGGCTCCCTTCCTTCAGCTCCCACTAGCCCTGCGCCTGCCCTGCAGCCTCAGTCTGTCCTGGGGGGGACAGAAGAGGGGTTTCTCCAGCTCTGTCTCCCTGCGGAGTGGGGGAGGATTTCTTTGGGGGGGATCTCTGGGGAGACAGAGGGTATTTGGGGGGTCTCTATGTGGAGGGGCAGAGGTCTGTTGTGGGGGGTCTGTCCTGGGGAGAGCGGGGCTGTTGTGGGGTGTCTCTGGTTGGGGTCTCTGACATTCTGTTTCCAATAAGTGTCTCTAGATATCTCTCTAGGGGCCTGTCTCTGGGGAGAGGGGGCCCTGTCTTGGGGGGTTTGACTCTGGGGAGAGGGGGACCCTGTCTCAGGGGTCTGACCCTGGGAGGGCCTGTCTCAGTGGGGTCTGACTCTGGGGGGACCTGTCTTGGGGGGCCTGTGTCACTGAGTGTGGGGGAGTCAGGGCCCTGCACCCCCCACTTCCTGCGATTCACCATGACTCTCAGCCAGGCAGTAGAACAGAAGGTTTATTAGCCGACAGGAACACAGTCCCAAACAGAGCTTGTAGGTACAGAGAACAGGACCCCTCAGTCAGGTCCTTCTTGGGGGGCAGAGGGGAGCCCAGACCTGGGTTCTCCCCAGCCAACTGCAAATTGAAACCCCCTCCAGCAGCCTCACCCAGCCACCCCCTGCCCCTCCTCCAGCCTTTGTCCGGTTTCCCGGGCAGAAGGTGTCACCTGGCCCCGACCCCCTCCTGGCTCAGGTTACCTGCTCAGGTATCTCCCTGCAGTGAAGTCACCCCCTGACATCCCACCACCATCTCGTACCAATGCAGACAGTAACCAGTAAAAGTGCCACGCAGCATTCCCGGGTAACACTCCCTACTCCCTCACAGCCTGGCTCTGGGGAGAGGGGGGGCCCCGTCTCAGGGGTCTGACTCTGGGTGGACCTATCTCAGGGGGGTCTGACTCTGGGGAGAGTGGGGGCCTGTCTTGGGGGGGGTCTGTCTCTGGGGAGAAGGGGGGGTCTGTCTGTGGGGGGGGCCCTGTCTCAGGGGTCTGTCTGGGGGACCTGTCTCGGTGGTCTGTGTCTGTGTGGGGGGGTCTGTCTTGGGGGTCTGTCAGTGGGGAGGGGAGGACCTGTCTCGGGGGTCTCTGACGTTCTGTCTCCGGCAGGTGACCCTTCTTTCCTTCGCCGTGGAGTCCGAGTTCACCTTTGTGGATTACATCCGAGGCGGGTGAGCGGGTGCCCAGGGACCCCCCCGGCATGGCCCCCCCAGGCAATTCTGTTCAAACCTCTGCACTCCTCAGCCCCTTTGCGGTTTGTTCCTCACCCTGCGCCCCCCCCTTCCACATGGGCTGCATCTGCCCACCCTGCCCCCATGACCCTGGCCCAGCCTCCCGCGCGAAGACCCAAGGGAGTCTTGCACCCGATGCTGGCAGCAGCCCCTGGGCCGGGGAGACGGGCCCTGGCCTCTGAGGGGGCAGGGGACAGCAGGAGGTGGGAAGAGCTGGTGGAGAGCAGGAGAGGGAACCGATGCTGCTGGTGTTGCGGGGAGGGGTGGCAGGGGTCTGCAGGGGCTGGGAAGGGGAGGCTGGTGTGAGGGGAGTTTGGGGGAGCAGGTTTGGGGAATGGGAGGGTGGTGGGGTGGGGGGAGGGGATCTGGGAATGTGTTGGGGGGCTGGGGAAGCAGGGCAGGGGGAGGGGAGCTGGGAACACATCGTTGGGGGACTGGGGGAGCAGGGTGGGGTGAGGGGAGCTGGGAACGTGTCGTTGGGGGGCTGGGGGAGTGCTCTCTCACTCTCCTCTCCTGCCCCCGCAGGACACAGCTGAATTTCACGGTCGCCATCGATTTCACGGCCTCCAATGGTGAGTGCCCCTTGCAGGGGCTGGGCCCAGGTGCCTCCCACGGAAACCGAGGGACAGCTCAGCCCTGGGTCCTTCCTCAAGCTCCTTCCTCCTCCACCCATCTCACGGCAAGGGCCTGGGGGTCCTGCCTCCAGGGAGCTGCTCTCCAGCCCATTCTTGCCCCAGTCCCAGCTACCCGCCTCCCAGACTCTGGGGGTCTGCCACAGGGTTTCCTCAAACAGGGATCAGAGGGGCAAGGTGATGGGGTGTCACGGAGTCCCCGGGCGATGCTCTGGAACTGCTCCCCATGAAGCCAGGCAGGACTCTGGGGAAGTCTCCTCTCTGGGAGCAGCCTGTCTGCAGGACACACAGCTCACCCGGCTTCCCCCTTCCTGGGTCTGACCTCAGAGCATTCAGCCTCCTCTGCCCCTCCGTGCGCTTCCCCCAGCGAGTCCGCTCATGCGGGGCTCCTGGGGAAGCCAGAGGGTCCTGCCCCCCAACTCCGCAGACAGACGTGACTCTCAGCCAGCCAGTAAAACAGAGGTTTATTAGATGACAGGAACATGGTCTAACACAGAGCTTGTAGGTGCAGAGAACAGGACCCCTCAGTCAGGTCCGTCTTGGGGGGCAGGGAGGCCAGAGCCCCCTCTGGCCTCCCTCCATTTCCCCAGCCAGCTCCACACTGAAACTCTCCCGCCCCTCCTCTGGCCTTTGTCTCTTTCCCGGGCCAGGAGGCCACCTGATCTCTTTGTTTTCCAACCCCTTCATTCGGCCCCTTTGCAGAGGAGGGGCCCAGGCCATCAGTCGCCAGGGGACAGGGTGTCGGCTATTCTCTGTGCAGACACCATCACACAGGCCCTCTAGGGCTCTGCCACAATCACACCCCCTTATCCCCCCACCTAGAGACTTAATGCCATGGGGAAACTGAGGCACTCACACAGTATTCAGAAAAAACATTAAGAACGTTCCCACTTCGTCACATGGGGGTCCTGGGAAGAGGGGCCTGGGGAAGATATGGGGGCAGAGGGCAGGGTGGGCAGAGGGACCCTGTGGGAGGCAGGGACGGGAGGGGCCTGAAGAAGATGGGGGGAGGGAGGAGCCCGGGGTGGATTGGGTAGGAGCGAGGGGCCCAGGGCGGATGGGGCAGGGCCAGGGACCGGGGAGCACAGCTCAGGCTGAGGTGGGTGCTGTGTGTGCCCGGCAGGGGTCCCGTCGCAGCCCACCTCCCTGCACTACATGAGCCCATACCAGCTGAGCGCCTACGCCATGGCACTGAAGGCCGTCGGCGAGATCATCCAGGACTACGACAGCGACAAGCTCTTCCCCGCGTACGGCTTTGGTGCCAAGGTCCCACCCGACGGCAGCATTTCCCATCAGTTCCCCCTGGTAGGAGGCAGTGCCAGGGCCTCTGCCAGCCCCACACCAGCCCAGGGCCAGGTGGGATGGGAGGTGACTCCCAGCAGTGGTGTTGCCCTGGGTCCTGACTGCTGCTCCCACCATGCAGGCCGAGCCGGGAGGAGATGGGGCAGCATGGGGCATTTTGGAATGGGATAGGGCAGCACACAGGAGGGCAGGCTCCAGGGAACCCCGCTAGGCCTTCAAGCTCTGCGCCGGCCCTGGGAATGGTCTGGCGATCCCATGGGTCTGTCCTGGCTGATCCGCTGGCTGCAGGCTCCTGTGGGGAGAGCCCTCTGGGTGCAGAGCTCTGGAGAGGGCCCAGCCCTATGGCTGTCTCCGGCGCGTGCACACCCAGGGCCTTGCCCCAGCGCTGAGCCCAGCCTTCCCGACTTTCTCCCCTGCTAGAACAGCGACGTGGAGAACCCGAGCTGTGTGGGGATCGATGGCGTCCTGGAGTCCTACTTCCAGAGCCTGCGCACGGTGCAGCTGTACGGGCCCACCAACTTTGCCCCTGTCATCAACCAGGTGGCCCGGTGAGTGGGCAGAGGCTGGGCCACGGGCACACAGGGAGGGTGCCCTCCTGTGCCCCAGAGCCCTGCAGCCCGGCGCTGGCTGCAGGGGGTGGGGTGGAGGCTCCGGCTCAGAGCTTGGGGCCCGGCGCTGGCTGCGGGGAAGGGGGGCCACTCAGAGCTTGGGGCCCAGCAGCTGTGGGCTAGGCCAGGAAGCAGCAGGCATGGCCAGGCCTGAGAGCTGAGCTCCAGGGCTGGGCTGGGCAGGCGTTTGAGGAGCCATGGGCTCTGTGGGGCTGTGGCTGGGCACCCTGAGGGGCAGCCAGGCGGCGCAGCCGCCAGCATGGCCCCCAGGAGCCACGCCTGGCTGGCGGAGAAAGGGGGAAGTTCTAGCAAACTGCCCCGTGGGGGGCAGAGTGGGGCTGGCACGAGTCCCCTGCCTCTGCATTGTGCCCTAGCTCGGCTGCCCAGGTGACAGACGGATCTCAGTACTACATCCTGCTCATCGTCACTGATGGCGTCATCTCCGACATGCTCCAGACCAAGGAGGCCATTGTCAACGTGAGTGGGGTGGGCGGGGGCAGTGCGGGGGGGGGGGGGAGCCCGGTCCCGCTGCAGGCAAGGGAGCCCACGTAGGGGAACCGGGCTGGAGCCAGCATCTGGTGGTTTGACTCAGCGCCCTCCCACGGGCCTGGGTCTCCCAAGCTCAGCGCTGCCCAGGGTGGCAGAGTCTCATTCACGTGAGGCTGATCTGACCTGGCCCCCCCTCACCCAATCCCTATACAGTATCACCCCCCAGGCGGCTCCTGTGTGCTATTGCCCCCACCCCCATTCCCTCCCCCTGGGCGGCTCCTGCATGCTATCCTCCCCCCAGCCCGGCCACTCCCCATTCCCTCCCCCCTGGGCAGCTCCTGCATGCTATTCCCGCCCTGGCCCCCCGCGCACTTTCCCCCACCCCATTCCCTCCCCCCCAGCTGTCCCTGCGCGCTATTTCCACCGGCCATCCCCCTGCACGCTATTATCCCCCCACCCCCATTCCCTCCCCCCTGGGCGGCTCCTGCGTGCTATTCCCGCCTACCCCTAGCCGTTCCCCGCTTGCTATTCCCCCCCCGCGCACTATTTCCGCCTGCCCCCATCTGCACCCTGCACGCTATTCCCCCCGCCCTCCGCACACTATTCCTTCCCCCGGCCGTCCCCCTTGTGCTGTTCCCCCCTTAGCCCAATCCCTGCGTGCTATTCCCCCACCTTCGCACCGCCAGCTCTGGGGTGAGGGTAGTGCCGCAGCTCCGGGGCCAGGCTGGAGTGAAGGGATACTGGCTGGGATACCCGCACTTTACCTGTGCCATCTGAGCTCTGTGTCAGCCCTGGGAACAGCAGGGGGCCCAGGCTGGCGAGGCATGGAGGAGCCACAGGTGTCAGGCCCCAGGCTGACAGTAACTCTCTCCTTTGCCCTGCAGGCCTCTGCCCTGCCCATGTCCATCATCATCGTGGGAGTGGGCCCGGCGGAGTTTGATGGTAAGTTCGGTGGCCAGGGCCATTGTGGGTGTGCAGTTCTGACCATCTGTCACCGAGTCCCTGGGCGATGCTCTGGAACTGCTCCCCATGAAGCCAGGCAGGACTCTGGGGAAGTCTCCTTTCTGGGAGCAACCTGTCTGCAGGACACACAGCTCACCCGGCTTCCCCCTTCCTGGGTCTGACCTCGGAGCATTCAGCCTCCTCTGCCCCTCCGTGCGCTTCCCCCAGCGAGTCCGCTCAGGCGGGGTCTTGGGGAAGCCAGAGGGTCCTGCCCCCCAACTCCGCAGTCAGACATGACTCTCAGCCAGCCAGTAAAACAGAGGTTTATTAGACGACAGGAACATGGTCTAAAACAGAGTTTGCAGGTGTAGAGAACCGGACCCCTCAGCTGGGTCCATTTTGGGGGGCAGCGAGCCAGACAACCACGTCTGCCCTTCACTCCATGTCTCCAGCCAGACCCAAACTAAAACTCCCTCCAGCCCCTCCTCCTCTGGGCTTTGTTCCTTTCCCGGGCCAGGAGGTCACCTGACTCCTTTGTTCTCCAACCCTTTAGCTCTCACTTTGCAGGGGGGAAGGGCCAGGCCATCAGTTGCCAGGAAACGGGGTGTCAGCCATCCTCTGTGTCCAGACCCCTGCACACACCTGCCCTCTAGGGCTCTGCAGTGATCATACACCCTTATCCCACCCCCTAGATACTTAAGAACTGCATAGGGGAAACTGAGGCACCCCCACACTATTCAGAGGAAACATTAAGAACAGTCCCACTTCATCACATTTCTCCCCCCTTCGAGATCAAACTGAGCAGGGTCACTTTAGCTGGTGACCTGGGGAAGTTCGAAACCACCAACGTTCCTATGGATGCCCCAGCATCTCTCCCATTCCTTGGTAGGAGTTACACCAGGCCCTTCCAGTTTCACGCCCTCCCTTAGGTCGGGGGTGGTCGATAGCACTCGCAGGCCGCATGTGGGAAGGTTTATGCGGCCTGTGCCCTTTGGCCACCCCAAAGTCCCAGGGGGTCAAACTGGGATTGGGTCTTCTCCCCAACAAGCTGGCCAAACACAGCCACTTGGTTATAGGACTGTTTAACTTTCTTAAAAGCTTTCACTCCATCTGAGACCTTCTCAAAGCTCTCCACACTGGGTCTTTCAATAGAAAAGTCAGTGGATCCATTCACAACAGATTTCAGAGTAACAGCCGTGTCCGATGAAGTGAGCTGTAGCTCACGAAAGCTCATGCTCAAATAAATTGGTTAGTCTCTAAGGTGCCACAAGTACTCCTTTTCTATTCACAACAGAAAATTTCTGGCCGTTAGGAACTGAAACTTTCTTGATTAAATCACTTTCACACCCTTCAGTTGCAGTAAACTGCTTGCAAAGACTCCATGAGGATTCCTTTCTCTGGGGCTTTTCTATGCAACAATTCACCCCTCCCAGAAATTCTGCTCTTACCCTCTTTACCTAGGGCTTGCTCTAGAGGAGCACTTTCCTGAGCAACAACAGACTCTTTCTGGGTCTCCCTTACATCCAGAATTACCTTTGGCCCATCCGGTGGGGTCCTACACAATCCCCTTTCAGGCAAACTTATAGACTTCCTAGATAACAGGTCAGAAGCATTCTCCTTCCCTTTGCCACACACAAGCTCAGGAATCTTTTCCTTCTTGCTACAGGTTTCCACACCCTCAGTAGGTAACACAATCACATCACCTTCATGCTCTCCTTGTGCCCTGGCTAGGATCTCACCCTGATTAGACAGAGTTGCTACACCCTTTCCCAGCCACACACTAGCAACAGGCAAAATACAATCACCAGAATTGTCTGGTCTCTGGGATTTTACATAGACACTAACTGGATGCGACCTAGTTACAGGGCCATTCTCCCGAGCAGACACAAACTTAGGGCCATTCCCTTCCTGGGCTTTAGCTGAATCCAGAACCAGCTCTGAGACAACTGCACGACCCTCAACCATCACAGGCTGAAAGGCCCCTGCTGTCTGCTCCACAGACCAAGAAGAGCCGGACACACTTTCTCCTTTCCCAGACACACAGCTTGGGATCTCATTCCCCTTGTCTCAGCACACAAGGCTGGTCACAGACAACTGCTTGGAGATCAGGGTAGCTCCCTCCATAGGCAAGTCAATACCCCTGACAGACACATTTCCTTTACTGTCACAATTCTCGACACAGATAACAGGTAAGGTCCAGGGACACTCCTCGCCTTCCCATCCTGCTGACTAGACACAGCCATCAGCTCACAAGGCTGCCTAGGCTCATCCAAACTTTCCTTACCCAGCACCTTGCCACTCCCAAAAGATAACCTGCCCCCTGTGTCTCCCCCCCCCCCCTCAGCTGGGGTCTCAGCTCCCACTGTGCTCAGCGCTGCCCTTGCTGTCCCAGTGGGGTAGGCAGCGAGCTCCCTGCTTTCTTCACTGCATCAGAGCCAGTGTGAGCCCCCTCTCCGGTGTGCAAGGGGGCGGGGAGCATCTCTCTGTCCCACCCAGCCCCAGGGGTCTGGTTACAGGCAGGCAGATATCCTGAGCCTAGCAGCTCCTCCCTGCTGCCAGCCAGGTCATCTGCATTTTCACTGACCATTTCCCTCTCTGCCGATTGGTTCCCTGGATTCAAATTCAAAACCCTCAGCAGTTACAGGAGCAGGGCCTGGATCCTGTCCCAAAGAGACACAGTCACCCCACAACAGGGTCTCGCAGCTGGTATCCTGGAGAACCCCAACAGCCAGCCAGCCAGCCCGACCCCTCCTGTGTCTGCACAAGGATGTGGGCCATAGGCAGGGCGAGGGGCTTCATCCCTGGGACCCTCACCCAGCTCACACAGCCCCTCAGCATCTGAGACTGCACCACCCAGGGCCTGACACCAGTTCTCTCTGATCCAGGATCTTGCCACCCCAGGAATGTCTCCCCATTGACCATCACCTTCCGCTCCCACTGGGGGTCCGAGGGACCTGACCCCAGGAAACTCCACGCAGACATATAGGTTGGGGTCAGGAGTGGGAGCCTGTCCACCTCCCCACCCATCTGGCTGATAAGAGTCTATGACCTTGGGACCCAGCAAGGGAGCTAGACACCAGGGCTTTTCCACGGGGTCACCTTGGTTCAAATCTCCAGCCTGCTCAAAGGCAGTGAGGTGGCATCCACAGCCCCCCCCCCCCTTAACCAGGGGCAGCAATTTAGTCTCGAGGTTCCCTGCGGAACTGGCCCCCCAGGGTCTCTCCCCACTCACCCCGGGGAGGTCCCCTAGGTCTCTCCGCCCCACCACCGCCAGTTCATGCTGCTGCTGCTTCTGCAGCTCTTTCTCGGGCTCTCGCTGTCTCTCACAGTCCTCTTGCTCTCTCAGACTCAGCTCAAGTCCCATCTGTTTCTGATTCCCCCAATGGGAAACCCGATCATGAACACCCTCGTCTGGTCGGGGACAGGAGTCTTGGGAGTGCCTGGCTCCCACTCCAGCTGCTCCCAGATCCTGCTATAGCCCCAGTTGGGGTCAGGAATCTGTTCCTTAGAGCGGTCATCCTCCTCCAGCTGCACGATTAACTGTGCCTTGGTGAACTTTCCAATGTGTAACCCTCTCTTTCTGCACAGGGTTACAATGTCCTTCTTCAGCAGACGGTGACAGGCCATCACTCCGCTCTTCCCAGGTTGCTGTGGACTCACAGGCCCGTGTGTTCTCAGCTTCCCACGGTCTCCAGGGAGAACCCCTAGCGTGCCAGCCCTTCTCGAGGTCACCACCTCTTTGCCAGGGTCGAGCTGCAGACTCCTCCGCCCCTGGGACTGCTCACTGCAATCCCCCAGGGGACCCTATTCCTGCAAAAGTCCTTCTCGCTGCTCACACACTCCCAGGGGTTAACCACCCCCTGAAACCGTCTCTCTCTGAATCTTCAGCACGCCTGGTCCCCGTCAATCCCCCTTCGTTTTACTGCTTCCCAGTCACTTACTGCAGGAAGCGCAGTCCACGGAGTGCAATAGATCCCACCTCTGCCACCAGTTGTTACGGAGTCCCCGGGCGATGCTCTGGAACTGCTCCCCAAGAAGCCAGGCAGGACTCTGGGGAAGTATCCTTTCTGGGAGCAGCCTGTCTGCAGGACACACAGCTCACCTGGCTTCCACCTTCCTGGGTCTGACCTCGGAGCATTCAGCATCCTCTGCCCCTCCGTGCGCTTCCCTCAGCGAGTCCGCTCAGGCGGGGTCTTGGGGAAGCCAGAGGAAGCCTGCCCCCCAACTCCACAGTCAGACGTGACTCTCAGCCAGCCAGTAAAACAGAGGTTTATTAGACAACAGGAACATGGTCTAAAACAGAGTTTGCAGGTGCAGAGAACAGGACCCCTCAACTGGGTCCATTTTGGGGGGCAGTGAGCTAGACAACCATGTCTGCCCTTCACTCCATGTCCTAGCCAGCCCCAAAATGAAACTCTCTCCAGCCCCTCCTCCTCCTCTGGGCTTTGTCCCTTTTCCAGGCCAGGAGGTCACCTGATTCCTTTGTTCTCCAACCCTTTAGCTCTCACCTTGCAGGGGGGAAGGGCCCAGGCCACCAGTTGCCAGAAAACAGGGTGTCGGCCATTCTCTGTGTCCAGACCCCTGCACACACCTGCCCTCTAGGGCTCTGCAAGGATCATACACCCCTATCCCACCACCTAGATACTTAAGAACTGCATAGGGGAAACTGAGGCACCCCCACACTATTCAGAGGAACCATTAAGAACAGTCCCAATTCGTCACAGCATCCAGCACTAGCCATGGCTCAAGGCTGCTCACAGGGCACTGGCTCAGCTGGGCAGGTCTCCTCTGATGGGTGGAGGGTCAGAGTCCGAGGGCACTGCAGGGGTGTGTGGGGGGTGTCGGAGTCCGAGGGCGCTGCAGGGGTGGGGGTGTCAGAGTCTGAGGTTGCTGTGGGGGGGATGTGTCAGAGTCCGAGTGCGCTGTGGGGGTGTCAGAGTCTGAGGGTGCTGCAGGGTGTTTGGAGTCCAGGGGTGCTGCGGGAGTGGGGGAGTCAGAGTCCGAGGGCACTGCGGGGGGGCACTATGTGTCTGCTGTGAGGGCAGGAAAAGCTGGCAGCCGGGCCAGATGCACAGAGCACCCGGGGAGGTGGGGGAGGCAGCGCCCCCACATCACAGCACTGGGGTAGCCCAGCCCAGCCCCATGGGGACGGGTGTGGGGGGGGGAGGCATGAGAGGCTGGTGGGGGGATGCGATGGTGACAGCTTGTAAATGTTGACTGGAGTCCCCATCCCCAGCCATGGAAGAACTGGATGGAGATGACGTGCGGGTCTCCTCCAGGGGGCGCTATGCAGAGCGGGACATCGTGCAGGTAACTCGTGCCCACCCCCGGCACCCCCTGGGCTGCCCCCGACCCAGCATGGCCCTCAGGACGGCACAGTAGAGAGGGGCACAAGGGCTGGGGAAGGACCTCAGGCCCCTCGGCATGCATGCAGCCCCCGTCTCCGACCCTCACACAGTGCCCTCGGCCTGCGATGGGGCAGGAGGGCGGCACCTGCTGTATTGTCTCTCCCTCGAGCCAGGGTGTGATGTCGCTTACCTGAGAACGTGGCCCAGGACTGAGGGCATGGCTCTGGAGCTCCCACTCCCTAGGCCAGTCCCCTGGGAGGGAGCCCTGCACTGCCCTGTCCCTTGGGGGCCCAGCACTGCCTTGCTGGTAGCTGCAGCAGGGTGCTTGGGGGGCCCAGCACTGCCCCCCTGTTGGCTGCAGCGGGGTGCTCGGGGCCCAGCACTGCCTGTCTCGTGTTGCAGTTCGTGCCGTTCCGGGATTACGTGGATCGCTCCGGGAACCAGGTGCTGAGCATGGCGCGCCTGGCCAAGGACGTGCTGGCCGAGATCCCCGAGCAGCTGCTCTCCTACATGAAGAGTCACGACATCAAGCCCCGCCCTACCGACCCACAGTAGCTCCTCCTGTGTGCTGCCCAAGCCAGACACCGCTGCTCCTGCCGGGCCTGAGACCGCACCCCTCCAGCATGCATCCACCAGAGCCGGGCTGGCTGTCGCCCCCTGGATGCAGCCCCCGGAGGCTGGCTCGGCCCCGCGGGGCTGGGACTGCGCCTCCGTCGGCCAGGAGGGCAGCTGCCCCAGGAACGGCCCTTCCCGTGGCTGGGCTCCCTTCCCTGCCAGCTGCAGGCAGCCCAGGGGCCTGGGAGCACGGTGAGGTCAGAGGTGTTCAGCAGTGTCTCGTCAGCCCCCCAGCCCAGTAAGGGGCGCGGAGCCCTGCTCTGTCCAGACGCTGACAATAAAGCTTTATAGGCGCCCTGGTGCCCCGTGCCTGTGTTGTGCTGGGGCTCGGGGCAGCCTTGGCTCAGGCCCCGCAAGCTTGTTCTCCTGCCAGCCCCCACACTGCTCCCTGCTGACACGGCAGCGTCAGGCTAGTGCCCCCAGCTGGGACTCAGGGCTTCCTCCTGGGTCCTTGCCCAGGCCATGGCAGTGTCCCCGGCAGAGCCAGGCCTGGGCCTGAGATGGCAGTGGGGTGTGAGAGCTGCCCGCACCCGGTCCCAGGGCCCTGCCACGTGGAGCTGCGGGCAGGGGCTGCTGTTCCTCAGGCACCTGCTGATCATGGGCAGCAGGCTCCATGCTGCACGGCTCGGCCAGTGGTTGCCCCCCTCCGAACCTGTCTGGGGCTCCCACCCACCATCTCCCCTGGGGACCGTGGGTGAGGGCACAGGGCAACTGGGCCACCAGCTCCTTCACGCCGAGCACTCGCCCAGGAAATCCCTGGCTCAATGGTTGCCAGGGACTGGCCAAATCGAGCCCCAGACACCCCCCTGCCCCAGGCTCTTCAGCCTGAGCCGGGCAGAGGGACAAGCTGGGGGCAGGGCTAATGGGGCCTCGGGCACGTGCCAGGGAGCCAGCCCATGATTTGTGAGCACACCCTAGCCGAGGCCATTTCTTCAAACAGACCCTGCAGCTTTTGGGGGTGGGTGCCAGTCCCTATTCTGATCAATCAGGGCAACTCTGCCAGCCTCGGCCGGGCTCTGTGGACCCTGCTGGGGAGCCCAGCTCTGTTCAGGGCAGATCATGGCAGGCAGCTATGGAGCTGGCCTGCCCTCCTGCTCTGGATGGGCCAAGCAGCTGCCCCAGTTACAGGGACTGCCGCATCCCCCCCGCCACACACACTGTAGTGCAAACACTCCGAGGTGACAGGCGGGGCATGCCGTGATGGTGCGGTAGGGGGCAGGGAAGGGCCACGACACAGTACCACCGCTGCCCCTGGGGGGTTCTGTGCTGGGCGCTCGTGTGCTGCTGTGCCATGAGGCATTATGTGGCTGGCACAGCCTACAGCTAAGGAAGTAGTTTAGCAGTAAAGGGTTTAGAGATCTACCCGTAGCAGGTCAGTGCAGGCTGCATCCTAGCCATTCCCTGGTCACCAGTACAGCTTGGTGAGACTTCTGCCAGCCAAGAGCAATGTCCCTTGTGTTAACTTCTCTCTAAACGAGCATTGAGGGCCGTTCACCAGCATGGGCATGTGTGGCCAAAGCACCTCTGCACGCCCAGCAACCTGTTAGCTATGCTGCGAACCCACGCAGGCTCACCCCACCTGAAAGATCGTGGCCAGTCCTGGGACACAGAGCACTCAGGGCCAAGACAGCACCAGCCCAGGCCTGTGGCAGCAGCCCCTCCAGATCTCACTGCTCAACTGTAGGTGGGGAGCATCCGGAACCACCTGCCTTCACAGACCCCTGGAGCCCAGCTGCGCCCTGCAGGAAGCACTGATCCCCTGGGTGGGCTCTGGCACTGCAGCATGGAGGGAGCTGCTCTGGGCCCACCTCCATCCTCCCCTCTCCCCCAACTCCCAGGTCACCTTTGCACAGATGTAGACAAACTCCAGAGTCTAGGAACGGGCCTGTTCTTGCTCTGCTCCTCATCGTAATCGGAGCTTGAGCTGCTGGCTTTAGGGTCTCCGATACGACTTTACTCCTGGGTGCCTCACAGCTCTGGGGGCTGGAGGGGCGGGGCAGTCTATTATAGATGAAGCATGCTGCTAGCAGGCCTGCCTCTTTGCTAAGCCTTGAATGCATTTCATGTTATGGCTATGCCTGAGATCAGGCCCCACTGTGCCGGGCTCTGCACAGCCCCCAGCCTCCCCTCCCCCTGACAGAACTCAGGCGTCATTATACCACCTGCTGCACAGACCCCCACCCCCCAAGATCAGGGCCCCACAGTGCAAACCAGACCTGTACAGCATCCTGCCCGCCCAGCAGAGATCAGGGCCCCACTGTGCCGGGCGTGGGACAGACCCCCACCCCACCAGAAAGCATCACAAGATGAACATTGATAGTCAAGCTTGGCTCCGAAGAGCTCAGCATCTAGATAGACAGGGGGTGGGAGGGGCAGGGACTTGCCCAAGGCCACCCAGCAGCAAAGCCAGGAATCTCAGTGGAGGGCTCCACCCACTGCCTCTTGCACTCAATTCCCAGGGCCAGGGCCATTGGGAGGGGGTTCGTTTTTGGGGGTGGGGGGGGGACTCAGTGTGGAAACTCCTGCATTAGGTCTGGATCATTCCACACCCCCTGGTTTGAGAGGAGGAGTAATTAACCCTTCGAACAACTTCCCTGGGGCCTGGTGATTCTCCATGCCCCACAGGGTTTAAACCAGGAGTGGCTGTTTTCTAACAGCTCTGCTCTAGGGGTTACGGAGGGGGGCAGGTCTCTGGCCTGTGTTACACAGGGGTCAGACTCGGGGATCACCAGGAACCCTTCTGGCCTTGGAATCAATGAAGAACAGGGTCAGGCGGGTGTCACATGGGGCATTTCCTGTCCCCAGCCCAGGCACCAGGCCCAGCCCAGAATAACCAGCACACAGGTTCCAGGAGCAACAACATCACCTACCCGGCCCCAGGGGCGGGCAGGCCCGGCCCAGCACAGGGCAGGCCTGCTCCCCACGGGGCTCCACCCACCATGGCCCATTTCAGGAGAAACCTACCAGCAAAGCGGCCCCAAAATGCATTTTTCATGGCACCCCTACCATCCCCCCACAGCATTCCCCTACCAAACCCCCACAACCCCCCCATCCTCCCCTGCATCCCCCTGCCAACCCCCCCAGCCCTCCCTGCAGTCTCCTCCCCATCCCCCACAGCCCCCCATCCCCTCTTCCGACCCCCCCACAGCCCTCCCTGCATTCCCCTCCCCATCCCCCCTGCCGACCCCCACAGCCCTCCCTGCATTCCCCACAGCCCCCCGCCAACCCCCCACAGCCCCCCATCCCCCCTGCCGACCCCCCACAGCCCTCCCTGCATTCTCCTCCCCATCCCCCACAGCCCCCCGCCGACCCCCCACAGCCCTCCCTGCATTCCCCTCCCCATCCCCCCACAGCCCCCCATCCCCCCAGCCGACCCCCCCACAGCCCTCCCCGCATTCCCCTCCCCCATCCCCCACAGCCCCCATCCGACCCCCCCACAGCCCTCCCTGCATTCCCCTCCCCACAGCCCCCCGCCGACCCCCCACAGCCCTCCCCGCATTCCCCTCCCCATCCCCCACAGCCCCCATCCGACCCCCCACAGCCCTCCCTGCATTCCCCTCCCCACAGCCCCCCGCCGACCCCCGCCGACCCCCCCACAGCCCTCCCTGCATTCTCCTCCCCATCCCCCACAGCCCCCCATCCCCCTGCCGACCCCCCACAGCCCTCCCTGCATTCCCCTCCCCACAGCCCCCCGCCGACCCCCCACAGCCCCCCATCCCCCCTGCCGACCCCCCACAGCCCTCCCTGCATTCCCCTCCCCATCCCCCCACAGCCCCCCGCCGACCCCCCACAGCCCCCCAGCCGACCCCCCACAGCCCTCCCCGCATTCTCCTCCCCATCCCCCACAGCCCCCCGCCGACCCCCCACAGCCCTCCCTGCATTCCCCACAGCCCCCCCGCCGACCCCCCCACAGCCCCCCATCCCCCCTGCCGACCCCCCACAGCCCTCCCTGCATTCCCCTCCCCATCCCCCACAGCCCCCCGCTGACCCCCCCACAGCCCTCCCTGCATTCCCCTCCCCATCCCCCACAGCCCCCCATCCCCCCAGCCGACCCCCCACAGCCCTCCCCGCATTCCCCTCCCCATCCCCCACAGCCCCCATCCGACCCCCCACAGCCCTCCCTGCATTCTCCTCCCCATCCCCCACAGCCCCCCATCCCCCTGCCGACCCCCCACAGCCCTCCCTGCATTCCCCTCCCCACAGCCCCCGCCGACCCCCCCACAGCCCCCCATCCCCCCTGCCGACCCCCCACAGCCCTCCCTGCATTCCCCTCCCCATCCCCCACAGCCCCCCGCCGACCCCCCCACAGCCCCCCATCCCCCCAGCCGACCCCCCACAGCCCTCCCTGCATTCTCCTCCCCATCCCCCACAGCCCCCCATCCCCCTGCCGACCCCCCCACAGCCCTCCCTGCATTCCCCTCCCCACAGCCCCCCGCCGACCCCCCACAGCCCCCCATCCCCCCTGCCGACCCCCCCACAGCCCTCCCTGCATTCCCCTCCCCATCCCCCACAGCCCCCCGCCGACCCCCCCACAGCCCTCCCCGCATTCTCCTCCCCATCCCCCACAGCCCCCCGCCGACCCCCCACAGCCCTCCCTGCATTCCCCACAGCCCCCCGCCGACCCCCCACAGCCCCCCATCCCCCCTGCCGACCCCCCACAGCCCTCCCTGCATTCCCCTCCCCATCCCCCCACAGCCCCCCGCTGACCCCCCACAGCCCTCCCTGCATTCCCCTCCCCATCCCCCACAGCCCCCCATCCCCCCAGCCGACCCCCCACAGCCCTCCCCGCATTCCCCTCCCCATCCCCCACAGCCCCCATCCGACCCCCCACAGCCCTCCCTGCATTCTCCTCCCCATCCCCCACAGCCCCCCATCCCCCTGCCGACCCCCCACAGCCCTCCCTGCATTCCCCTCCCCACAGCCCCCCGCCGACCCCCCACAGCCCCCCATCCCCCCTGCCGACCCCCCACAGCCCTCCCTGCATTCCCCTCCCCATCCCCCACAGCCCCCCGCCGACCCCCCACAGCCCCCCATCCCCCCAGCCGACCCCCCACAGCCCTCCCCGCATCCCCCTGCCGACCCCCACAGCCCCCCCCAGCGGGGCCTATCCCGGGCTGGCCGCGGGGGGGCGGGGCCTGCTCCTCGAACCGCCAGCAGCGAGAGAACCCAGGCGTCCTGCGCCTCCCGCGCTCATTGGCTGGGCCGGAGCCGCCAGTGATTCCCGGCCGCAGATTCGCCTCGCCCGGCCCGGCGCGGCCCGGCTCCGGGGGGCGCTGTAGGGCGCGGCCCGCCCCGGCCCGCCAGCCAGGCCCGGCCCCGCTGTCCCGCCCGGCCCGGCGCGGCCTCGCCCGGCCCGCCCGCTGTCCCGCCCGGCCGTGGCGAAAGTGCGGTTGCTAAGGGCCGCGAGGCGCTTTACCCAGCGGGGCCGCCCCGCGCCAGGAGCCGCCGGAGCCTCCATTGTTCCGGGCCCGGCCCGGCCCCGCCGCCGCCATGGCCCCGCCGCCCCCGCCCGCCGCGACCGGGCTCCGCCGCTGAGCGCGGCCTCCGGGCGGCCGGTGCGTCCCAGGCCGCTGCCCCGCGCGGGAGCCCCGGGGTGGGGACACCGGGGGGCGAGCCCGGGGCGTGGGGGGCACCGGGGGGCGAGCCCGGGGGGCGGGCGGGGGGCGAGCCCGGGGCGTGGGGGGCACCGGGGGGCGAGCCCGGGGGGCGGGGGCCGCGGGGGGGCACCGTGGGGCGGGGGACGAGCCCGGGGCGTGGGGGGCGGCGGGGGGCGAGCCCGGGGGCCGGGGGGCACCGGGGAGCGAGCCCGCAGGGGATGAGGGAGGGGGCAGGGCGGGTAGTGAGAGCGCTGGGGGGCGAGGGCACGTGACAGCACCCCATGCCTGTCTCGCACCCCTCTCCCTTGCAGAGGTGACGCCATGGGGGTGGACTTTGACGTGAAGACTTTCTGCCACAATCTGCGGGCAACCAAGCCCCCCTACGAGTGCCCCGTGGGCACCTGCCGCAAGATCTACAAGAGCTACAGCGGCATCGAGTACCATCTTTACCACTATGACCATGACAACCCCCCTCCACCCCAGCATACTCCCATCCGCAAACACAAGAAGAAGGGGCGCCAGGCCCGCGCCGCCAACAAGCAGTCCCCCAGCCCTTCGGAGACCTCGCAGTCACCGGGCCGTGAAGTGATGACCTACGCCCAGGCCCAGCGCATGGTGGAAGTGGACTTGCACGGACGCGTGCACCGCATCAGCATCTTTGACAACCTGGATGTAGTGTCAGAGGATGAGGAGGCTCCTGAGGAGCTGCCGGAGAATGGGAGCAACAAGGAGAACACCGAGACCCCGGCCACCACCCCTAAAGCTGGCAAGCACAAGAACAAGGAGAAGCGCAAGGATTCCAACCACCACCACCACCACAGCGCCTCTGCAGGCACCACCCCCAAGCTCCCAGAGGTGGTGTACCGGGAGCTGGAGCAGGACACCCCTGATGCACCACCTCGCCCCACTTCTTACTACAGGTACCATCTGCATGTTGGAGGGCGGGGGGACTCCCTGCTAGGTTTCATCTAAGCTGTCCCCCAGGGGCTGGGGCAGGATTGTTCCCCATATTCTATTTACTAGTACTTTGTCCAGGCGCTGTGTAGATGGTACTTGTCTGATCCTTCTCTGGGCCTCTCTGGTGCCTGTCTGGGGAGGCGAATCCTACAGATCCTGCTGCACTGTTGTTTCAGGCTCCAGGGACTTTTTCTTTTGCTCCCCTTTGTGGTGTTCCGTTAGCCCTGGACTGGGGTCTGTAAGCTGGAGACTCGGTTCCCACTTCTTGTCTGGCTGCCAAAACCTCTCTTGTTATCAAATCCCTTCTCACTGGTACAGTCCCATAGCAGGTGGAGGAACAGGAGCCTGATGGTTCCTGAGAGTATGTCGGCACTTCAGTAAAATACCCGTGACTGGGCCATGTCAACGGACTTGGACTGGGGGCTAGCAAATTGCAGTGTAAACGTTCAGGCTTTGGGACCCTCCCCCCTTGCAGGTCTCAGAGGCCTAGCTCCTGCCCAAGCCAAAGGTCTACACTGCAATTTTACTGTCTCACAGCCCGAGTCAGATGACCCAGGCCAGCTGCTGTGTGTTGCCGCAGTGTAAACGTACCCTGTGTCTTCCACTGTTCTGCTCCGTGTAACTGGCTGCAGAATTTGCTCCAGAATGTAAGCGTTTAAAACACAATACAAGTTTCTCCTCTTATGTGCGTGAAGAAGAGATTCCAAGTGGGACTTGATGTGGCAGCCAGCCCATGAGAATAGCTGAACTACCCCACTTGTCTGCAGACTAATGGGGACCATTTAGCTGAACTTTGCTGTTCTGTCTCTGGAATGTGAGGCCAGCGTTATTGAATTTCTGATCCCTGTACTAGAGATCTCCAAGTCCTGTGCCTCATCGGGGTGGCTGTTTGGGAGGAGGTGAGGATAATGGCGAGGTCAGTGCTGCCCTTAGCTGCTGGAATAGGAAACCAGAAGGTCAAGCCCTTCCTCCAAAAACCAAATCCCCCAGTTGGGAGGGAAAGAGAGTATTCGGTCCCTTTTCATGACAAACCCAAACTGTGCTCTATGCCTTCTTTCCACAGAATTCAGCATTGTTAGGTCAAATGGCCCCGGAACACATGGGAACTTGCTTGGGGGTTTTTACCATGTTCCGTTTGATGGCCTTGTCTTCGTGAGACACCCCAAGCTTCATCAGTTGCCAAGCAGGAGCATTGTTTGGTGCAGTGTGCTTGCTGTGTTGTGCTGGCCGCACCAGCATACTGCAGTTCTGCTCAGTAACTGAGAAAAGGGGCGTGCGGCAACATCTCTCATTTCAGTGGGTTCCTTCCCCTTCCTTTTTCTTTCTGGCTCATTGCTGCTTTGTGGCCCTGGTGGTAAAATCTCCCCCTCTCGTCCCTTTGGAAGGTTAGGCTGGACTAGCTCTTGGTCCCTCCCAGTCACTCATTCCCTCTCTATGTGCCTCTCAGGTACATTGAAAAGTCAGCAGAGGAGCTGGATGAGGAGGTGGAATATGACATGGACGAGGAAGATTATATCTGGCTGGATATCATGAATGACCGACGGAAGACAGAGGGTGTGAGTCCCATTCCCCAGGAGATCTTTGAGTACTTAATGGACCGGCTGGAGAAGGAGTCCTACTTTGAGAGTCACAACAAGGGGGACCCCAATGCCCTGGTTGATGAGGATGCAGTCTGCTGCATCTGCAATGATGGAGAGTGTCAGAACAGCAATGTCATCCTCTTCTGTGACATGTGCAACCTGGCTGTCCATCAGGAGTGCTATGGGGTGCCCTACATCCCCGAGGGCCAGTGGCTCTGCAGAAGGTGTCTCCAGTCCCCCTCCAGGGCAGTGGACTGTGCTCTGTGCCCGAACAAGGGTGGTGCTTTCAAGCAGACAGACGATGGGCGCTGGGCACATGTGGTCTGTGCCCTCTGGATCCCAGAGGTTTGCTTTGCCAACACTGTGTTCCTGGAGCCCATAGACAGCATTGAACACATCCCACCTGCCCGGTGGAAGCTGACCTGCTACATCTGCAAGCAGCGTGGCTCTGGGGCTTGCATCCAGTGCCATAAAGCCAACTGCTACACTGCCTTCCATGTCACCTGTGCCCAGCAGGCTGGACTCTACATGAAAATGGAGCCCGTCCGGGAGACGGGAGCAAACGGCACCTCCTTCAGTGTACGCAAAACTGCCTACTGTGACATCCACACGCCACCCGGCTCTGTGCGCAGGCTGCCTGCCCTCTCCCACAGCGAAGGGGAGGAGGAGGACGAGGAGGAGGAGGAGGAGGGCAAAGGCTGGAGCTCAGAGAAGGTGAAGAAGGCAAAGGCCAAATCCAGAATCAAAATGAAGAAGGCAAGGAAGATCCTGGCAGAAAAGCGAGCGGCAGCACCTGTGGTGTCAGTGCCCTGCATCCCACCCCACAGGTACAGCTCCCAGCACTCTGCCCTCTGTCCAGACAGCCCCTTGCCTCGGGGTCCTGGGCCCCCCCCAGTACGGCCCCTTGCCTTGGGGCCCTGCATCCCACCCCACAGGTACAGCTCCCAGCACTCTGCCCTCTGTCCAGACAGCCCCTTGCCTCGGGGTCCTGGGCCCCCCCCAGTACGGCCCCTTGCCTCGGGGCCCTGCATCCCACCCCACAGGTACAGCTCCCAGCACTCTGCCCTCTGTCCAGACAGCCCCTTGCCTCGGGGTCCTGGGCCCCCCAGTACGGCCCCTTGCCTCGGGGCCCTGCATCCCACCCCACAGGTACAGCTCCCAGCACTCAGCCCTCTGTCCAGACAGCCCCTTGCCTCGGGGTCCTGGGCCCCCCCCAGTACGGCTCCCAGCACTCTGCCCTCTGTCCAGACAGCCCCTTGCCTCGGGGTCCTGGGCCCCCCCCCAGTACGGCTCCCAGCACTCTGCCCTCTGTCCAGACAGCCCCTTGCCTCGGGGTCCTGGGCCCCCCCCCAGTACAGCTCCCAGCACTCTGCCCTCTCTCCAGACAGCCCCTTGCCTCGGGGTCCTGGGCCCCCCAGTACGGCCCCTAGCCTTGGGGCCCTGCATCCCACCCCACAGGTACAGCTCCCAGCACTCTGCCCTCTGTCCAGACAGCCCCTTGCCTCGGGGTCCTGGGCCCCCACCAGTACGGCTCCCAGCACTCTGCCCTCTCTCTCCAGACAGCCCCTTGCCTCGGGGTCCTGGGCCCCCCCAGTACGGCTCCCAGCACTCTGCCCTCTGTCCATACAGCCCCTTGCCTCGGGGTCCTGGGCCCCCCCAGTACGGCCCCTTGCCTCGGGGCCCTGCATCCCACCCCACAGGTACGGCTCCCAGCACTCTGCCCTCTGTCCAGACAGCCCCTTGCCTCGGGGTCCTGGGCCCCCCCCAGTACGGCCCCTTGCCTCGGGGCCCTGCATCCCACCCCACAGGTACAGCTCCCAGCACTCTGCCCTCTGTCCAGACAGCCCCTTGCCTTGGGGCCCTGCGTGCCCCCCACAGGTACGGCCCCTTGCCTTGTGGCCCTGCGTGCCCCCCACAGGTACGGCGCGCCTGTCCAGACAGTCTGTGTCCCTGTCATTAGCCCCTCCAAGCTCTGTTTATTTCGTTCCATGTTCGCGGTGCTCGGTGGCTTTGCTGGTGGATCTGGCAAGCAGTGTGACTCCGGGGCTTGCTGCCAGTTTCCTCCGTCCAAGTTGACCTCCTCTCCTCTGTGCCGCTCCCTGAACGTGGCTGGGGCAGGAGCAGGAGGTGGCTTCTCTTAGTCTAAGGGCAGGAAGCAGCTGGGGGTTCCCAGGGTTCCCTTCCTGTTATGTTAACCTCAGGGACTTTGGAACAAACCATTGTAGAAGAAAGGGGGTACTGTTAATTTATCTGACTTGTATTTCTCCCCTTGGCCCTACTGCTCTTTCAGCTCTTTGTTAGGGCCAAGGCCATCCTGCTGAAGAAGTCTGTGCAGAATGGAGCTGGCTGCTGGGATACCATGTGAGGGTCCCAGGAAAGGCACTAACTTTATGCTTTCTGCTGGCTGTTAACCAGCCCCGTCTCCCAGCCTGGAGTGGTACCTGCTCTCCTCTGGAGCACAACTAGAAGTTGTGGGAACTAGGAAACCCCCTGTGCTCCACAGACCCATAAGGTTAGCCAGGACCACAAGGGTCATCTAATCTCAGGATCTGTGGTGTCCTCATGGTGTTTCTCACCTCCTGTTAGCTGTCTCATGACCTGCAGTTTACCCTCCAAGCAGGACAGGGAGCATGCCAGTTGTACAGTGGCCTTGCTAAGTGAGCTGGGTAAGAGGATGAAGGGCTGGTAACCAGCAGAGCAGTGGGGCTTTGCAAGGAGATAGCAATTGCCAGACTGGATCAGACCCAGGGTCTATCTAATCCAGTCTTCTGTATCTGACCATGACCAGCCCCAGAAGCTTCAGAGGAAGGAGAACCCCACACTAGGGATGATCTGCCCCTCCACGTTAGACCTTATCCTGGTCTCTAATAGTTAGAAACTGGCTTAAGCCTTGAAGTTCTTGACCTCAGTGAGATCATGTGACAGAGAGTTCCACAGACTAACTACATGTTGTGTGAATAAAGTGTTTCCTCTTATTGGGTTTGAGGTCAGAATATCATGCAGCACAGTCCTGCAGAGAAGCCTGTCTGTCCCATGCCCTTCTCGGCTGGACTGCTGCCTTGCAGGAAACTCCCCAGCCAACCCTGAGCTGGGTCTCTGGTGTTTGGCTTGTGTGGCTAGGCACCTCTTGCTGGGCTTGGCAGGGCTCACTTGGCTGATTATGTACGTGCTTTCCCTCCCTCCCCAGGCTCAGTAAGATCACTAACCATTTAACCATCCTGAGGAAGAGCCAGTTCATGCGGTCTGCCATCTTCCGTTTAATTAAATGCCTCTTTGTTCTTGTGTTGTGATATGGGGAGAAGGGATGAACTAGGGCCTGGACAGTGACCATGTGAAATCCTAGCACGCTGGATGCCTGATAGGACTGAATATTTACTGAGTCTACTTCCTCCTTGGAGCGCATCCTGTGGCTAGACTCCAACTCTCTCTTTCAGGCTGATAGTAGATCTCTGAGGCTGTGTTGGGTCCCTGTTGGCTGGGGGATGGATAGGCAGAAGTGGTGGGGTTTGGTTCACATGGGTGTAGACTGCTCAGAGACAGTGCTGTGGTGTATTGTGCAGGGAGAGATCTCTGTTCCTGAGCTGATGGCTTGGGGTTGTGGCCTTTTGCCTACTAGGCTGGCTCACTGCCTTTCTCCTGGTTGATTCTGGGCCTGCAGTCTCTCCTTTTGGTGATTTGACTCCTGTTTGACTCCCTGCCAGCCTGCGTGTGTGCTTGCTGCTGTCACTATGTCGCAGTGGAGCACATGGAGAAGTGATTGCTCTGACCTGGGGCCCTCCTGTTTCTGAGAAACTGTGTGTGAAAATGCTGGCTATTACTGTGCAAACTGTGGCAACAAGTATCTAACAGGGCTGCCCTCCCCTGCTCCCTCAGAAATGCATGCGGCACACGGGGAAGAATGGATCACATCTAAACAGAGTGTCTGTTAGGGGCACCTTCCACCCCTTGCCCAGCCCCCAGCTCCCCACAGACCAGAGTCAGCCAGAAGCTCCAGCTGCGGAGCTGCAGGAGTAGCCAAAGCAGGGACTCTGGGTGTCTAGAGGACTGGACTGTGCGGATTGTCTGTTTGCGCCAACCCTCCCCAGTCTCTTCACTTCAGCTTTACGCCACACTGGCCCTTCACTCTCCCCTTCTTCTCCTCTGTCCCTCTTTTCCCTTTCCTTTCCATTTAGCTGATCTCCTTCTAAGACCGCCCCCCAAAAGTGATGGCCCTAGCATGCTGTTTGCTGCCACCACACTGGTCACTCAGCTGGCGTTCGACGCCTTCCCCCGCCCTGGGTCTTTCTGGTCTCGTTAGACCGTAAGCTCTTCAGGGTGGCTCTGTGCTGGACTTCGTACAGCACCTGGCTCTTGCTAGCTCCTTAGCCACTGCTGTCATGAGCCTGATGGATGCCCAGGTGGGAAATAAGCACTGGGAACACATGTGCAGTACTGAGGAGAGTCAGCGCCAGGTGTCTGGCAGACTCCCATAGACTATGTGTTTGAGAACTGCTGGACTAAGATTTTCCTGTAGGCCCCCATGGCTGGGTCAACGTCCCAGGCCACATGGCTGCTGCCTGCACAGCCCTCCTCAAGCCCCGCCCTGCAGCGAGCCCCACAAGAAACAGGGCCCTGAGGCTGGCCAGTGATGGCCCCTCAGCTGGTGACTGACAACAGAAACCCATGTCCCTGGAGTCCCTGGGCCCTGTCACTCAGCTGGGCCTGGTGCTAACCCCTGTAGCCCCGTGATCCCCCCTTTCCTCCTCTTACGCACACGGATTGTGTGTTGGGAGCTCTTCAGGGCAGGGACCTTCGCTGTGTGTGCAGTGCCCAGCAACGGGGCCCAGACCCAGGCTGCAGGCACTTCGACCGTGCACATAATAATTGTAATTTTCACAGAGGCCTGCGAAGGCCCATCCTGTCTGCGACACCCCTGTGCAGAGTTCCCAGCCCCGCCTGCCAGACTGGTGTGCAGGAGGAAGGATGATAACTGTCCCCCAGAATGCCATGGAGCACAGTCCTGCAGAGAAGCCTGTCTGTCCCATGCCCTTCTTGGCTGGACTGCTGCCTTGCAAGAAACTCCCCAGCCAACCCTGAGCTGGGTCTCTGGTGTTTGGCTTGTGTGACTAGGCCCCTCTTGCTGGGCCTGGTTTGGTAGTGGCAGGGCTCACTTGGCTGATCATGTACGTGCTTTCCCTCTCCTCCCCAGGCTCAGTAAGATCACTAACCGTTTAACCATCCCGAGGAAGAGCCAGTTCATGCAGAGACTTCACAGCTACTGGACACTGAAGAGACAGTCCCGCAATGGGGTGCCTCTGCTGCGCCGGCTGCAGACACACTTGCAGTCACAAAGGAACTGTGACCAGGTATGGGGTGGGCTCTGGGCACTGATGCTCTGTGTGCTTTGTGCATCCCAGGGCCTTGGGGCCGAAGCATTTCCTGTACGTGATGCCTGCAATTTCAGAGCCATGCCGGAGAATGGCCCGACCTGTCCTTGGGAGGAAAGGCCAGTCCCAGCTCCGCACCACAGCTGCTTCCCCTTTCTCTACTCTGTTCAGCATCCTAGACTTGCCAGGCAATGACCTTCCAAAGCTCACCGTGGGGAGGGATGCAAAGAGTGTGTCTAGCTGGCTTGGTCTCTCCTGCCCATCTCCAGCTGGCAGGGGTTGGAAAAACCTACTAGAGAGTGCTAGCCAGAGGCCAGGTGAGAGTGGGGGACCTACTAGTGAGGTCCATGGCAGTGTCCCGAGGAAAAACACAGTCCCCCATTCCTGATGCAGAGGTCCTACCAGAGTTCTGGCTCTGGGCCCTTCTTGTTCCCACCATCTGCATCAGTCTGTCGCTAGTGGGTGCCTCTGGTTTCTGGAAAGGAGCAGGGGGTTTCTGCTCCCTGCTCACCACTTTAGAGCCTCCTGGCTCGTGGGCGTCTCTTACCCTACCTCTTCTCCGGCACCCTGGGTGCTGGGATGGGGCAGAGGTCTCCCCTACTCTGCTCCTTCTCAGGTTTGTGGGCTGCTCCCCGAGAGCAGCTCCAGTGCCTGCCCCTAGCTATCCCCAGCAGAGTGAAATTCACCATTTCCCTGCTGCCCCAGCAGCGGAACTGACCAGAGTATTATTAGCTTTGCTCCACTGTCCTTTAGCAGAGCTCTGAGCAGCTGCAGAGGCACACCAGCTTTTCTGTCTGCAGACTTGGCAGGCCGTGCTGCGTGGGGTCAGTGCTGGGAAGGGTCCCTCTAACCTCGGGGACGAGGAGCCTGCATTTTCAGAAGCGACTGCCCAACTTGAGACACCGCAGGGGCTTGGCACTGGCTGGAAATCAACCCATTTTTGGGTGTGCCGGGCACCCAAAATCACAAGTCACTTCTGAAAATGTAGGCAGGTTTTTCAAAATAAAGATAGGTCAGGCCCCTCCCTCTTCACGGGGGAAAGAGTGCCCGCACACTGCCACGGGGAGCTGCTTCCCTCCATCTCATGGTCTCTGATGTTCCTGCAGAGGGAGACAGAGGATAAGAATTGGGCCCTGAAGGAGCAGCTGAAATCATGGCAGCGCCTCCGCCATGACCTAGAGCGTGCGCGCCTGCTGGTGGAGCTGATACGCAAACGGGAGAAGCTCAAGAGAGAGACGGTAACCATTGTGTGTCCCTCCTGGGAGCTTGGGGCTGACAGCACAGGCCCATCCTGCAGGAGCTGTGGGGCGAGCCCATCTTCCTGACCTGAGTGTGGGGAGGGAGAGGAGCGCAGGTTCCCCCTGCGGGTACTGGCTGGTTCTCCTGTCTGTGCCATGCGGTGGTGTGTGCCCACACGGTGCCCTGCCCCGCAGGGTCTGAACGGGGTGGGGCTTTGGGAAGTGCAGGTGCAGTTCCTGCATCTCTGCTTTTCACTGGCATTGACAGGCTGAGTCAGAGCCTGTTTCTCCAGTCAGAGTATCCCGCCTGCAGCCATCACGCGGGGAGGTTGGCCTCTTGAAGCAGCTGGGAAATGGCTCCTCTTTGCTACAAAGCGGATCTCTCTGAAGTCCAGATCTCACCCTGTGAGCCTTGTCTGCGTCCCAAGGGCAGTAGCTGTCCTGGCTGGCTGTAGCATGGTCAAGGAGGCAAAAGGCTCAGTCCCGCCCTGTTCTTGTGTTTCAGATTAAAATCCAGCAGGTGGCGCTGGAGATGCAGCTGACCCCCTTCCTCATCCTCCTCCGCAGGACTCTCGAGCAGCTCCAGGAGAAGGATACGGGCAACATCTTCAGCGAGCCGGTCCCTCTGTCTGAGGTAACAGAAATCTACGAAGTAAGAACCCCCTCCCCCCAGATTTCTACTTCGCTCGAACTCAACCCCAGTCTGCCCATGCCAAGGGCAGCAAATGGTGCTCTCCAGACAGCTAGCGGGCAGCCCGGGGCAGTTAGCTAAGTGGGGACATGGGCAGCTGAGCTGAGCACAGCTGTGACTGTAGCATCGAGCAGGGACTGGCAGAGAGATTAATGGTCCGTCTTCCTCTTGTGTGTCAACGGTCTCTCTGTGTGCATGGTGGGCCAAGCCAGGCCAGGCAAGCGGGGCTCCTTGCTTGGAAAGGCAAGGTGCAGTGGGACCCTCAGCACGCTCCCATCCGTTCCCTTGGAAGCACTCTGTCTAGGCATAGACATGAAATGAGTTTGGCCTCAGACTTCTCCCGAGCGGGTGCAGCAGAAAACACTGTCCGAGTCTGTCAGCTCTGTCATTCTTGGCCTTGTCCTGCCAGGGGCTGGGGAGAGGGTTGCACTGTGCCTGCCTGCGCCTGCTGTCCCATTCTTGCAATTCTTCTGTGTGTTTGTATGTCTTGGAGCCCTGTGTAACTGGGCTATGAAATTCCACCCCCTCCAACCCATCTGGAATTAAAGCAAGCCTCTGCCATGCCCTGGGGAATTCCAGAGCCGGGGCCAGATTCCTGCTTGCCACCGACTGGAGGAGAGGGCTAGGGCTGTGCAGTGTGCAATGGCACCTCTGAAATACCTCTAATTGTATTACTCCCAGTGTTGGGTTGGGCTGCAGTATGCAGGGCCGCTTGTCTAGCCCCAGTCTGGTCGTGCCGGGGTATTGCCGTTCCCTGTGTCTACACAGAGCGGGCAGTGTTTGCAGGGTATGCAACGCCATTTGGGGCAAAGCACCAGGACTGGATTCTTCTAACAGCTGTTTTCTTGGAGCAGGTAGTTCTGAGGTATGACTTCCAGGCTCAGATCTGACTGTTCTCCCTGTGCAGGTCCCAGACTATCTAGATCACATCAAGAAGCCAATGGATTTCTATACCATGAAGCAGAACCTGGAGGCCTATCGTTACCTGAACTTTGATGACTTTGAGGAAGATTTCAACCTGATTGTCAGCAATTGCTTGAAATACAATGCCAAGGACACAATCTTTTACCGTGCAGCTGTCCGGCTGCGAGAGCAGGGGGGAGCTGTGCTGCGCCAGGCTCGCCGGCAAGCGGAGAAGATGGGCATTGATTTTGAGACAGGCATGCACTTTCCACACTGCATCCCTGTGGACGAAGCGCTGCACCGAGACACGGAGGAGGGTGGGTACTGACACCCCGTCCGAGGATGCAAAGGCTGCATGCAGGAGGGTCACCTGTGGAAGTCACAGCTGAGAATTTCTGTTAGATCATTGGAGGCCAGGGCAAGATTGTCCCCCCTCCTCAGCGCATAATCTAGTGCCCCCATCCTCCCCCCGCAGTCTCTGCCACATCCTCTTATGTCTCCTAGCCAGCCCACATGCCCTTTCCCCAAAGAGACAGGGCCAGTCCCAGGTCAATTCTGGACCCCGAGGGTCAGGTGCATTTTGCTGGTTGGCAGCTGTGACACGCTTGCCCAGATGGAGACGGGCTTCCTGGCTTGCCCCATGGTGCTGTTGGTGCGCAGGGTCAGCCTGCAACAAGAGAATCTGGTTTTTGTGGTCTTGTGCTAAGGATTCGAGGGTGACGTCGTGCATATTGTGCCATGCAGGGGCCTCTGGCAAGCTGCTGTTGTGTGCCTCCGAGCCAGACTCTTCCCTTCAGTCACTGCTCCCCTCTCAGCTCCCTCCAGCAGAGCAGTGAGGGTGCAGAATGGAGGGCACTGCCCTTATCAGGGCCATCCCCACGCCCCTGCACAGGGCCGGCCTTAGGGAACATGGCACCCTGGGTGAACTTGCATTTTGGTGACCCTGGTCCCTGTGGGTCCCCCCCATTGCCCTTGGCCCCCATGGGCTCCCCACCCTCCCTTCACCCCAACCCCTGCACTGTGTCCCCTTCATCCCAACCCCTGGCCCCTCCTGTGCCCCTAATCCCTGCACTGTGCCCCCTTGACCCCAACCCCTGCACTCCCCTCCTGAACCCCTAACTCCTGCACTGTGCCCTCTTCACCTCAACCTCTGTCCCCCTCCTGTGCCCCTAGCCTCTGCATCTCCCTTCTGCCCCCACATGGGAAAACTGATCTGGATGCAGTGACAGGAGCTGTGTGGGGGGAGCAAGGAGCGACATCCGGGCTCCCTGCATCCAGGTCACTTTCCCTGCAGGCTGTGTAAGGAAAGGGCAAAAGAGCAGCAGCTCCTGATATCAGGACTGTGCTGTGAGGTGTATGTGTTGAGGGGAGTGTGTGAAAGACCATGTGTGTGCTGATTGCATGGCGAGCACGCTATCTCTTTAAGAAAGCACTCAGGGTCAGGTGCCTGAAGGTCTGTTCAGACCCAAGCAGCTGCTGCTGGGATCCATAGAGGCAGCAGATCACACCGATTCCCCCGTCCCATCATCCCAGGTCAGTAGAGACCGGGTACACAGGTGTGGGGAGGGGGAACACCCTGATATCAGTCCCCCGCACACAGCAGACAGGAGGATATGCCCAGTCCAGAGTGACCAGGAGCTCTGGGGAGGAATGGGAGGGGGGGACAGGAGCAGTGGGGCCTGGGGGAGGATGGTCACCCCGGCTCTGGAGGAGTTCTCTAGCTCAGCTTTTCGTCCAGCTGCCCCCTGAAGCTCGGGTCCCTCCCCCCCTCTCCAGAGCTGCTTCACCTTCCTGTCTGCTGCCTCTGTTAGCCCAGCTAGCTCTCAGCAGGTCAGGTAGGAATCGGGCAAACCCTGCACGGCACCCCCTTTGGTGGGCCGCCCTGGGCCACCGCCTGGACCACCCACCCGCAGGGCTGGCCCTGTCCCTGCAGTCTGGGCTGCTGGAGGAATTAAGGGGCCTGGAGCTGAGCACAGGGCCCAGGAAGTGGGGTCTCCCCAGAGCTGGGGGTGGTGGGGGGGAACGACCCTTCTCTCCCTGCTCCAGGACACCCCCGAATGAATTGATTCTTGTGCTGCTCTATCCAGTTGCAAACCCCTGTCTTATTCTTGCCAGTCCTTTGGCCCATTCAGCATGATGTGGATTATTCTCTGCATTTCTGAGGCTAAGCCTGTTCGGCTCCTCCCTTCCCAAGGAGCTCATCTCTTGGGCCCCTTCAGGTGACTGTTCTGTGCCCGTGGGTTAATCCCCTCTGGATTGCCATGTCCCCTGTCCAGGAGGAAGGGAATTCCAAAGACCTACCTGGCTTCTCTCACCTATCTGCCCCTCTTTGTGCCCACAGAGGAGGTGCGGCTGTTGCTGTCAGAGAACCAGAAACACCTGCCCTTGGAGGAGCAGCTTAAGATCTTGCTGGAGCACTTGGATGAGGTCAATGCTGGGAAGCAGAGCATCGGGCGCTCCCGCCGTGCCAAGATGATCAAGAAGGAGATCACAGTCCTGCGCCGGAAGTTGGCTCACCCACGGGATGTGCTGGACAGACACGGCCCCTCCGCCAGGGGGATTCTGCAGGCCCACCACCCCTGTGAGAAGGACATGCAGACCGACAGCGCTGCAGAGGAGAGCAGCAGCCAGGAAACTGGCAAAGGTACTGGCTGGGAGGTGGTATTGACGCTCTGGCACAGCACATTATGCCCAGGGGCTTGGCGTAACCCCACATCTGGGCAGGGCATGAGAAGGGTGGAGGATGCAGAATCAGCAGCCATGGACCTTCCCTCCCAGAGCAGAGGCTGGGGTGGGGGGAGGTCCTGCTCCTTCCTTGGTTCCTCATTAGTGTCCCTGAAGATGGCTGGGAACTCCTCCTTGCAGCAGGGCCCCTCCCAAGGGGATTGGGAACCAACTAGAGATGCTGTTTTTCCCAGTTTTCTGGGAGGGAAAGATCATAGAATCATAGAATATCAGGGTTGGAAGGGACCTCAGGAGGTCATCTGGTCCAACCCCCTGCTCAAAGCAGGGCCAATCCCCAACTAAATCATCCCAGCCAGGGCTTTGTCAAGCCTGACCTTAAAAACTTCTAAGGAAGGAGATTCCACCACCTCCCTAGGTAACGCATTCCAGTGTTTCACCACCTTCCTAGTGAAAAAGTTTTTCCTAATATCCAACCTAAACCTCCCTCACTGCAACTTGAGACCATTACTCCTTGTCCTGTCATCCGCTACCACTGAGAACAGTCTAGAGCCATCCTCTTTGGAACCCCCTTTCAGGTGGTTCAGAAAGCAGCTATCAAATCCCCCCTCCTTCTTCTCTTCTGAAGACTAAACATCCCCAGTTCCCTCAGCCTCTCCTCATAAGTCATGTGTTCCAGTCCCCTAATCATTTTTGTTGCCCTCCGCTGGACGCTTTCCAATTTTTCCACATCCTTCTTGTAGTGTGGGGCCCAAAATTGGACACGGTACTCCAGACGAGGCCTCACCGATGTCGAATAGAGGGGAACGATCACGTCCCTCGATCTGCTGGCAATGCCCCTAGTTATACAGCCCAAAATGTCATTGGCCTTCTTGGCAACAAGGGCACACTGTTGACTCATATCCAGCTTCTCGTCCACTGTCACCCCTAGGTCCTTTTCTGCAGAACTGCTGCCGAGCCATTCGGTCCCTAGTCTGTAGCGGTGCATGGGATTCTTCCATCCTGAGTGCAGGACTCTGCACTTGTCCTTGTTGAACTTCATCAGATTTCCTTTAGCCCAATCCTCTAATTTGTCTAGGTCCCTCTGTATCCTATCCCTACCCTCCAGCGTATCTACCTCTCCTCCCAGTTTAATGTCATCTGCAAACTTGCTGAGGGTGCAATCCATGCTATCCTCCAGATCATTAATGAATATATTGAACAAAACCGGCCCGAGGACCGACCCTTGGGGCACTCCGCTTGATACTGGCTGCCAACTAGACATGGAGCCATTGATCACTACCCGTTGCTCCACCTGGGGCCTGTCCTGTAGGCTGATGGAACCCTTTGGCCAGTTCCCTGCAGTGACCCAACTTGCCTGGGTTAACTGCGAGGAGAGCCCAGACGAGGATAGGACAGGAGCTCAGGTAGGGGCAGGACCCCTGCGGAGGAGAGCCTGGATGGGGGCAGGGCTCTGGATGGGCATCGGGCTGGGTCCCTGGGGAGGAGAGGCCGGATGGGGGCAGGGGGCCTGCTGGGAGGAGTGGGCTGAACCAGCTGGGCTAACTGGGAGGAGAGCCCAGATGGGGGCAGAGTGGGAGCCCGGGTGGGGCCCGGAGAGCCTGGATGGGGGCAGGGGGAAGCCCAAGTGGGGGTTGGGCTCTGGATGGGGGTCCGGCTGGGCCCCTGGGGAGGAGAGGCTGGATGGGGACAGGGCAGGAGCCCGGGTGGGGGAGGGGCCGGGAGAGCCCAGGGTGGGGCGAAGTCGGGTGGCGGGGGTGCTAGAGCTGGAGGGGACGGGAGCTGGGAGGAGTGAGCTGACCTGGCTGGGCTAACTGGGAGGAGAGCCCAGATGGGGGCAGGGCAGGAGCCCAGGTGGTGGTGGGGCCAGGAGAGCCTGTATGGGGGCAGGGGGAAGCCTAGGTGGGGGTGGGGCTCTGGATGGGGGTCGGGCTGGGCCCTTGAGGAGGAGAGGCGGGGTGTGGGCGGGGCCAGAGCGGGTGGGGACAGGAACCTGCTGAGAGGAGTGGGCTGACCCGGCTGGGCTAACTGGGAGGGGAGGTGGAGCAAACCAAGACAAGGGCTCCTTTGACATGTTGAGAAGTGAGACGGGAAAGCCCCACAGGCAGCAGGAGCTGAAATTTGGACAGTCGTGGCCAAGGCATGATGCTTAGAACGGGCATCTCTAGGATCCCTGCTCAGGATCCGTGGGGCCTTGGCCACGCTGCCCAACTAGGTCCAAAGCCGTGCTGTTAGCAACAGAGATCGCTCTCCGGCAGCCTGGGCAGCTTTTCCTCTCCTGGGCTGGCAGTGCAGCTCTGCTCTCGCTGGCCTGTTCTTTGCCTCTCCTTGGGGTGGCTGCTCCTGAGGCTGTCCCTTTGCACCCAGTTTGTCCCCAAGCGGGTTTCTTCACTTGGGGCCTTCACCTGGGCACTGGGCCCCTTTGACCTGTATTGTGTCACTAGACGGTGTCACGGAGTGTGGGGGAGTCCAGGCCCTGCACCCCTCTTCCTGGGATTCACTGAGACTCTCAGCCAGCCAGTAAAACAGAAGGTTTATTGGGCAACAGGAACACAGTCCAAACCAGAGCTTGTGGGTACAACCAGGACCCCTCAGTCAAGTCCTTCTGGGGGAGCAGGGAGCTTAGACCCCAGCCCTGGGGTTCCCTGCGTTCCTCCACCCAGCCCCAAACTGAAAACTAAACAACCCCCCCCCCCCCCCCCAGCAGGCTCTCTCCTGCAGCCTGTCTTCACATTCCTGGGCAGAGGTGTTACCTCCCCCTCCCGGCTCAGGTGACAGGCTCTCAGGTCTCCAATCCCCAGGGCACATTCCCAGGTCTCGGAGGAACAGCCGTGTTAGTCTGTATTCGCAAAAAGAAAAGGAGTACTTGTGGCACCTTAGAGACTAACCAATTTATTTGAGCATGAGCTTTCGTGAGCTACAGCTCTCCCTGCTGAGTCACATCGTCACAGACGGTCAATCTCTGGTCACATGCTTCAGGCTCTTTGGGGGCAGGGGATGTCTCGCTTACCCTTTGCAGGATCTGGTTTAAACTGTCTTTGGAGCCTGTCCTGTTTTAACCGGGTAGATTGCCTTGATGCTCTCTGCTGCACATCTGTAGATGTTTTCCCTCCACTTCCCTCTCTGAGTGTCTGGTCCCAGAGCCAGGTCTGACTTTCCTCTTTTCCTGCTTTCCTCCTTCTCACTTCCCAGTTCTTCTGTTATCTGATCCCCTACCTTCTTCCCCAGCTCCACCCGCTCCAGCTTCTGCATCCTCCTCCTTCCCCTATAGCTCTTTCCAACTGCCTCTTCGGGTGAGTCCCGAGCCCCCTCCCAGCTCGTGCCCCCCTCCTTGGCTGTCCCACCCCAGGGCAGCGTTCTGTGCTGCTGTTTGCAGGGGCTAGTGCCAGGGCAGGGTTACCACACCTCACATATTGGCACTCCTTAGCAGGGCCATGCATGAGCGTGACCCAGGAAGGTCAGGAAAGCTGGGATCAATAGCTTTGGCAGGCATGACCTGTCCTGTTCGTCTCAGATGGAACAGCTGCCAACTCCAGAGTGTAGAGTTGGGCATTTTCCAATCCAGGATTCCCTTTTTGCTGCACCAGGTGCCCAGCATTTCATTTCCTGTCTCCTAGCTGTGCCAGGACCTGCCTGCAGCTGCCACTTGTTTGGCAGCTTTCCCCCAAGAGGCAGTTAATTGGCTGACAGGGCATGCTCCCTGCGTTGTGCCTTGGAGCCAGGCTGCAGAGGACGGAGTCAGAGGTGGATGGGAGCCAGCAGTGTTGGCTGGTCAGCTAGGCTTCCTGGAGGACAATGCAGCAACCAAGAGCTAGGGGCTGAGCCACTGACCAGCTACAAGCTCCCCCTTCCCTGGTGCACACGAGGAAGGAGGCTTTGGGCCTGGCTGCCTTGAGAGCATGGCAGAAATTCCATCCTTCAAACCAGTCCCTTTCAGAAATAACCACAGGCCATGAATTGACTGTGAGCATGGGGCCCAGTGGGAGTCTGGGCCCCTGGGGGGCTGCACGACTTTCCTGCTGCAGGCTTGCTGGGCCTTTAGCACAAGGAAGTGCAAGCTTTTTCACAAGCACTTCAGATGTCAGTAGCTTTTCAGGGGTGCAGCAGGGCTGGGCAGCTCCCAGCTGGAGCCTGAGGAATTCGGGAGATGCTGTTGCTGCTCATCTTGCTTCCTTTCGTTGAATTTGGCGTCTCTGAACATGAGGGAGTGGCTGCACCTGCTAGGGTGGAGTCTTCTCCAGAGATCCCCTCCGGTGAGGAGTCTCGGCAACTCCACTAACTGCCCCGGTTTGGTGATGTGAGGGCAGTGGTGGCAAGGCCCAGGAGCAAGGCTCCCGCAGGATGGGACAAGGCATGGGACATTCCCTTCCTTATGAAGCTCTGCTGCTGATCGGAAGCCTCTTGTGCTAGCTCTGGGCTCCCCACAGCTCTCCCCTCGTGCTTGTGCACACTGCTGCCCGAGGGCCTCACCGGAGGCGGTGGGAGCTGTGGGGGCAGATCTCCAGAGCTCCCTTGGGGAGCTGGGAGTGGGGCAGGGTGGTGGAGCCTGCTGCCCAGCTTCTGAACATGCTTTCTCTCATCCTCTCTCTTCCAGGTCTGGGCCCCAACTCTTCCTCCACCCCAGCGCATGAGGTCGGCCGGAGGACTTCTGTGCTCTTCTCCAAAAAGAACCCCAAAACCGCAGGGCCCCCAAAACGCCCTGGACGCCCACCCAAGAACCGGGACAGTCAGCTAGCTGCAGGGCATGGGAGTAGCCCAGTAGGTCCCCCCCAGCTTCCAGTAATGGAGGGGTCGCAGCGCCAGCGGAAAAGAGGGAGGAGCCCACGGCCAAGTTCCAGCTCAGAGAGTGACAGCGATAAATCCACCGAAGAGCCTCCCCTTGGTGAGTGTGGCCGCGGCAGCAGCGTGGGTCGGCGGGGGCTGTGCTGGATCCGTGTGTGTGACTTACGCTGTCCCTCACCTGGCTCTGCTGCAGACCTGTCAGCCAATGGCTTCAGTGGCGGGAGCCAGCCGGTTAAAAAGAGCTTCCTGGTTTACCGGAACGACTGCAGCCTTCCGCGGAGCAGCTCTGACTCGGAGTCCAGCAGCAGCAGCAGCAGCAGCGCTGCCTCGGACCGCACCAGGTACCGCGCCGGCGGCTCTGCTCCGGCTGGCCCCGGCACTAGGCCAGCCAGGGGCTCCGTCCCAGTGGCTGTGCCAGGAGTGGGGCCGTCAGCCTGCTCGTAAAGCCCCTGAGCAGTGACCCTTTCAAGGCTGCAGCACCCGCCACCGCTGCCCCTTCCTGTCACATGCAGCGCCCAAAGCCACGCCTGCCGAGGGGCAGAAGGCCCAGACGCTGGGACTCGTTGGGCCTGGCAAGCTATAAGTCTGCCAGCGCTCAGCCCTGCCCTGCCCTGCGGGTAGCTGTCAAACAGCCCTCTTGGTGAGGCCACGGCCGGAGAGCCCGAACCAGAGACCTGCACAGAGGCTGCTCCTGCACGTGTGTCTGCTGGAGGCCAGCATGGACGGGGTGGATTGTGCCAGTTCCTTCCTCTCTGTGGATAGAGGGACCCCAGGCCTGCCCTGGAGTGAAGACCCAGGCTAAGTGGGGGGGGCCCATGCCATCTGGGGGAACCCTTCTCACTTAACCACTGACTCCCCCTTTCAAAGGCACCTGGAGAGCCCCGTATCTCAGGGCACTATTGCGGGCAGTTCTTCTGCCGAGTGCTGTGGGCTCTATTCCTGAGGGCACTAGCTGGCCGCCTCCCCAAAGCGTGGGGTCCCGTCCCTTCCCACCACACAAACACGCACGCACGCAGTGCCTGGAAGGGTAATGTGGCGCCTAGTAACAGGACTGCTCCCCTGCCTTCCCACAGCACGACGCCCTCGAAGCAGGGCAGAGGGAAGCCCTCCTTCTCCCGTGTGAACTTCCCGGAGGACAGCAGTGAGGATACTTCTGGAACGGAAAACGAGTCGTACTCTGTTGGTGCTGGGCGAGGGGTGGGTCACAGCAGTGAGTATCTTGGGCCTCGGCCAGCAGCCTCCAGCTCCTGTCACTGTCTGGAAGCATCGGTGCTAATTCTTCCCCACTTTTCTTTGGCGCAGTGGTGCGGAAGAGCATTGGGCGTGGAGCCGGGTGGTTGTCGGAAGATGAAGACTCCTCTCTGGATGCCTTGGACCTGGTGTGGGCTAAGTGCCGGGGGTACCCATCGTACCCAGCACTGGTGGGTACAGCAGGCTGCGTGTCCTCGTCTCTCCTTTTGCTCCCCCTGCAGGATCCGGGGCCTGGCAGAACCTTTGCCTGGCTCATAGTGAGGGACTGGATGGACTCTCTGTGGCCAACGAGCTGACACTCTTACTGGATGGGCCAGAACCCTGGGAATCCCCTCCCCTTGCACCCAAATGATCTGCACCCCATGTCACTGCCATCCTTGGGCCAGTCCGGCTGGAGGCTTGCTGCTCTTGTGCCAATAGTAGGCTAGTCTCCCTGAGCCCTGTGACTAGTGGGGGAATTAAGGGGCTTGCTGTTTCCCATAACAATTAGGGCTAAAGCACATCTGCCATTTGCTCCAGTGTGAAAATCCTGTGGGTACCCCTGTTCTTGGGTCTTATACTGAGATCTGGGGGTGGCCTCAGGTCTCCTCTGCCCCCGGCCTCCCAGAGAGAACACTTATGCATGGTCTTCACTAGGGGCATGGAACAGCTTCCGTATGAGGAGAGAGCAAGAAGACCGGGGCTGTTCAGCTGGGAAATGAGAGGACTGGGGGGATGGGAGAGAGGCCTGTAAAATCGTGACTGGTGGGGCGGGTGAACAGGGAAGCAGCATTTGCCCCTTCACGTAACATGGTTAGGCAGCAGTACTTCTCGCGTGGCACGTGTTGCCAGGGGATGTGAAGAAAAGTATGACTGGGCTCAAAAAAAGAACGATACAAGTTCATGGGGGACAGCCCACCAACGGCTGTTAGCCAGGGTGGGCAGGGACACAAGCCCGGGCTGTGGGTGTCCCTAAACTTCTGACTGCCAGAATCTGGGCGTGGGCGACGGGATGGATCATTCGATAACTGCCCCTTTCTGTTCATTCCCTCTACAGCACCTGGCCACTGCCAGAGCCAGGACACTGGGCTAGCTGGACCATTGGTCTGACCCAGCACAGTCCTGCTGATGATCATATGTGAACCCCTTTAGAGTGTGGCCTGCTGGCTGGCTCCCTCGGCTAGTGATCCTGGCCCCAGCTGTTCCTCAGTTCTTAACTAGTCCTGCTTTAGTCAGCCCCAGTGGTGGGTCTCAGTGCAGGCATCACTGGGTGGCGCTCTCTGGCCTGTGTTATGCAGGTGCTCAGATTATAAAGTTCCTTCTGGCCTTAAAATCTAGCAATCAAACCTCAGAAGGAGGTTCTCTAGCCTGAGCTCTGAGCGTGGAAATACCCCTGTCCCTGCAGATCTGGTCCCCAAGGTGACGGGAGGCTGAGCTGCGGGCTCTAGGGTCTCCAATACGGCTTCACTTGTGAGTCCAGTGATAGGCGCAGCCCCTGGAGAGCTGGAGGCTCTTCTTCCCTGAGGCTCTCAAGACAATTGGTTTGTTAGTATTGGGGCATTGCCTTGGAGCCCCAGTTACAGACCAGGTCTGTGCTGTGCTAGGTGCTGTATGCACAGAGCCTGCCCCAGTCAGCTTGCAGTCTAAACCGAAGAGCAGAGACGACAGAAGGAAACAATGAGTCTGTTGGTCAGCATGGCAGGCAGTGCTCTCGGCACACCAGCTGCCTAGCTGCTGTCTTGTCAGTGATGCCAGAGGCCCATCGCGGAAGGCAAGGAATTGCAAACACAAGCATGAGCTAAGGCTGTTTCTGAAGTGGGGATGTGAGCTGGAGAGAGCCCCTGTGACTTAGCCTGAACTGGTTGTGGTGTTGCCTCTTTGCACACACCTGCAGCCCCTTTGCTTCGGGTTGTCACGGTGACCGACATGGCGCTCAGGGAGCTGGTGTCAGCCAGCCGCTTTCCAGTGCAATCACTGACACGGGGCCTTTGGGTCCTAAGCACAAGACTTAGGAGTGAACTGTTCAAACCAAGTCCTGCTGGGTGGGGTTCCAAGGGATACTGCTGCCAAGAGCTGAGCCGGGGGGAGGGAGCGGGGGTGCAAGAGCGGATTATTAGGGGCCGGGCAGCACTTTGCTTGTTCCAATCCTGATTCTGTCTTTATACCCCCCAGGAAAGGCTTTCCTCAGTGTCTTAGTGGGGCTGGTGAGGGCTTCTATGCTCCCCCTCCTGCCCCTTCTCTGGGATCTCACCTTTGTCTCCCTGCTGGTTTGACAGATCATTGATCCGAAGATGCCACGGGAGGGTATGTTCCATCATGGCGTCCCCATTCCAGTGCCTCCCTTGGAGGTGCTGAAGCTGGGAGAGCAGATGACTCAGGAAGCACGAGAGCATCTCTACCTCGTCCTCTTCTTTGACAACAAGCGCACCTGGTAAGGGCCGGGCCAGGGCTTTCTCCTGATGTGTGCCAGCTCTGTGCCCCCCAGCAAGACAGAGCATGGCCTGCTGGGGGGGGGTGGTGAGGGCAAGTCAGTGAACTCCACCAGGGAGGGGGTGGGGTATGCAGATGATGGGAAGCCTCAAATGAGGTGTGATGCCCTTTCCTCCAGGCAGTGGCTGCCCCGGACCAAGCTTGTGCCACTGGGTGTGAACCAGGACCTGGATAAGGAGAAGATGCTGGAGGGCCGCAAGTCAAACATCCGCAAGTCTGTGCAGATCGCCTACCACCGTGCCATGCAGCATCGCAACAAGGTGCAAGGCGAACAGAGCAGTGACTCCAGCGAGAGCGACTGACACCAGCTGCTCCCTCGTTGATCCACTGGCTCTGCTCATGGCTTCTCAGTCTCAGGGCAAACAGGGCTCTCAGTCCTGGGCACTTAGTGCAGCTGGTCTGCACAGGAGCAGGGGCTTGCCCTAGTCACTGGGACAGAGAGCGTGCTCCTGAAAGCAGCTGTGGCTGAGCACCTGGCGCTTGCAGCGCAGGAGTGAGTGTGTTAGAGCAGAAGCAGGCAGAGCTGTAGCCTGCTGCAGAAGGCAGTGCCCAGCAGTGCCCTCTGTATCCTCCCTCTTTTCCAGCTGGCGCTGCTAGAGCCTCCCCTCCTACTGTGCTGCCCTGCCTGGCCCTGCTCGGTCTCGAATTTCACATTCCCAGGGGCGAGGCCCGGTTGCCTGGGGCTGGTGCCTCGCTCACTGAGCACACCTCCAGTGGGTGAAGTTCCCATGCCCGCAGGGGCACTGTAAATACTGTACAGGATGGAGAATTTAAATTATTCTCATTTGTAGCCCGTTTCAGTGTCTTGGGGGAAGCATTTTGGTACTAAACAGCGCTTCCTATCAGGGCCCTTCCAGCCTGCGTGGCCCGGGCCGTCTCTTTGTAACCTTCTTACTCGCACACTTTGATACGGGAGCTCTTGGGAGCGGCTGCGCCCTGCCCACCCCCACTGGACTCGCGTCTCCTCCCCGCCGCGGTCGGACGCTTGTTTGTATTTATTTGGAAGGAAGAAAATCTATTGATTCTTAGAAAATAAACCGTCTATGGGGACCCCGGCGTGGGCCTGGTGCTGCGGGCGGGGGGCGTGGTCCGCCCAGGGGTCCCTGGGGGCGGGGCCTGGGCAGTGCCAAGGGGCGGGGCTTAGGTAGGGCACGTCCCTGGGGCGGGGCCTGGGCCGCATGCGCCGCGGGGCGGGGCTCGGTGGCCTCGGCTCGCCATAGAGTTGCCGGCGGCAGCCTAGAGCGCCGGCGGGGCGGGGCCGCGGGCGGGGGGCGGCATGGGGCGCGGCGGGGGCCCGGCGCTGTGGGGCCACCTGCCCTGCCGGCGCTCGGAGCTGCGGCTGGAGCTGGTGCTGCGCTGTGGCCAGGCCTTCCGGTCAGCTGGGGCGGGTCCGGGGCGGGGGGGCCTGGGGGAGTAGGGGAAGGGGGGGCGGCTGAGGGGGGGGCCCTGGGCTTGGGGAGGCCCCTGGGGCGGGGGGAGTAGGGGGCAGCTGGAGCTGGGGGGGGACCGTGGGGGGCGGCTGGGGGGGGGGCCCTGGGGCGGGGGATAGTAGGGGGGGCCTGGGGGAGTAGGGGGCGGCTGGAGCTGGGGGGGGACCGTGGGGGGCGGCTGGAGCTGGGGGGGGACCGTGGGGGGCGGCTGGGGGGGGGGCCCTGGGCTTGGGGAGGCCCCTGGGGCAGGGGGCAGTAGGGGAAGGCTGGGGCGGGGGGGCTGGGGGAGTAGGGGGCAGCTGGAGCTGGGGGGGGACCGTGGGGGGCGGCTGGGGGGGCCCCTGGGCTTGGGGAGGCCCCTGGGGCAGGGGGCAGTAGGGGAAGGCTGGGGCTGGGGGGGGACCGTGGGGGGCGGCTGGGGGGGGGCCCTGGGCTTGGGGAGGCCCCTGGGGCGGGGGGTAGTAGGGGGGGCCTGGGGGAGTAGGGGGCGGCTGGAGCTGGGGGGGGACCCCTGGGCTTGGGGAGGCCCCTGGGGCGGGGGGCAGTAGGGGAAGGCTGGGGCGGGGGGGGGACCGTGGGGGGCGGCTGGGGGGGGGCCCTGGGCTTGGGGAGGCCCCTGGGGCGGGGGGCAGTAGGGGAAGGCTGGGGCGGGGGGGGCCCTGGCCTAGAGCTGCCGCAGCCGGCCCCGGCCCCGGCCCTGACCGGCGGGTGTGTGTCAGCTGGAGGGAGAGCAGCGCCGGGCACTGGACCGGGGTCCTGGCGGGCCGCGTGTGGACGCTCAGGCAGACGGAAGAGCGGCTCTGGTACATGGTTCACCAGGAGGAGGAGGAGGAGGAGGAAGGCAGCCGCGCAGAGGCCACGGGGCAGGAGCTGCAGCCCAGGGGAAGCGACCCGGGGAGCTGGCAGCCTGAGGCCCCTGCCAGGGCGGCTCCGGGCGGCGCGGGCGGCTGTGATGCCCAGCAGATCCTCCGTGACTACTTCCAGCTGGACGTAGGCCTGGCCGGGCTGTACGAGGCCTGGGGCGCAATGGACCCGCACTTCCGGAAAGTGGCTGCCAATTTCCCAGGTATATTGGGGGCCAGAGCCAAGGGCTGAGCTGGGGGAACGCGCACGTGTCGTGTCTCGCCTGGCAGGCTGACTGGGAAGGCGCGATGTCTCGCTGGGACTTTCGTCTGGCCAGTGCTCTGCACGTCCGGCCACCAGGGCTTTTCGCTGGGGGCCTGGCCTGGCAGAGCTCAAGCGCCCTGACCCCGAAGGGCAGACACTGGCTACCTTGAGCTAAGGGCGGGAGCCTTCTTCCGTTGACCAAGCTGCATCTGGGCCGGGGCTGCTCGGTCAGCACGGCTCCCGCTCGCCGAGCCCTGAGCGATGCCATGGCCAAGGGCGGCTCCTCTCCTCTGCTGCCTGGTCTGTGTGTGGTAGCCCTGCCGGGCCTCGCCCCAGCCGGGGCCCTCGCCATATGCTTGCTGGCTCCTGACTGGTTCGTGGCTCTTCCCAGCTGTTCTGCTCTGCTCAGGGCTGAGTGGGCTTCTCCTAGGGCGGCCGCCCCTCCAGCAGGGGCTTGGCACACTTCCTCACCACCTGCTTCTCCCATGTCACACTGTGCTGAGCCACCCCAGCCCAGGGGCTCTGTCTGAGGGGCGCCCAGGAGCACGTCGCTGGTGGTGTACCTGGTGGGCTCTGGGTCAGTTTCCCAGGCAGTAAGACCAGGCCTAAGCTCCTGGGGGCCTTTCTTGCCAATCCCATAGGTCCTGATCCTTTCCAGTCTCCCTGCTTCCCAGGACACTGTTCCCTGTCTGTGGGGGCCTGTGCTCCTTGGCCCTCAATGTCCAACTTGCCAGTTGGCTGAGCTAAAGCATGTTTTGTGTGAATGGGCCCAGCTGGCCGCGCATCTGCTTGTCTCAGCAGATTTACCCCTCCCTCCATCTGTGGTCAGCAGGGATTGCCGATTTCCTGCCAGAGGAGCGATGAACATGCTGAACAGCATCTGGCTCTCACTGATTCCTGTGGAACCCCACTAGAAACGCCCCCATTCGATGGTGGCCCCCATGGACATCTGCTCTGGGAGTGCTGGCAGTTAGCCAGGGCTTACCCCACTTGACATGTATCTTATTGAGATGGTACAGGGCAAATGTTTGAAACAGACAAAGCTACGGCAAACACCTTACAAAAGTTACGACAGTTACGTTTATCAGTCAAACGTGGAAGCTCCTGAAAGAATGACATGTGCCGTGTGTCCCAAACACCGTGGGGCTGGCATTGATAATATTCCCACCCTTTAATTGCTTGTTAGCTGAACCCTGTATCAGCTTTTCCATTATTTTGCCCGGGGTTGATGTCAGGCAGATTGGCCTCTAGTTAGCAGGATATCCCGCTTGCCCTTTTTGAATATTGGCCTGACCGTAGCACTCGTCTTGTCTTCTGGAATTTCCCAGCTCGTCCAAGATTTATTTAAAAGTAACATCAGTAGCCCAGAGATCTCAGTCAGCTCTTTTACGACTCTTAAGTGCCAATTTTCTAGACTTGCTGATTTAAACATGTTTGTCCCTAATAGATGTTGTTTAACATCCTTCTTAAGTTACTAATGGACTGGAAAGTACTTCATCATCCTCATGTGACGTGATATGCTTCTTTCCAAACACAGAACAGTTATATTTACTGAACACTTCTGCCTTTTCTGCATCATTACCAGTTTTACCATCTCTGTCTAGCAAGGGCTTATACTATTGGTTTTCTTTCTTTTATTCATAATATACTTAAAAACTCCTTCTTATTATTGCCAGCCATGGATTTTTCCCTGGTTTCTTTAGCTTCCCTTATTTATTTTCTACATTTCATAACTTTACAGTTATAGAAATTGCCATCTTTCCCCATGTTTCTCATTTGTTTATTGTTTTTTTATTTCTAGTTGCTGCCTTGACTTCCCCACTGAACCGCGAAGCCCTTCTAGCCACAGCTGCCCTTTCTTAGCTGTAGAATCATGGCATTTTGGCCCCCTGATAAACTCTTCTTAAAGAACTCCCAATTTGTTACATTTTTTCAGTCTACATTTTTCCTTCTGATCTATTTCACTCATAGTCTTCCTCAGTTGTGGGGCCTCAGCTGTTCGAAAGCACCAGCTCCCCAGTGTGGTCCTCGCACCACCTTCTTTCCTCTCCCTTGGGGCATGTCACAGTGAGTTAGCGTTGCTTTGGGCAGCTGTGTGCCTCCCCTACCCCAGTGCCGATTGCCCTGGGTGTCTGGCTGCCTTGGCTCACTCAAGGTTCTCAGAATAGTCGGGGGGAAACAAACGGGCACCGCATGTCGCACAGATAAACCAGCTCATGCATTTCCCCCAGATCCGTGTGAGCCTGGCAGGAGCCTGCTTGCCGCAGGGCTGAGAACTGGGCAAGTCCCTGCCTCTGTCTCCCGTCCCTCGGCTTGGAGCAGTAGGGACAAGCAGCTCTGTTGGCGTGTGCTCTGCAGAGGGGGACATTGTCAGCCCGCCCAGGTCAGTGTAGCGTTCCTGCTGACAGAGGCGCGTCACGGTCTCAGTGCTGCCTGGCCCTGTTGCACCATGTGCTGCCGGAGCAGTGTACCAGCCGCCCTGCCGCTTGGGCCCATTGCAAGGGGGGAGCTCTCGGAGGGGCAAAGAGTGGGGCAGCGGGGCGGTGCTGCTCCAGGGGCCTGTGCAGGGTTGGGTGCTCAGCGGGGTGGGGCACACGGGCAGGAGGTTCTGGCGCTGCATACAGTCGCATCTCTCGGCTCAGCCGGTCCTTGTAAAGGCCAGAGGCGGAGGGAGGAGATGCGTGGTGGCCGGTCTGGGGCCGTGTGGAGTGCTGGTCCTGTGGCTCGGGTGAATCTTGGCTCCTGCCTGGTGCCTGTGGCTGGGGAGAGGAGCTGGGCTGGGGCCTGCCCAGGCTGGTTTAGTCACAGGCTGCGGGCACCTGAGTCCTGCTGGGTGTTTGGCGCTGGCCGCAGGGAGGGGTGGTGACTATGAGGGCTTTGCGTGGGGCTGCCATGTGGAGGCCAGGCAGCACCTTCCCTGACTGAGGCTGCCCTCTGGTCTGCAGGCGTCCGCGTGCTGCGCCAGGACCCCGTCGAGTGCCTCTTCTCCTTCCTCTGCACCACCAACAACCACCTGGCGCGCATCACGGGCATGATCGAGCGCCTCTGCCGGGCCTTCGGGCGCCGTCTCTGCCAGCTGGACGCGGAGCCGTACCACGCCTTCCCCTCGCTGCAGGCCCTGGCCGGTGAGTGTGTCCAGCCCCCTCCGGCCCCCCAACCTGCCGGCCGGCAGCCCCACCCCCTCCTGCCCCCCCAGCCAGCTGGCCGGCAGCCCCCTGCCCACCCCTTCCTGCTCCCCCCCCCAGCCAGCAGCCCTGTGCCCCCCTCCCACCCCCGGCTGCCAGCCCAGCACCCACCCTGTGGCTGACCTGCTGTTCTGGTGCAGGGGTTGACGCTGAGCGCCGGCTCCGGGCTCTGGGCTTTGGCTACCGGGCAAAGTTTGTGAGCCAGAGCGCCCAGGCTGTGCTGAGGCAGTTTGGGGCCGAGGGGTTGCACCAGCTGCGCAGCACCCCCTACCCGGAAGCCAGGAGGCTGCTCTGCACCCTGCCCGGCGTGGGGGCCAAGGTGAGTGCTGGGGCCCCAGGGGGCCTCCTTTCACCTCAGCCGCCAGGCGCTGGGCCGGGGAACAGGGCCCCATCCTGCAGCATGCTGAGAGCTGGGGGGGCCACAGGGGACGTGTATGGCAGGAGCAGTTCAATGTAGCGGGCTGGGGGGCGCTGATGGCAGGGGGGCAGGTGGGGGGCCGAGGGAGCTGATGGGGGGCAGGTGGGGGCGGGAGGGAGGCGGGGGACAGATAGGGGGCGCAGGGAGCGGAAGGAGCTGATGACAGGGGGTGGAGGGAGCTGATGGCTGGGGATGGGGGGCAGAAGGAGCTGATGGCTGGAGGTGGGGGGGTGGATGGGGTGGGAGGAGCTGATGGCTGGGGGGCGGACGGAGTTCATGGCTGGGAACGGGATGGAGAGAGCTGATGGCTGGAGGTGGGGGGCGGACAGGGGGAGCTGATGGCTGGGGGAGCTGGGGGTGAACGGGAGGCGGGGGGAGCTGGAGGCGGGGGGTGGATGGGAGGCAGGGGGAGCTGATGGCTGGGGGGAGCTGGAGGCGGGGGCGGACAGAAGGCAAGGGGGGAGCTGAGGGCTGGAAGCAGGGGGCAGGGCCTTACCCTTCTCTCCCCCCCCCCCCCCCCGGAGGCAGGTTGCAGACTGCGTGTGCCTGATGGCGCTAGACAAGACGGAGGCCGTGCCCGTGGACACCCACGTGTGGCAGATCGCCCGGCGGGACTACGGCCTGGAGCTGGGCTCAGGCGCCCGGAGTGTGACGATGCGTGTGCACAGTGAGCTTGGTGAGTGCCGGGGGGGTCGCGCTGGCCCCCTCCCTGGGGAGCAGCTCAGCAAGGAGACGGGTCCCAGGGCGCAGATTGGCAGGGAGGCCGCGTGGCCCCAGAGGCTGCTCCCCCGCCCCCCCTCACTGGAGCTTTCTCTCCTCAGGAGACTTTTTCCGGAGGCTCTGGGGATCCCATGCAGGCTGGGCGCAGGCGGTGAGTAGTGCCCAGGGCATGTCCCCAGAGGGGCCCCCCCACAGACATGGGACTGGCCTGCGGAGCGGGGCAGCCCACAAGGCCAGATCCCCCTTCCCACGGCTAAGCGTGTCCTCCCCACCCCCAAACTCCCCATCTCTCCCTGTCTCACAGGTTCTCTTCTGTGCCGATTTAAAGATGTTCCGGCAGAACCCTGGCACAAGCGTCGGGGCAAGGGGGGGCCCATCCCCAACAGCGGCTTCTCTGTCCTGTTGCAGACCCACCCCCTGCCCTGGACGCAGGGGGCAGGACTCGACTTCGCCTGCGGCCACAGGGACTCTGTACACAGAAGCAGCTCCAGCCACTTGTGCCCTGATTGGCAAATTCCACCGTGGGGCCAGCCAGAAGCGGCCCCGTGGGGAAAAGTGCCGCACCAGCCCCAGCCCCTCCCCACAGGGGGCGCTGTAGGGGGCGCTCCGGCTGCAGCTTTGCTGGGGAGGGCTGCCCCTGCTGCTGGTGCCACCGGCCCTGGGGGGAAGGGGGCGATGACAAACCCGGGGGGCGGCCTGGCTGTGTGGACAGGGTCTGTAACGCCGATTATCAGCATCCAAAGCGGTTGGAGGGGAAACTGGGGTGGGGGCTCAGTGCGAACTCAGCGCCGTGGGTATGGCACCCACCAGGGCAAAGGGCCAGTCCTGGCTCAGCCCAGCACCCCAAGGCACAAGCCAGGCGGAGGCTCCTGGAGCGGGGGGAAGAGCCCATGCGAGCCAGCACAAGCCAAGGCTGGGCCCTAACCCCGGTGCCCAGGCTCTAGACCGGCTGCAGCCGGGGTACCAACGAGAGCTGCAGGGGGGCTGCCCAGAGCTGCCGGGACTGGTACTGGGGCTGCAATCTGCCGGGCTGCAGCGTGGGACCCGGGTGCTGCGAGCAACCCCTAGCATGGGGGGAGGGGGCATTTACCCTGCTGGGTCTGCCAAGCGTTCTCCAGTGCACTCAGCAGGTGACATGGATTCACCCTCTCCCCTCGGGTCCCCCCTGACTGGTGACACAGGCTGGGGGGCTTGGGGCATTGACCCAGCACAGCCTTGCCTTGGCCCAGCCATGGTGCGAGTGGATGGAGGGGGACTCTGCCCCCCTCGCGTCTCCCCTCCACGGAGTCAGGGCCCCAGTGAGCAAAGCTGCCGGGCTGCATTCACTGCTTTCCTTTAATACAAGCGTCAATGTAGAAACAGCCTTGTGTGGAAATTCTGCTTGAACATGCGGGAAGGGGCTGGGGACACAGGTGGCGGGGGCAGGAATGGCGGCTGCAGCTAGGTGAACCAGGCCCCTTGTTCCACAGCAAAGGCCAGCCCCAGCCCCACCCACTCACCCTGCAGCTTGGCTGCACCAAGCCCTCCCCTCCCCACCCCCTCAGTAGAGCTAGGCAAGTAGCCTGCTCAGGGCCCCTTGTTGGGGGTCCAGCCAGAGTGCGAGCCCCAGCTCTACCAGCTCCCTACAGCGGAGAGGGAGGGAAGGGGGCTGCAGGGGCGTGAGCAAGTACATGCAAGACCCAGCACGTTAGGGGGTCAGTGTGCCTGGCCCAGGGCTGGAGCCCAGGTGCGGCCCCTAGGGAGGCTGGGCCCTGGCTCTGCCCCAGGGGAGATGGTAGGCTCCTAGCCTGGACCCTGCAGCAGGGGCATCCGTGCCTCAAGCGCGAGCTGCGGTTGCCGTCTCCCGCGGAGGCTCTGGCCCGGGACATCTCTCTGTGGTGCCCTGCCAGGGCTGCAGCCTGCGTCCACTCACCCGGCTTGGATCATGGCAGCTGCAGCAATGAGATGCCAGCGCCACCACCCACCCCGGGCAGGTCATCCCCAAGTTCGGAGCCCAGCCTGCCAGGGCCCCACGGGGCAGGGCCATGCTGGGTGCTGTCAGTCCTGGGGTGGGCCGTGAGAGCTGGGCCCCAGCGACCTGTCGCAGCCCCTGGAGTCTGACCCTGCCGGGAGAGAAGAGGCAATCAGACGCTGCATTCCTGCCTGGGGGCTCGGCTCAGCCTGGCATGGGGAATATGGGCAGGGAGGGCCTGGACATGGGGATGTAGCCCTAGCCAACAGGACCCCCCCAATTCAATGTCCCCCGGCCTGGAGACTCACCATTGCTGGCGGCAGCCTCCAGCAGGTCGCAGGGGCTGGGTGGAGTGGTCTGCCCGGGTCCTTCCTGGCTGGTTCCAAGCTGCAGCTTCCTCATGTGTCTCACCACGGCGGTGGCGTTGAACGCTTGCTGCACCAGGACAGGGGGCTGTGAAGGGGTGCCGCTAATGGGGACTGGCTCCAACGCCAGCCCCAGAGCAGCAAGCGCACATAAGCAGGGCCCTACTAAATTCATGGCCATGAAAAACACGTCGCGGACTGTGAAATCGGGTCTTTTGTGTCCTTTTACCCTCTACGGTACAGATTTCACGGGGGAGTCCCAAAAGGGAGGTGGGGGGGCGTCACAAGGTTATTTTAGGGGGTCGTGGTAGAGCCACCCTTAATTCCGCTCTGCCTTCAGAGAGCCGCGGCTGCTGAGGGAGGGCCCGGCTCTGCCGGCAGCAGGGGCGCAGTGAGGGGGCGATGCCGGCCCGTGCCCCCCCACTCCCCCCTTCAGCACTGCCGCCCTCAGCGCGGGGCTCCCGGCCAGCAGCCCTCGCTCCCCAGCAGCGCGGACATAGGGGTAGCTCTACCCCAGAAATCCCCCGCCCCTCCACGACTCCCTTTTGGGTCAAGACCCCGACAATCACAGCGCTCTGACCTTCCAGATTTAAATAGCGGAAATCGACAATTTTTAAAATCCTATGACTGAAATTGACCCAAACACAGAATGAATTTGGTAGGGCCCTGTACATGAGACAGCTGGCGCCCCCTGCCAGGAGAGCCCCGAGCTCCCCCCACAGCCAGCGTCCCGCCCCGCCTCGCCTCCTGCCGGGAGAGCCCCGAGCTCCCCCCACAGCCAGCGTCCCGCCCCCCGCGCCCCCTGCCGGGAGAGCCCCGAGCTCCCCCACAGCCAGCGCCCTGCCCCGCTCCTCACGGCGCCCCCTGCCGGGAGAGCCCCGAGCTCCCCCCACAGCCAGTGTCCCGCCCCCGCCCCCACGGCGCCTCCTGCCGGGAGAGCCCCGAGCTCCCCCACAGCCAGCGTCCCGCCCGCCCCCCACGGCGCCCCCTGCCGGGAGAGCCCCGAGCTCCCCCACAGCCAGCGTCCCGCCCCGCCCCCCACGGCGCCCCCTGCCGGGAGAGCCCCGAGCTCCCCCACAGCCAGCGTCCCGCCCCGCCTCGCCCCCTGCCGGGAGAGCCCCGAGCTCCCCCCACAGCCAGCGTCCCCCCCCCACGGCGCCCCCTGCCGGGAGGCCCGAGCTCCCCCACAGCCAGTGTCCCGCCCCGCCCCCACGGCGCCTCCTGCCGGGAGAGCCCCGAGCTCCCCCACAGCCAGCGTCCCGCCCCGCCCCCACGGGCCCCTGCCAGGAGAGCCCCGAGCTCCCCCCACAGCCAGCGTCCCGCCCCGCCTCGCCTCCTGCCGGGAGAGCCCGAGCTCCCCACAGCCAGCGTCCCGCCCCCTCGCCTCCTGCCGGGAGAGCCCCGAGCTCCCCACAGCCAGCGCCCTGCCCCGCTCCTCACGGCGCCCCTGCCGGGAGAGCCCCGAGCTCCCCCACAGCCAGCGTCCCCCCCCCCCCCCCACGGCGCCCCCTGCCGGGGAGAGCCCCCGAGCTCCCCCACAGCCAGCGTCCCGCCCCGCCCCCCACGGCGCCCCCTGCCGGGAGAGCCCCGAGCTCCCCCACAGCCAGCGTCCCGCCCCGCCCCCCCCGGCGCCCCCTGCCGGGAGAGCCCCGAGCTCCCCCCACAGCCAGCGTCCCGCCCCGCCCCCCACGGCGCCCCCTGCCGGGAGAGCCCCGAGCTCCCCCCACAGCCAGCGTCCCGCCCCGCCCCCCCCCCACGGCGCCCCCTGCCGGGAGAGCCCCGAGCTCCCCCCACAGCCAGCGCCCCGCCCCGCTCCTCACGGCGCCCCCTGCCGGGGAGAGCCCCGAGCTCCCCCACAGCCAGCGTCCCGCCCCGCCCCCCACGGCGCCCCCTGCCGGGAGAGCCCCGAGCTCCCGCCACAGCCAGCGTCCCGCCCCCCCCCCCACGGCGCCCCCTGCCGGGAGAGCCCCGAGCTCCCCCCACAGCCAGCGTCCCGCCCCGCCCCGCCCCCTGCCGGGAGAGCCCCGAGCTCCCCCACAGCCAGCGTCCCGCCCCGCCCCCCACGGCGCCCCCTGCCAGGAGAGCCCCGAGCTCCCCCCACAGCCAGCGTCCCGCCCCGCCCCCCACGGCGCCCCCTGCCAGGAGAGCCCCGAGCTCCCCCCACAGCCAGCGTCCCGCCCCCGCCCCGCCTCCTGCCGGGAGAGCCCCGAGCTCCCCCACAGCCAGCGTCCCGCCCCCCCCCCCCTCGCCTCCTGCCGGGAGAGCCCCGAGCTCCCCCCACAGCCAGCGTCCCGCCCCGCCCCCCACGGCGCCCCCTGCCGGGAGAGCCCCGAGCTCCCCCACAGCCAGCGCCCTGCCCCGCTCCTCACGGCGCCCCCTTCTGGGAGAGCCCAGGACTGGCGGAGCCAGGAGCTCCCTCCCAGCCGGTACTGCTGCCCCACTCCCCACAGCGCCCCCTGCTGGGAGAGGCCAGGGCTGGAGTTGGGAGTGGCCAGGGTGGGGATGGTGATGGCGTAGCTGTGGGTTGCTGGGTGGGGGTGGGGGAAAAGGCACTCACTTTCCACTTGCTCTTGGCGAAGTTCTTTTTGATCTGTTCACTGACAGACTGGTGGATGTTCTTGTCCAGCGCAGTGTCCCCGGCGATCCTGAGATGGGCAAGAGGTGGGGTGGGAGTTGGTGCCCAGGGTGGCAGGATCCCAGCAGCTACCCCCTCCCGCTCACACACACACACACTGCTTAAAGGGCAGGCCCATGAAGGCTGGGGCAGAGCAACCCAGCAGTGACCGAGCCCCTGGAGCAGCTGGCTGTGGAGGGACAGTCCCTGTCCTACTCCAGGGACACCATTGGGTGGGGTAGTTTGTCAGAGGGGATCCCTGGGGGGGACAAGGGATGGGGCTCTTACCAGGGGTGCTGCAGGGCCTGTTCACATGTGAAGCGCTTGCTGGGATCCTTCTCCATTAAGTGCTGGATGAAATCTTTGGCTAGAACCAAAGAGAACAAACACCCATCATGGCACCTGCCGGGCCCTGCCCACCCTCCCCCCATCCCGCCTCTTCTGCACCCCCCGCCCCATGTCACCACTGGCCCCTGCCCACACTCACTGCAGCCCATGGGGGAAGCAGAACCCAAGCCCCGCGCACCTGACTCGGAGATGTCGTCCCAGTAGGGCGAGTCGAATTCGTACTCAGCCCGCAAGATCTGCTCAAAGAGTTTCGCATCATTCTCGTCATAGAAGGGGGGGTAACCACACAGCCTGGGGGGGAGAGAGAGATCACTGCTGGGGGGGGGAACTGCACAGTCTGGGGGGGGATGAGATCACTGCTCGGGGGAAAGTGAGAGATGGGGGGAGACCCGCACAACGGGGGGGAGAAATCACAGCTCGGGGGTAACTGCACAGCCTGGGGGGGAATCACAGGAGGGATCCAGGTAATGTACCCACCCAGTTCAGGGGGATTCCCCCCAGATCCCTGCGCCACCCACACCCCCCCCCCCCCCGCAGCCCCGCAGTACCTACAGGATGTAGGCGATGACACCAATGGACCAGCAATCCACAGCCTTGCTGTAGGGCTTCTGGGCCAGCACCTCCGGGGCTGGGGGAGAGGGGGGCAGCTGTGAGGATGGGGCTTGGTCTCCTTTGAGAGAGTTAATTACACGATACCCCCCCGACAGGGAATCCCAGAGGGGGCAGAACCCCCTGCCAGGAAACCCCAACATGGGGCAGAACCCCCCTCCCCCTGGCCTCCGACAGGGAACCCCAATACGGGGCAGAACCCCCCCGACAGGAAACCCCAAACGCAGGGCAGAACTCCGCCCCTCCCCCGACAGGAAACCCTAACCCGGCACAGAAGCCCCCTCCCAGGAAAGCCAAGGTTGGATGGGGTGGGGCACCCTCCCGTCCCCCATACCCCGGCATCACTCACCCACATAGCCGGGGGTCCCGCAGGCCGTGGACATGACGCTGCCAGAGCCCTCAATCTTTGATAGCCCGAAGTCGCTGATCATGATCTTGGAGTCCGGGTCCGGGCTGTAATAGAGCAGATTCTCGGGCTGCACCGAGCCAGTGGGTCAGCCAGGCCCTGGCTGGCTCCAGCTCCCCAGCCACATACGGCCCCCCACACGACAGGGCATCCTGTGTGCCCCACACTGCATTTCCTGCCTGCCCCCACATCCCGGCCCTGCCCCATGGCTTCACCTCCTGCCCCTGCCACAATCCCAGCCACCCCCACACCCCAGCCGTGCCACAATCCTAGCCACCCCCACGCCCTGCCCCTGCCCCATGGCATCACTGCCTGACCTGCCACGATCCCAGCTGCCCCCACACCCCAGCCCTGCCCCATGGCCTCACCTCCTGCCCTGGTCCCCTGCCACTATCCCAGCCTGCCCCATTTGTTCCCATCCCTACCAGCCTTCTGACCCCCATTAACCCTGCTCCTAGCCCCCCAGTCTCTTCCCCTCCCCCTGCCTCCCACCTTGGCAGTCGAATCAGCCTGCCCGGGCTCCAGCAGGGTGTGCTGAGTCCCCTGGCCAGCAGTGCCGTGCCCAGACTGCGGGAGGAATATGGCAGGGGCCTGGCACTCGGGCGCGCTGGGGCCGGGGAAGAGGCAGGTGCTGTCCAGGCACAGGGAGGGCGTCTGAGGGGCTGGAGCACTCAGTGCAAATAGGAGCTTTGGAGAATTCACAGACACTCCATCTCACAGACACACGAGACCAAAACTCTTCTGCGGCTCAGAACACAGCACACTTGGGCCAGGCTCCAGAGACCGGGCAGAGCCCCCTTGGCCCCGGAGCACGAGGCTGCATAACTTCCCCTCCCAGCACCCAGGCATGGGACTGCTAGAGCTGCGTGAGGCATTTCCAACCCTAGGCAAACAGCATCTGCTCCTCTCAGCTCATTCTCGGTAGCGGCTGGGCTGGGAAGGGGCCTGGGCTAGGTGCAGCCTGGCAAAGTTACACGCCGGAGCACTGGGCCACCTTCCTGATCAGCGTAGCTCCCTGCACCACCTGGAGCCCAAACCAGCCTCGTGAGCTCTGAGCCCTGCCCACCCCCTGGGAGACGAATCGGCTGCTGCTTGCCCATGGCTGGCACCTCTGGCATCTGCAGAGAAACCAACATGCCCTGCAGGGCACCCCGGGACAAACGCAAGCCAGGGTATTTCAGAAAGTCCAGATTGAAGAGAAGGGCCCAGGATCCCTGTGAAGGCAGCTCCACGCACCCTTGTGCTGTATGGAAATGGCTACAGGCAACTGCCATAAAACTCTTCCACAGCGGCCCCTGCCCTGTTCTACCGGGCAGCAGAGACACAACCTCCGAAACCAGCCGCCCAGCGACTGCCAGCAGATCCCAGGTCCCAGGGGCTCCTGGCCCGCCAGCCAGCTCCTCTCCGCAGGTCTTTGGGCCGCCCTCGACCACAGCAGCAAACACCGCTCCGGACCCGAGCTTCCGAGCGAGCGTGGGGCCAACAACCCAGCCACTGGGAAGTAAGTAACTCAGCTGCCAGCAGAGCCAGGGCACCCACAGACAGCTCCCTGCAGGACACAGCAGAGCCCAGGTGACTCCCCGGACACAGCTAGGGGCCAAGCAGCATGAGGCAAATCCAGCAGCCACCCCCAGGGACCGTGCAGTAGCACGGCACACACAGCTGGAACACGAGGCATGGTCAGAAAGAGCCTCACTCAACCCGCACAGAGACTGGGGAGACTCCTCTGTGCCCACCCCGGTGGAGAGAGGCAGAGCTGGTGCCGGGCATGGATGGCAATCAGATCAGAGCTCTCAGGCAACCCTGGCCTGAGGCTCAGCCTGCCCCAGAACAGGCTCCAGGGGACAGGCCTTCAGTGACGCCTTGGCAGACCTGGTGCAGGCACTTGCCAGTGACGCTTTGGTGACTCAACCGCCATGTTTAGCAGTGCCACACGGGCAGGGCCCCTCCCCAGATGCTGGCTCACCTTCAGGTCCCGGTGCACAATGCCCATGTCGTGCAGGTACCTCACAGCGTCCAGGATCTGCCGGATCAGCTGGCTGGCGTCTCGCTCCGTGTAGAAACCCTTCTCCACAATCCGATCAAAGAGCTCCCCACCCGAGACCCTGCAGGTGGAGGGGAGAGCTCCGGGTTAGCCCCCGCTCCATGAGACGTGCATGTGTCAGGGACTAACCCCCTGCCCAGCAATGGTGGGACATGCCAGTGAAATCCTTGCTGATCTTAAACACAAAAAAGAAGCCTGGAGAAATGACCAGGGAGGAGTATAAAAATATTGCTCAGGCATGTAGGAGTGAAATCAGGAAGGCCAAATCACACTTGGAGGTACAGCTAGCAAGAGATGTTAAAAGTAACAAGAAGGGTTTCTTCAGGTACGTTGGCTACAAGAAGACAGTCAAGGAAAGTGTGGGCCCCTTACTGAATGAGGGAGGCAACCTAGTGACAGAGGATGTGGAAAAAGCTAATGTACTCAATGCTTTTTTTGCCTCTGTCTTCACGAACAAGGTCAGCTCCCAGACTACTGCGCTGGGCAGCACAGCATGGGGAGGAGGTGACCAGCCCTCTGTGGAGAAAGAAGTGGTTCGGGACTATTTAGAAAAGCTGGACGAGCACAAGTCCGTGGGGCCGGATGCATTGCATCCGAGAGTGCTAAAGGAGTTGGCGAATATGATTGCAGAGCCATTGGCCATTATCTTTGAAAACTCATGGCGATCGGGGGAAGTCCCAGATGACTGGAAAAAGGCTAATGTAGTGCCCATCTTTAAAAAAGGGAAGAAGGAGGATCCTGGGAACTACAGGCCAGTCAGCCTCACCTCAGTCCCTGGAAAAATCATGGAGCAGGTCCTCAAGGAATCAATTCTGAAGCACTTACACGAGAGGAAAGTGATCAGGAACAGTCAGCATGGATTCACCAAGGGAAGGTCATGCCTGACTAATCTAATCACCTTCTATGATGAGATTACTGGTTCTGTGGATGAGGGGAAAGCGGTGGACGTGATATACCTCGACTTTAGCAAAGCTTTTGACACGGTCTCCCACAGTATTCTTGCCAGCAAGTTAAAGAAGTATGGGATGGATGAATGGACTATAAGGTGGACAGAAAGCTGGCTAGATAGTTGGGCTCAACAGTTAGTGATCAATGGCTCCATGTCTAGTTGGCAGCCAGTATCAAGCGGAGTGCCCCAAGGGTCGGTCCTCGGGCCGGTTTTGTTCAATATCTTCATAAATGATCTGGAGGATAGCATGGATTGCACCCTCAGCAAATTTGCGGATGATACTAAACTAGGAGGAGTGGTAGATACGGTGGCAGGTAGGGATAGGATACAGAGGGACCTAGACAAATTGGAGGATTGGGCCAAAAGAAATCTGATGAGGTTCAACAAGGACAAGTGCAGGGTCCTGCACTTAGGATGGAAGAATCCCATGCACCGCTACAGACTAGGGACCAAATGGCTCGGCAGCAGTTCTGCAGAAAAGGACCTAGGGGTGACAGTGGACGAGAAGCTGGATATGAGTCAGCAGTGTGCCCTTGTAGCCAAGAAGGCCAATGGCATTTTGGGCTGTATAAGTAGGGGCATTGCCAGCAGATCGAGGGACGTGATCGTTCCCCTCTATTCGACATTGGTGAGGCCTCATCTGGAGTACTGTGTCCAGTTTTGGGCCCCACACTACAAGAAGGATGTGGATAAATTGGAGAGAGTCCAGTGAAGGGCAGCAAAAATGATTAGGGGACTGGAACACATGACTTATGAGGAGAGGCTGAGGGAACTGGGATTGTTTAGTCTGCAGAAGAGAAGAATGAGGGGGGATTTGATAGCTGCTTTCAACTACCTGAAAGGGGGTTCCAAAGAGGATGGATCTAGACTGTTCTCAGTGGCAGCAGATGACAGAACAAGGAGTAATGGTCTCAAGTTGCAGTGGGGGAGGTTTAGGTTGGATATTAGGAAAAACTTTTTTACTAGGAGGGAGGTGAAACACTGGAATGCGTTACCTAGGGAGGTGGTGGAATCTCCTTCCTTAGAAGTTTTTAAGGTCAGGCTTGACAAAGCCCTGGCTGGGATGATTTAGTTGGGGATTGGTCCTGCTCTGGGCAGGGGGATGGACTAGATGACCTCCTGAGGTCCCTTCCCACCCTGAGATTCTATGATTCTTTGTGTCTGTCAGGGACTAGCCCCCGCCCCAGCTGCCTCCAGCACCAACACAAGCGCGTCCCCTCCCCGCTCTGCCAGGCAGGGAGCCCCATTCCCCCACTCACAGCTGCATGATGAGGTAGAGGTGACCCCCACTCTCGTAAATGTCATCCAAAGCCACAATGTTGGGGTGCTTGATCCTGAGAGAAAGATGGGAAACGGCTTATGACATGGGGGGCTGGAGATAGGGGGCTGAAGACAGGGGGGGTGCAGATGAGACAGGGGGCTGCAGATGGGTAGGACGTGGGGACGGGGGGGGCCACGGGGCAGATGGAGACAGGGGGACCGCAGGGGAGATGGGGGCCGCAGGTGAAGCGATGAAGTGGCCGGCCCTCGTAGGCACCAGGCCCTGCACAGGGTGCTGTTTGCTCCTCCATGGACAGAGGCTTCAGCGGTCACAGGCCAGGCCAGGCAGATGGCTCAGCCTGGCCCTGGGTCCTGCAGCCCAGCCAGGAGTGGGCAGGTGTCCCTAGAGCTGGGGGCACTGCATCCTGGGGCACAGAGCAGCGAGGGGGCCATTCCTGGGCACCACAGGTCTCCTCCCACGGACCAGAGGTGTGGCGCAGGGGTCACCTTTGCTCTCTGCTCAGTCTCGCTCTGCACCCCACCACCCTGAGGCAGTCGCCTGCCCCGCAGGAATGCCCTGGGGTACAAGGCTCCCCAGCACGGCCCCTGGCGCCAGGGCGCGGGGGCAGGAGGCCACATGGTCAGGACTGTCCTGCCCCAGCTCCTGGGGCCCAGAGGGGCCATGGGCAGCCGTGCCCAAGCGAACGCAGCTCTGCAGGCTGCCGTGCCTAGCAGGGGCGGCCCAGCCCACGCAGCACCAGGCAGCTGGCACTCCCCACTCCTCCTGCAGGCCCTGGGCCCGGCAGCGCCAGCTTGCAGAGGAGTTTCTTTGGCAGACCAGGCCCCATGCTAACCTGCTGCCAGAGGGTCCCCCCGCCGCACTCCCCAGCCCAGCAGCGGGCAGGACCAGGGGTGTCGCAGCCGGGTTTTGGCCAGGCGGGCCGCTCGCCCACGAGTCCCAGGACACGGCCAGGTCAGGCGCGGCAGGGACATCACGAGGCTCCAGCCTGGGGTTATTTTGAGAAAGACTCTGATAAGCGGCCCAGATGCCTGGATGTGGCTGCCCGGAGGGGAGTGGCAGGGCTCTGTGACCGACCCGCCAGAGGAGATTCTCTGGCCCCTCGTGGCACAAGGCGCTGGGCAGGCGGCCGTGCTGGTCCAGACCCGGGGCTGCCCAGCCACAGGTGGAACGGGGCCAGCGTGCAGGAGGGATGGTCACTCTCACGAAGGTGCACGCTCCGAGGACAGGGGTCAGCCAGGCCAGCCCTGCGCCCATGGCACATGCAGAGCCCGGCAGCCACGCTGCCCAGGCCGGCAGCACCTACTTGTGCAGGACAGCAATCTCGTTCTCCAGGCTGGTCTCCTTCCCCTCCAGGGCCTTCTTCGCAATGCACTTAATGGCCACCAGCTTCCGGCTCGTCTTCTCCTCGGCCAGCACCACCTCGGAGAAGGCTCCCCTGGGGAGAGAGGGGGGTGAGCTGGGACCAGCCCCGCAGCCATGCCTGGCTCTCCCAGGGCGGGGCTAAGCCGCCAGAGGGCGCTCAGGACGGGGGGGAGGGCCGGGGGGAGCCCGGGCGTGAGCAGCACAGCTGGCTGCTGTTGGCATGGTGACAGCCGGAAACCCCAGCTAGTTCGAGAAGAAAAGGAGGCCCGGGGGGAGGGGGAGGCCGAGACGCACGGCCGGAGTGCCGGGGGTCACACCCAGGCCTGGACCTGCACAGGGCTTTGGGCTTCCCCCGCCCTCTGCGGCGGGGTCAGGACACGGGGCTGTTGCCGAGGGCCCATCCGGGAGCAGAACGAGCCCTGGGCCCTGGCCGGCGGCTCCCCCAGAAACAGCGGGGGTAGGAGCCCGGCCCCGTGCCCGCTCTCGGAGATGCCAAGCTCTGAGCCTCCTCCCCTGCTGCTGTGCCGGGCTGGGGCGTGCTGGGAGCCCAGGCCGGCCCGGCCAGCGCGGGAAGGGGCCTAGCTGGGCTCCATGGCGACTGGCTAGCAGGACGCAAGCAAGCCACAGTGGGCCAGGCAGCACTGCGTCCTTGCCCCCCACTCTGCCCCACCCCCCCACAGGCTGCCTGCAAGGAGCCAGCCCTGATCATTCATCCCCTTCCACTCTGACTGCGAAAGCCCCACCGCTCTCCCCAGGCAGGCCACACCCAGTGCTAGCGCCCTGAGCCAGCCCCCGGCCAGGAGTCCCTGGATAACCAGTCCCCACGCGCCCCCCCAGAGCCAGCTGCACCTCGGCACCAGGCAGGGTCCCTGGATAACCAGTCCCCGGAAAACCAGTCCCCATGCTCCCTTTGGATGGCGGTCTCGTGGCTTGCCCTGAGCCCCAGCCCGCCCCCCGTCACGGGCCCAGCAGCGAGCTCCCCTGCCAGGTTCAGAAGCAGCAGTAGCAGGTGCCTGCGCCCAGATGGGCTGCCCAAACTGATGCCACACGGCTTGGCTGGGCAGCTGTTTGCACAGGAACATCCTGATCCAGCCCAGGGGCCAGGCCCGAGATAAGGACGGATTGGAGCCGCCCATGGCAGCTGGGAAAGGCCCGGCCAGGGAGCGCATGGAAACCAGCTGCACTGGGCTTGCCCCACCCAAGCCAGTACCAGGCAGTTGCACCCCAGACCCCAATGGGCCCTGCAGAGGCTCCGACCCCTGCTCCTCCTAGCCAGGAACAGGGCACTCCGGCGCACAAAGCCAGGCAGCTGGGCCAATGGGGGAGGAGAAGACGGCACCCGGAGGCCCAGATGATGGGCTGGCCCCGGTGGACTGGTGGTCTCACAGAGCTGCTCCGGTGCTCAGATGGGGGGATTTAGCAGGAATTCCAGGCTCTGCCCCGCCAGGTCTGGCACTCACGCACCATCCATCTGGAGAGGCTGGAGCTTAGGATGACTTGGAAAGGGACAGGTTTCAGAGTAGCAGCCGTGTTAGTCTGTATTCGCAAAAAGAAAAGGAGGACTTGTGGCACCAATTTATTTGAGCATAAGCTTTCGGGGCTACAGCTCACTTCATCGGATGCATACTGTGGAAAATACAGAATGTATTACAACGTAAGGAGAGTGATCACTTTAGATAAGCAAGAGAGTGGGGTGGGGGGAGAAAAGCCTTTTGCAGTGGTAAACACCCATTTTTTCATGGTTTGTATGTATAAGAACATCTTCTGTATTTTCCACTGAATGCATCCGATGAAGTGAGCTGTAGCTCACGAAAGCTTATGCGCAAATAAATTGGTTAGTCTCTAAGATGCAACAAGTCCTCCTTTTCTTTTTGGAAAGGGACTGGTAGCCAGCACCTCTGCTCGAGCGCTGCTGAGCAGGCTGGCCCTAGTGCCCCAGCCAGCCAGCTCCAGCCTGCCTGCTGCTGACCCATGGCCAGCTCTCTTTTGACTTGCTCGCTTGGGCTGTAAACAGGAAAAGGCAGAGACACCAGGGCCCAGGTTTCCGGAGAGGACAGGAAGTGAAACATGGTTTATCTAATACTGTGACATCTGTAACCCCAGTCCCCTGGGAGCCCCACACTGCCCCATCTTTCAAACCCAGCCCCTAGGATCCCCGCCCATGGACCCCCCTGTGCAAACCCCAGCCCCTAGGATCCCTGCTTTGCCTACTCCCACCGCCGCATGGAAACCCCAGGCCCCTGGGTTCCCTGCACTGCCCCACCCCAGCCCAGGGAAGAAGTCACTGTGTACGTTCATCCAGCTCCTGGCTCCCCAGAGGCCTGCAAACAGCCCTGTGCGAGGGGAGTTGGGGATTATACAGAGGGGAGAGACCAGCCCCAGGACCCTGCCAGTGCAGAAAGCATCATTCCCCCAGTGCAGACGGGGGGCTGCCCCCTCCTCACTGGTCAGCGTGATGGGCGGCGAGCTCAGCACCAGCAACCGAGACCTGGCCACGGGTTTCGGGGCACCCCAGCGAAGCAGCACTTGAAGGAGGGCTGCGCAAGTGGACAATGAGATGGCTTTGGAGATGTTTGCGGGAGGGGCAGCAGGGGAGAAAGAACAAAGGGGCTGGTTTGAAAACCTCACAAGTGGACGAGGGAGGCTGGCCTGGGGGCCACTCAGAGGCAGGAGTCAGCTCAGCAGCCAGAGAGAGAGTGGGGGTCAGCTGGGGATCCACAGCCAAGGGCCTTGGAAGTGCAGATCCAGCTCATGGTGCATGGGGTAGAGCCCGGGGAGCCAGCGGCTCACAGCCCCCCCCCCCAGGCACACCCCCAGCAGACAGCCCCCCCCCGCAGTAGTTCAGGGCAGAGCTGGACAGGTGGGGCAGGCGGAGCCGGGGAGCGAGCTCAGCCAGCGCAGGGACCAGATGCCATGGCAACGAGGGCCCAAGGCCCAGTGCACTCAGCAGGGGCCTGGTGAGGAGCTTCCTGCCCAGCTAAAGGCAGCAGGGAGGGGGGCCCACAGGCAGGAGGGAGGGGGGCTTTCGGGGGGGTCGCTGTGACTCCTGCTCTCTGTGTGGGAGGGGCACTGCCATGGGCAGGGGTGGAGCTGAGACTCTGGGGCAGCACAGCAGATGGGGTTTTGGTGGGAGCCCCCCTGCAGGAAGCCCCAAGCCCTTGCCCAGCCCACGGGGAGCAGCCCTACGCCTTGCAGCCAGGAGGGCCAAGTGGGTGCTCACCAGAGCCAGGAGCCAGAGGAGCAGCTGCAAGGCAAGCCCTGAGCACCGAGCTGTGGGCTCCGAGGGGTACACCGGCCGGGGCCGGGGCCGGCGGGGAGAGCCGCCCAGGGAGCTGGCTCTGGACAGAGGGGAAGTAGGACCTACATGCAACTGACTGCACCCCCCGGCCACCTGTGCCCAGCTTGTGCCTCTGAGAGCCCCCCACAGGAGTGCCAGTCGTTTGAGTGGGGGAGACGGCACCACCCGCCCCAACGCAATGCCCCCCAGCTGGTAGCAAGCCCAGGGGGGGAAAGGTTCTGGGAGCCCCTCGATCTGCTGGCAGCCCGAGCCGTTGTGGGCCGTTTGTGGGACCCTCATGGCAGGATATTATGGGACATTCCTTTTGCTGTGTTTTGGGTACAGAAGTTGTGGGGTGAACCGAGAGGACTCAGATGCAAACCGCTAAGGCTGGCCCCAGCGGCCCACAGACGGGCTTGCTGGCTTCCCTCAGCGGGACGCTCCATCAGTGCTGAGCGCCACTGGGCAGAACTCGGTCTGTGCAGAGGCCCTGCTGGGTGACGGCACCAGACCCACAGTCCTGGAGTCCGGACAGGAAGGCCAAGCCAAGAGCGAAGCGAATTCTGCCCCATACCCTCCCCCACCCCCGATCAACCTGGAGCAGACGTGCAGACACTGCCCACCAGTGTGATCACTGGGCCTGTCTTAGCTGGAGGTAACCCCCATTGGGGAGGGGGGGCCGTCCCTGGGGTACTGGGGGCTCTGCTCCATTTGTTGGGGGGAGGCTTTGGGGGATCTGGGTACAGCTTATGAAGGCTGATTCCATGAACTCTCTGGAGAACTCCAGCCCAGGGCCTGGCCTCCGGCAGTTGCTGACAGGGGCCATGGGGCGTCTCCAGGACAAAAATGCTGTGAACATGGAATGGCTCAGTCCTGGTCATGCAAAGGATCTGCTAAAAGGCCTAGTGAGGCTGAAAGAGACCAGCTCTCCCAGGCCGCCGGCAGGGAGCAGAGCCAGGGAAAGAAAGGTTTCAGAGTAACAGCCGTGTTAGTCTGTATTCGCAAAAAGAACAGGAGGACTTGTGGCACCTTAGAGACTAACCAATTTATTTGAGCATAAGCTTTCGTGAGCTACAGCTCACTTCATCAGATGCATACTGTGGAAGTGTAGAAGATTTCATGCTATGTGTATATAAAAGATCTTCTGTACTTTCCACAGTATGCATCCGATGAAGTGAGCTGTAGCTCACGAAAGCTCATGCTCAAATAAATTGGTTAGTCTCTAAGGTGCCACAGGGAAAGAAAGAGAGTTTAGAGGCTGGCTGAGCATTGGGGCCCACTGGAGGAGAGCAGGTCAAAGACCCAGAGCTGCAGGGGCAGGGAGCGTGGGCACCAGGAGGCGGTGCTGGAGGACAGGTGGGCTGAGGGCCCTGGCAGGACGGAGCGACTGGAGGGCTCTCAGCAGAGGGGTTTCATGCAGGCTTGGCATGGATCTCCCCAGGAATAAAGCGGGTATGTGAGAGAGTCCCCGAAGGGTGACATGGAATGGACGTGCCCCTAGGGAGGATGTGTTTAGGGTCTGGGCGTGAGGGGTGGGGGAGTCAGGCCTGGTCTCGGGTCCTAGAGAGCTGGGCTCATGGCCCCACTCCTGAGCAGGGGCACAGCCCGAGTCAGGCCAGTGCCCAGATAC